TAGTTTCACTTTAATTTCATACTATCTATCCCAAAATTTAGATAACATCATGACTGCACATTTATCAAACCAAATCAATAACCATCAAAATTATATAGAATACAGAAAAGCCTGCCATTTCATTTCAGATAAATAAATATATTTTAAGATTAGTATTGCACAAAACCAACAGCCTTTAACAGCCTTGTCCATAGTTCACGACGAAACTTTCCAACCACATTCGTTTCCACAACTTCTCTACCTCTACATGTTACTCTCATTTTTCATTTTTCAATTTTTGTTTTTCTCTTTTTTTTTTTTTTTTGTTTATTCCATGAAAAGATGCTGATTTTCTGAACAATACATACATATTGCATGGCTTACTATTACAGGTTGTGTAAAGTAATATCATATGTCAGGTCGAAAGTCACAACCTCTCTCTTGCTTATCCCAAGTAAACCAATTAATATGATGAATTATGTAAAACTTGAGGGAACAATTCTGAAATTCATTTTTTCATGAAATCATATGTAAGGGTTTCAAAAATTCACAACTTTCCGCCTAAAGCCAAAAATGGTGTTAAATCTGGTCTATATGTATTTGAAGTTTTAGCAGTAATTTTCACGGCATGAGCAGCATTGAGTGGTTAGCTAGGACAAGGTTAATAAATTATCTTATCATCAACATAACAGGTCAATTAAGTCAACTATAACAAAACAACACCTCCAGGAGGTGTCACGGAATGAATTTGCGAAAAAAGTCTTGAGTCTAGTCAGACTGAGTGAGTTCGATGTGCCTGTCGAACTGTGATATCCCAGGGTTCCTCGGGGCGCGTGATGATCATGTGATCAGTCATGTGATCTGTCAGAGGTTCCTTGGATTTTTCGGATAATGAAGCAGTGATTTGGGTTTGGTCTTTGCTCTTTTTCCAGTGAATTTCCATTTCGATTTCGATTTCGTAGTTTTCCTCATGCAAAGTGAGACACTCAGCAGCATTGACATACTCTGAACATAAGATAGTGGATGTGAGTGATAATGGTCACATCAAACGTGATACAACCAACATATAGATTTTGCACCCTACATAAGCCCTAGCCTTCATCTCAACCTATCTACATCCTTACCTTCACCTACAAACATCCTACACCTAGCCTACACTTACCTAACCTATACCTACCTACATCCTTACCTTCACCTACAAACATCCTACACCTAGCCTACACTTACCTTACCTATACCTACCTACATCCTTACCTTCATCTACGAACATCCTACACCTAACCTACATTTACCTCAATTCCGCATTCATACATATTTTTTTATCTATTCCTAACATATTTATATTTCAATTTTTTTTTATATAAATCAGGAATTTTCACCGTTACTTGTTATTGGAAATAAAGTGTTTCCTCAACAACAAGTGATTATTTTTAAAGAGTTGAATACTTTTGTTCTGCAATGACATTGAGTTCATTTAAGTATTATGCTGGTCCAGATATGAGTATATATACATGTATAAAGGTATACAATAATGCAGGTAAAATAGATATCTATAATGATAGAAATCTCATGTATCACTAGTCATGCATAATCTATATCTAACATACTCCGCTTTCCTAAATATCTGCTATCTTCTTCTCCTAAAACACACACGTATATATAACTGAATACTAAAAAAAAACCAATAACAATTTTATGGTAATAAAATACTAAAAATAGTGTCTCCTAAAACACATTTTCTTTCTACGTATCTATGACTGAATTCTAAAAAAAAATATATAATTTTATGGTAATGAAATACTAATAATCGTGTCTCCTAAAACACATTTTCTTTCTACGTATATATGACTGAATTCTAAAAAAAATTATAATAATAATTTTATGATAATAAAATACTAATAATCGTGTCTCCTAAAACACATTTTCTTTCTACGTATATATGACTGTATATTTTATGATAATAAAATACTAAAAATAGTGTCTCCTAAAACACATTTTCTTTCTACGTATATATGACTAATAAAAAAAAAAATATAATTTTATGATAATAAAATATAAAAATACTAAAACACATTTTCTTTCTACGTATATATGACTGAATTCTAAAAAAAAAAAAAAACAATAATTTTATGATAATAAAATACTACTAATAGTGTATGCTTTTCAATCCACAAATTGATATGAATTTTTACATTTGTTAGTCTATATGATAAATGTATATAATGACATATAAAAATATATTTTAATATAATAAATATCTTTATCAATATGTATTTTACTTTCATAAATTAGTGTTTGTTTTACAATTATGCAGAAAATGAAAATATTTTTAAATACAGATGATGCTATTCAAATACAACTAGAAATGTTTTTAAATAATCCCAAATGTTACATTGGAGTGTTGCCACAAAAGGTATGGACATTTTCTGGCTCGGCCACCAACAAACAGACAGCTGATCTGGTTGGTCAACAATGTAACAACTGTTTTGCTTAATTCAAAAATGTTGCAAGGAGATCAGTTTAAAATCAATTTTGATTGGTGAATGAAAGACGTATTAGAAGTTAGCTTCAAAATGAATTAATACTATGTCATGGGGTATATATAAAAAAGCGTAGGAAAAAAACAAAAAAAAAGCTTAGTAAATAATGAATTAAGATGAAAAGCTGAACAAAATGACAAATTATAAAAAAGACTGAATGAAAAATGAAAAATTTTTAAATGAGAAAAAAAAAGATGATAAGAAAAAACAAGAGCATTATACAGATAGCAGATACAGTTAATGCTAAAAATTGTACATGACAAAGCAATAATAACAACAATGATACAAAAACCATCAGCTAAGTTTACAATAGCACTGAGGTGTTATACATCTGTTAGGGAGATTAAAAAACCACATTGTCAACAATATATAGACAAATATCAAAACCACTGAGCCATAGAAACAAAACACGACATACTGCCATATTTGGTCGTGTAAATTAACGCTTCGACTCATGCTGTGTAAACATCATGCCATGCACTGACTGAAGAGAAAACAACTTCAAGTGATTGCAAGGAAACAATTTTATTGTTGTACAACAGCATAGAGTTTACAGAAAAATGGCTCAGCGACAGCTATAAACATCATACGACAGCTCCACCGCGTAGTGATCACTGCTGACTGTCACAGACAACAATAGACAATGGCGTGACCACGGTTGACTGCCACAGACAACAGCAGACAACGCAGACAGGAGCAGAATGTGACAATGTGGTTCTTTGAAGAAAATGGGCAATATTAGCTAACATGCTTTCCAAAATTTACAAAGTCCTTTTCAATTTTACAATCACATAGTTTCAAAAAATATAAATATGGAATAAATTGAAAATTTTAGAAAGCATGTTCATACCTGTATGTAAAATTAGTTTGTCAGTTTTCTATAAACAAACAAATTAAATCGGTATTGGTAAACTGTTAAATAACATGTTACAGATTGATCCAAGTACCTTAACAAGTATATTTTTCATACCATTACAAACCAATGCAGTTTTGCTTTGAGAATTCCTTTATAAAATTTGTTACATGTATGTAGTATCAAAAAAATTAAATGCGTAAATAAAAAATTTCTTCAAATACAAATTATGATATTTTCATCTGATAAAAGATTTATAAAAAAAAAGCTGCCATTTTCATATATAATTTTACAATTGTTTTTTTTAAATCTCCAAAAATGAATCCATTTAAATGACTAAACAAGTTTTTTCTCAATGTTATGATATTATCTTATCAAAGATCCCACTTGTAAAGATGTAAGTCAATTGCGAGAGGACATTACAATGACCAGCTAATAATGCAAACTACAACTACTATATTATGGTTACTACAGCAACCAATTAGCAAATAAATATATTAAAAGCACTGCACTTCAAATTCAAGCATCCCACTGACCAACATCAATGTCAAAATCTAAGTCTCGGGAATGTTTTAAAAAAACTCACTCAAAAAGGAGAGAAGGAGGAGAAGAGGGCTTCAGACAATTGGAAAGGAAAGAAACTACTTGAGAACATTTCTTCAAAATATCTGAAATCTTATTTTTTGTCCTTCTATTACATATCCAGTCTACAGAATCACAATATAAATCGGTGTTTTGTTCCAGGACTAACCTTTCTTAAGTAGTTCCGATTTCCTTCATAAATTTTGGCTTTGCATTCTCTCTGAAAAATGTTTAGCCCTTTAAAGATACCACCCTTCCCTCTAATTCTCACAGGCCTCCTTCCCACTCATTGTCCCAGGATTATGCCAGGTCAGTCACGGGATGGAATTAAAAGCACACTAAATATCCAGACGATAATAATCTACTGCAACAGGCGCCATTATCAATGATTGTAGAGTTATCTGCCCTTCAATAGATGATTATGACTTTTTCATCACGTCTTCCTACCTTTTATCTTTATCAGAATCTTATGGTTTGTGAATTTGAACTATAGCAGTAGAGATGTCAGGATTCTATAGCTATCCAGAAGGGCAGACACTTCTAAAACTAAAATCTCCTTCTACCATTGTTCTCATGAAAAGGTACATACTCCACAAATCTTATATCACACAGACTAATAGTCTACAGCTCAGCTGAGAGAGAAACGCAGGAAATTAAAACAAGATATCATTACTTTAAAGTCAAAATTATTCAAAACATATGCCCAGAGACCAAAAAAATTTGCAAAGGATGGTAAAAATTTTTTTGGACATTTCCAGCCATAGAACCGGTTATGACCAAAGAATAATTGTATTGGCTTGAAAATGCAATATGTTTAGGATGTGTATTGCCTCATTTTCAGTAGATGGGTAGTTTCTGAACATATAACCTGTTAATTTCTCTCCCAGCTGATAGATTCTCGCAGTGGCCAAGCCCGACAAAAGAGGATAGACACAATACTAGAAAAGTTTCCATGGCAACAAAAGAGGTTAAGAGAGTTCCCATGACAACTAGAGAGGTCATGTCCATGGTAACAGATTGCCATGCTTCTATGAGGTGATTCTTACTTTCCACGAAAATCTCAATAGTTGTAGTGGCAACGCCATGCTGGTTGGTCGCCTCACATTTGTATATGGCTTCATCGTCCAGGTATATATCTAGTACGGTAAGACGACACACTCCGGTGTGGTACTCTGTCACGTAGTGGGCATCAGGTTGAAGTTCTTCATCATCCTGTAGGTATTATGTACAAAATGAAACTTTTATGTTACAAAAACAGCAACTGTGATACAGGTAATGTCTATAGAAAATACCTTTTCTATAACACTTATCAAAAGGCAAATATATTTCCGATATTTTTTCGTACAGGTTTTCTTGCTTATCAAAATAAAACCAATGCTTCAAAATAATATGTATGTCTTACTTATGCTATCACATATACAACAGACCATGTTTATGCTTTCACAGTAAAATTTTATAATATTCTGAATATTTGAGAAAAAAATTACAGAACAAGAAGGATTGAAAAATTGTAGATAAAAATGGAATCAGCATATGATCAATATAGTCTTTTAGAGTTGTTTCCCTTACCTGGAACCACACGACCTCGGGAGTGGGCGTGCCAGTCACTACACACTCAACCGTAACCGTGGAGCCTTCGAGTACATTGACTTGCCGCTGGAGGGTCTGTATGAAACGGGGAGCTTCCATAACCCCCTCTTCAACTTTAGGGGCTTGGCTTTCCTCTGTTATCACAGCTTGTGCAACAGTTTCTGTATGGAAACAGGACAGATTTACAGTAATATCAACAGCATAGGAATCAATATATAAAGACAAGTGAACAAGGGTGACCTTTGACCTTTAACTTTAACCAATCACCACGAGAATCTTATCAGTTGTAGTCACTGGTGATATGATGCTTTGGTATGAATATTAATCAAGTCTGTTCACACGTTCATGTGATATCCTTTACACTACGTTATCAAAGATCATGGACACATGGACACATCGACAATTCTACAGGATCCCAGACTTTGACCAGATATTGTTCGAAATTATTACTGCAGAGAGAACAAAAATCAATAGACTATTTCATCTTAACCAGAGGGGGATTTGCTTAACAAATACCAAATTCTACCAAGACATATTTTATGAAAAATCAAAATTAAAAATACAGTTATGACTTACCTTGTGTTTCAGCCTTAACTTGTATTTCAACAGTAGATAACTCTTCTACAGCTTTGGTTTCAATGACCTTTTCGCTGACCTCTAATCCCATGGTAACGACCTCTTTTTGAGTGACCTCTATGGTTTTCTGCACAGTCTCCGCTGGTTGTTTTGTTTCTTCCAAAGCTGGATTTAAGTATGCAAATCTCTAATGAGTATGTATTAAACAAGATCAGGCAGCAATGAAGAAAATACCAAATAATATCAAATCAAATGTTGTCGGCAATAGATTCTCAATATTTAGGACAAATTGTGTCTAGATGATAAAAAAATAGAGAAATATTCTTCTGATTAAACACATCACTTTTAACATTAAATAACATATATGAATCATATTCATTATGAAAATACCGATACACACTTTGTTATTGAATCAATTAATATATTTGTACAAAGTTTGATTTCACCAGTGAATCAAGTTCTAAAATGATTTCTGTTTCTGAAATAAATATAATAATTAAATATTAAAGCCACATGCACAAACCAGTTGAAAGGAAATCAAGAAGTAATATTTTGGTGCAGAGAAATCACAAACATGGAAATCTTCCAAAGGAAAAAATCTTCAGGGATCAAACAGGGATGTATAAACATGAAAATAAAAATCACATTGTTTCAGGTTATCTAAAATCTAAGTCAACAATAACTAGACAGAATTATACACTGTTACACAATACGATTTAACAATGTTATCACAACATGTTCTAGATTAAGAGTTAATTAACATGTAATTAATTCTGAAATTATACAGTAAATAATGCCCACACCAAAATCTACAGTTACAACATCAACTACTACTCTGTTAGCTAATTCTATTTCACTTACATTCTTGTGGGATGTCCTCAGAAGTTTCCTCGGGCGTTTCCTCAGATGGGACAATATCCGTGGAAGTTGTTTGGGTGATTTCCTCTGTAAGTGTCTCCGTGATTGAAACGGGAGCCTCAGAAATCACTTCTTCCACAGGTATATCCTCAGACATCTCAAGATCCGGTGATACTTCAGATGGTTTTTGGTCCTCAATACAAACATCAGCTGTCACATCACTCTCTTCTGTCTCAGTGGGTTTTTCAATTTCTACAGAAACTTCTTCCTCTGCCACTTGTTCTGGCTGGAGATGCTCTGTGACATCAACTTCTGTGGGTTCAGCTGCCTGGCTTGCAACCACCTTAGATGCTTCTGTGATTATTTCGTTAGCAAATTTCTGTGCAATATCTTCAAGTTGGGTCTCAGTTTCAAGAGGAACTACCTCCAATTCTTCTGTTATTGACACCTCTGTGTCTTCAACATCAGGTTTTTCGGTGATCTCCGATACAGTTTCTTCAATAGGTTGTTCGGTCTCAATTTCTAGCTGGTCTTCAGAAATTTCTTCTGTGATAACATGTTCAATTTCAGAAACCTCTGTCGGAATAACATCTTCAGCAAAAGTGACAACTGATACTTTAGATTCTTCCTCTTGTGATGGTTTTTCCATTTGAACTTCTGGTTGTTCTATAGGAAGTTCTTCATCAACTGTGTCCTCAGCTTCAGAAACCTCTGATGGAATGGTTTCCTCAGCAGATACAACTTCGGTATCTTTGGAAACTTCTACCTCCACAGTTGTCTCCCCTGTGATATCAGGTTGGTCCATTACTGATTCCTCGGTAACACTAGTTTCTTCTTCACTGATCACTGAAGGTTTAGTTTCCGTGACAGCTGGGAAGACAGTTACCTCTTCAATAAGATCTTCGGGTAATGTTTCAGGAACCACTTCTCTTTCTTCCTCGGTTTGTTCTTCAGTGACTAAATCCACCTCACTTTCAACAACAGACGGTTTCTCTTCTTCAATTGTGACAATTTCTTTGATCTCTGTAATTACCTCCTCTTTTGGTTTTTCAGTTTCTCTTTCCTCGGTTAGATATTTGACATCCTCATCCACCAAGAATTCATCTGTTGCTTCTACCTCGGATTTTGTGGTGTCCTCCACTGAGACTTGTTCAGTAACAAATGTCACCACCTCCTCTACAGAGCTGTCTGAGGCCACAACAGTGAGCGATTCTGGTGTCTCCTCCATTGGAATGTCTTCTTCTTGTGGCACTACCTCAAATGATTTTGATTCCAATTTGACGGCTACCTCAGTCATGTCAGAAACGTCCTGCTCAGTTGTTTCCTCCATTTCAAATTCTGGTTTCTTTTCTGACACCTCTTCCACAGGAATTTCAGATTCAGTGATTTCAGTTTCAGAAACCAGCTTGTCTGTGACAGAAGACACTTCAGTAACAGCAGGTGTGACACTCTCTGAAGGTGTTTCTTCTTCGGTATCCACAGTTGTTTCTACAACCTCTTCAGCTGGAACAACATCCTCCTGTGTGTCCACATCAGCTGGTTTCTTTTCTTCAGTGATGGGAGACTTTACAACCTCAGTAACTATTTCCTCAGTGGGTTTTTGAGTTTCCAGTTTCACGTCAATTTCAGTGACGGTCTCCTGAGTAATTTCATCCGACTCTGGCTGTGCTTCTGAAGGTTTTTTGTCGTCCACAATAACTTCAGTCACTTCTAGCGGAACTTCAGATTCTAAGGTTTGTTCCTGTTCTAGAGGTTTCATTTCTGGAGCCTCCTCCTCAGAAATATGCTCTTCTGACATGTCGACATCTGTAGTTTTGGTGACGTCAACGGTAACAGTTTCAGAAACATCCTCCTCTATCTTTTCTGGAATGCCTTTATCCAGTTGGACCTCAAATTCTTCTATATCCTCTGTTATTGTAACATCCATCTCAGTGTCAGTTTCTGATGGTTTAACTTCCTCTATGACTACCATCTGTGTTACCTCTTCAACAACATCCTCGGTAGGTTGATCCACATCAATATCCAAGGACATTGCAGAGACTTCTTTCTCTGGCTGCTGGAGTTCCTCCTCAGTGACTTCTGACAAGTCTACAGTTTCTACCGTTTCCTCCTTAGTAGTTTCAGGTACATCCACATCACTGATTTGGGTAGATACAACTTCGTTGACTAAAACTGTTTCCAGAAGGTCTTTGGTGAACTCTTCTGCATATTTTTGGACGGTTTCGACAATTATCTCTGAGGATTCCACATCCTTCTTTTCATCCTTTTCCTCAACCATTGAAACATCCTCATCCTCCCTGATAACTAGCTCCTCATAGGATTCTGTGATATATTCCTCAGATTTATCCAGATCGAAGCTGACCTGCTTCTGAGCTTTCTCTTGATCTACAATAGTAAATTCCTCAGTAGTTTCAGCTTCTGGTTTTTTGTCTAAAACAATTGTTTCCTTGATTTCCTCAATTGTTTCTTCCTCATTTGCTTGCTCAGCCAAATCCTCAGGAACCTCCTCAACTTCTTCAATTTCATCTTCTGTTTCAGCAACGGGTGTTTCTGCAGGTTTAGATTCTTCAACAGAAACTGTTGCAGCTACCTCTTCCTGTGTATCTATAAATGGCGTGACTGCCTCAATCTCTGTGATATCATCAGTTGGTGCTTTCTCTACGTCAATTTCAAGCCTGGTTACTTCTGATTGCGGACTCTCCTCTACCGAGATAGTTTGTCTCAACTCTGTTGCTGTTTCCTCCTTAGGTTTTTCCGTTTCAACTTCTGGAAATTCATTCAGTGTCTCTTCTGACTGAAGGGAAACTTCTGTAATTTCGGTTCTGCTGGGCTTTTTTATGTCAATAACGATAGTTTCCTCGGAAAATTCAGTAGGTTTAGAATCTGTAGTGTTGATTTGAATTTCTGATATTTCTTGAACATCTGGTGTTTCTTGGTCTTGTTCAAGCTGTCCAACTTCAGATGGTTTTTCTTCCAGAACTTCAATGGTTTCTCTGATCACTTCTGTGACTTCCTCTGTGGGCGTCTGGATTTCCATTTCTATATTTAAGTCAGAGGGAACCTCCTCAGAAACCACAGCTTCAGTTTCAGAAACAGCTGTAGGCTCCTTCTCATCCAGGACAATAGTTTCTCTTGTTTCTTCGAGGGTTTCTTCAGATGGTTTTTCAGCCTCTGTTTCATGTTGAATTTCCTCTATGTCAGATTCCTGTGCCTGAATATCAACCTCAGACACTTCAGTGGGTTTACGTGCTATGGCTGTGACAGATTCACTTGTAATTTCTGTCATTTCTTCAGTAGAAATATCGGTTTTGTCCTGAGGTATGTCTTCTAGTTGTTCAAGTGTCTGATCTTCCACTTGTTCATCTACATCTGTTGGCTTGGTGTCATCAAGTTTGATAGTTTCGCGTGTTTCCTCTACCACCTCGACTTTTGGTTGTTCTGTTTCTACAGGGACAACATCATCAACATCAGTGGACAGTGTTTCCTCAAAGATTTCTGTCACATCTGTAATTTTCTCTTCATCAACATCAGCGATCTCATCAGTTTCAATGAGAATTTCAGACACAACCTGAGTGACTTCAACCTCCTCAGATTCTGTAATTTCTACGGTCAGAGTTTCCTCAGTTTCTTCAGAAACCTTTGTTGGTTTCTCCTGTTCAATGCCTACAGTTTCTACAATGGCTTCGGTAATATCCAATGCCAACTCTTCTGTTTCTGTTCTGACAGCAGTAACCTCATCGGTTATTGGTGTATCAGTGACCTCTTTGACCTCTGTGGTGACCTGGGTAGATTTGACCTCTGGCTTTGCCTCAATGACCTCTCTTTCTACCTCAATTGTCACGGTCTCTGGAGGAGAAGATTCTGTTATTTCTTCAGACTCAACAGGAATTTCAGTGACAGAAATGACCTCTCTTTCAGTCACAATCACATCTTCTTCTGGAGCCTCAACTTCAGTCTCCACGATGACCTCAGATATATCCGAGGTTTCAGTAACCATGGTTTCTGGTTGTTGTGGTTTAATTTCAAACTGTATTTCCTGTGGTTCTGTGGTTGGAATGATGTCCATTGTTTCAGTAAACTGTTTAGTTTCTGTAACAGTTTCCTGGGAAACATCTGTTACCAATATTTCTTCTTTCAATACTGGTGTAAACTCAACTTCAACCTCTGTAGTCTGTGGTTTAGAAGCCAGTTCTAGAGTCTCTTTGAATTTTTCCTCGGGAGTAATATCGAGGGGGGTTTCATCCTCCTTTTTAACTATTTGTAGTGTTTCTCTAAAAGTCGTTTCAGTAACTGATTCAGGTGCTGCAACTTCAACCTCGACAATGTCTGGCTGCTCGTCAACATCCAAAGTGATTTCAGACACTTCAGATGGTACATCAGCTAAATCCTCTGAAATGGTAATTACAGATTCTATAACAGATTCTTCCGTCACCTCAGTAATGGTTTTCTTGATCTCAGTAGTGCTTTCCTCTGGGGTGATGTCAATTTCAACTTCCGTGACCTGAGGTTTGCTATCAATGACCTTTTCAGTTCGAACGATAGTCTCCTCTTTGATTTCTTCCACATCAATAGGAACTGATATTTCAGTTTTCTCTGGTTTCTTTTTGATAATTACAGGTTTTTCCTCCTCAATCTCTATTTGTTCAACTGGAGTTTCTACAGGAGTAAATTCTAACTCCAGTTCTGACATCTGAGGTTTCGGAGTGATTTCTTTTTCAGTCTTAACTATCACTTCCTCCTCTGGGAATTCCACAATGGGTTCACTTTTGATTTCAGAAACATCTTCAACTGTTTGGCTAACTTCAATCCTCTCTCTAAACACAGTCTCTGTGACAGTTTCAGGAGCTGTCACTTCAACTTCTACAACTTCAGGTTGTTTGTCAATCACGTCTAAAGTTACCTCAGACAATTCTGATGCAGGTTTTTCCTCGGGAACAATAGAAACTGATTCTGTGAAAGTTTCTTCTGTGATCTTTGTAATTTCTGTCACCTCAGAGGTGGTAACTGTTTCCTCTGGGGTGATGTCAATTTCAACTTCCGTGACCTGAGGTTTGCTATCAATGACCTTTTCAGTTCGAACGATAGTCTCCTCTTTGATTTCCTTCACATCAACAGGAACTGATATTTCAGTTTTCTCTGGTTTCTTTTTGATAATTACAGGTTTTTCCTCCTCAATCTCTATTTGTTCAACTGGAGTTTCTACAGGAGTAAATTCTAACTCCAGTTCTGACATCTGAGGTTTCGGAGCAACCTCTTTTTGTGTGGTTACTATAGTTTCTTCAACAACCTCAGGAAGGTCCTCCTTAACAGGGATGCTCATCTCTGTAACTTCTGCAGTTTTTTCCTCTGGAAGAGATTCTTCCTCTTCCAGTTCTTGAATGGTGATTGGTGATTTTGGAACGACTTCTAAAGTTTCCTTGAAGAAAGATTCCTCATCTGTTTCTTGTGCTTCAGATGAAGGTGCACTTCGCGCTGAAATTGGTTCAAATAAAGAATCTGTCAAATTTAGACAAACCTATCTATCATTAACACCCTGATCTGCTTTGACCTAACTTTCTGTCTACAAGTTACCTTAACCGTAGTCATGTCTGGTCTTTACCTGTCTGAAAAAAGGGAGACATTGAAAATGCCCAAAAACATTGCAAAAGGAGAAACCAGGTGGATGGGGATTGATATGTGAAAACCCGGGATCAAACAATCAACAGTTCAAACAGGCTAGGGAACTGTAATGAAAATGGGATCACAAACTCAAGAAAGACTTCATTATATTTCAGTTTGCATATTGCTAGTCAAATTTCTAAAGATTCTTTGTGGCTTCAAACTGGGGACATATTTCAAAAACAGTACACATTCAAAATTATACTTTTAATTCAGTTCAAGGTCTAACAGTGTGGGTGCAAAGGTCAGGCAACAAAGTAGCAAACAAGGTTCAGGTCAGAGGAGTTCAGGTATAACTGTAAATCTAGCATTTTTATCCTGTTTAGTGCCTAAAAGAACACTCAATTACGTATATCTAAATGAAACTTTTGCCTCAGACTTTAAATCTTAAGCTTTCTCCCAAAAAAATGTTAACGTTTAATTTCTGAAATGATATCGCTCTATCATGACTTGATACATAAACATTAACAAAAAATGGAAAGAAAAATTAAAAAAAAAAAAAAAACAAGTAGTGAAAAATCCATAATGAAATCATTTCTGCTGAATTAATTTAGGTAACACAATTTTACCATATCTACCATTCCCTAAATCTATCTGTGAATCACACCATTCTATTCCAAACTTCTCTACTTTTCTTTTATTTTGTTTCTGTTATAATCTTAATCTTGAATGTTAAATATACGCAATGAAATAAAGTATTTCTCAATGAAACTGCAACAGATCACTATTGAAATTAAGAAAAATTAATTTTTGCTTAGGAAAACATGCAGAGAGTGACCAACACGAAATGGCCGGATGTAAAACATGGAGGAGAATCATGCATGCTGTACTTACGTAGGACACAGATGTATGCTGTAGACCTCGCTGTACCAGCTTTGTTGGTAAGTTCAACCCAGTACTCTCCTTCATCTTCTGGATATGCGTCTTTGATGATGAAGGCGCTGCTTGTTTCTGTGACAATAATCTCTATGTCCTCGCTTTGTTTCAATGGCTCACCATCAAGAAACCAAGTAACCTTTGGAGCAGGACAAGCGGTGAAGACGACCTCCAGATGAAGAACATTGTTTTCCATGATGGTGATGTCTGTGAGTGAGGTTGTGAAACGAGGACTCTGGACTTCCTCGGTTTCAACAGTTTCCACCTTCTTTGCAACCTCAAAGGAAATCTCTTGTACTTGGACTGTGGTCTCAGTTTCTGGTTTCTCTTCTGGAACCATTTCAATTTCCACCGTCTGTATGGCTTCTTTGACAATTTCAGTTTTTGTAACAATGGTGTCGGTGGTTGCCTTGGAAACCTGGACTTCAATCTCTACAGGTACAGTTTCCTGTACAAAAGGAACCTCAACTTTAGTAACCTCTGTTTTTTCCACTGTTTCCTCATGAAGAGTAACTTTTGTCTGCTCAGTGGTTGTTTTAATGGGTTTGATTTCAATGACTTCAATTTCAGATGGAGTTGTCTTTTCTTCTTCAATCTCAGTTACTATGGAAACATCTTCTTGTGGAATGGTGTCTTCAGCTGAAACAGTTTTTGTTTCTTTAGGAGCTTCTTTTGATGGAGTAGCTTCTGTGACCTCAACATTCAAAGTTTTTGGTTCTTCTGGGAGTAAAGAATCCACAGTTTCAGTTTCTTCTTCAGGCAGGATTTCCTCATCAGGGGCTGCTTTTGTCTCCTCAGGAGTTTCCTTTTCTGGAATAACTTCAACTACCTCAATTTCAGTAGTGGCTGGTTCCTCAGGTTTGACAACATCCAAAACAACAGTTTCTTCTTCAGGCAGGGTTTCCTCATCAGGGGCTGTTTTTGTCTCCTCAGGAGTTTCCTTTTCTGGAATAACTTCAACTACCTCAATTTCAGTAGTGGCTGGTTCCTCAGGTTTGACAACATCCAAAACAACAGTTTCTTCTTCAGGCAGGATTTCCTCATCAGGGGCTGTTTTTGTCTCCTCAGGAGTTTCCTTTTCTGGAATAACTTCAACTACCTCAATTTCAGTAGTGGCTGGTGCCTCAGGTTTGACAACATCCAAAACAACAGTTTCTTCTTCAGGCAGGATTTCCTCATCAGGGGCTGTTTTTGTCTCCTCAGGAGTTTCCTTTGCTGGAATAACTTCAACTACCTCAATTTCAGTAGTGGCTGGTTCCTCAGGTTTGACAACATCCAAAACAACAGTTTCTTCTTCAGGCAGGATTTCCTCATCAGGGGCTGTTGTTGTTTCCTCAGGAGCTTCCTTTTCTGGAATAACTTCAACTACCTCAATTTCAGTAGTGGCTGGTTCCTCAGGTTCGACAACATCCAAAACACCAGTTTTTTCTTCAGGTAAAATTTCTTCATCAGTGCCTGCTTTTGTCTCCTCAGGAGTTTCCTTTTCTGGAATAACTTCAACTACCTCAATTTCAGTAGAGGCTGGTTTCTCAGGTTCGGCAACATCCAAAACAACAGTTTCTTCTTCAGGCATGATTTCCTCATCAGGGGCTGTTTTTGTTTCCTCAGGAACTTCCTTTTCTGGAATAACTTCAACTACCTCAATTTCAGTAGTTGCTGGTTCCTCAGGTTCGGCAACATCCAAAACAACAGTTTCTTCTTCAGGCATGATTTCCTCATCAGGGGCTGTTGTTGTTTCCTCAGGAACTTCCTTTTCTGGAATAACTTCAACTACCTCAATTTCAGTAGCGGCTGGTTCCTCAGGTTTGACAACATCCAAAACACCAGTTTCTTCTTCAGGTAAAATTTCTTCATCAGTGGCTGTTTTTGACTCCTCAGGAGCTTCCTTTTCTGGAATAACTTCAACTACCTCAATTTCAGTAGTGGCTGGTTCCTCAGGTTTGACAACATCCAAAACAACAGTTTCTTCTTCAGGCATGATTTCCTCATCAGGGGCTGTTTTTGTTTCCTCAGGAACTTCCTTTTCTGGAATAACTTCAACTACCTCAATTTCAGTAGTGGCTGGTTCCTCAGGTTTGACAACATCCAAAACAACAGTTTCTTCTTCAGGCAGGATTTCCTCTTCAGGGGCTGTTTTTGTTTCCTCAGGAACTTCCTTTTCTGGAATAACTTCAACTACCTCAATTTCAGTAGTAGCTGGTTCCTCAGGTTTGACAACATCCAAGACACCAGTTTCTTCTTCAGGCAGGATTTCCTCGTCAATGGCTGTTTTTGTTTCCTCAGGAGCTTCCTTTTCTGGAATAACTTCAACTACCTCAATTTCAGTAGTAGCTGGTTCCTCTGGTTTGACAACATCCAAGACACCAGTTTCTTCTTCAGGCAGGATTTCCTCGTCAATGGCTGTTTTTGTTTCCTCAGGAGTTTCCTTTTCTGGAATAACTTCAACTACCTCAATTTCAGTAGTAGCTGGTTCCTCAGGTTTGACAACATCCAAAACAACAGTTTCTTCTTCAGGCAGGATTTCCTCATCAGGGGCTGTTTTTGTCTCTTGAGGAGTTTCCTTTTCTGGAGTAGTTCCAACTACTTCAATTTCAGAAGTGGCTGGTTCCTCTGAAGGAACAGAATCCAAGGCTTTAGTTTCTTCCTCTGGTAGTGTCTCTTCCATTGTTGGTACTTTACTTTCCCGTTTTGTTTCTACAACAGCAGTGCCAACCTCAATTGTGATATCAGAAGATGTGGTTGTCTCCTCAGTTGCCACAGAAACATCCTCTGTCTCTTCTGGCTCGAGAGATTCCTCAACTGTCGGAGCTGAAGAAGGCTCAACAGGCTTCATTGAAATGTCTGAGGAAAGAGATTTACAAAAGAAATAAAAATCTGGAATAAGAAAATAAACCTCATTACTGTAAAATTCTTCTTCTTTAAACAGCAATATTTGTAGCTACCCAATGACATTTCATGAATGTTTTTGTTCAAAATTTCTTCACAAAATTTTTCTATGACAAGTCATTCAAATGTTTCCAAGTTGATTTTTAAGAGAATATTTGTTAAATGTACATTTCCCAAACGTTCTGTGACAGAAATGAAGCTGAATCCTGAGAACTACTGACTTAGAAACAAAAAAAAAACACCTGTTACACTGAAGTACACACAGGGCAGATACCATATGAACTAAACTGCATCAAATTATATCTGAAATGGTTTCCACGTTTCTAAATAAATCTTAATCAAATGTAGATATCACAAAAAACTTACCATGAACATGAAGATAGGCAGTTGATGTGATAGTGCCTTCTTTAGAGACCACCTCAACAGTGTATTCTCCCTCATCCTCGAGCATGACGTCGTGGAACAGGAGAACACTGTGGTGTTCTTTTGTCACAATTTCTATCTCCTTGCATGGCTCAATTTCCTCGCCATCCAGAAACCATGTGACCTTTTCAGGCTTGCCAGTGTAAGTCACATCAAATCGGATTGTTGTGTTTTCTGTCACATGCATGTCATTGAGCTTGGACACAAAAGTGGGAACATCCTCCTCCTTAATCACCGTGGAGATGACTTCTGTGACCTCACTTATTTCAGTAACCTCCTGTGTAGTTGTTTCAGAGACACCAGGGATGACTACTTCGATTTCAGCAGCCTCAGATGGTATCTCAGATGGCTCTGTTGTGTCCTCTGGAGTAACCTTGACCTCAACTGTCTCCTCAGGGCTGAGGACTTCCTCCTCAATGGATGCCTCCTGAATCGGAGCCTCTTGTTTCTCAGCAGGCTTCATCACCACATCTGTCAATGACATCATCCATAAAACTTTTACAAAATAAATCAAATGAATTAATATCTATGTACATAAAGTGTTTTTTAATTTTAAGTTGAAACATCATATTATGCAATTCACTTTTCATGAAATTGTCTTTTATCAAATACTAGATCCTGTCTTACCTTGAAAGTAAACTAATATTAGAAACAGTTAATAACTTTTTTAAAAATGGTGTAATTTTGATCATTTTTCTTGTTATTAAGCATTGAAATCATAGGTTAATTAACATGTATCTATTAGTATCTGATGACTTTTAATTCTTTATCAAAACTCTGTGGAATGATATACAGCCAAACTTCAATGTTTTGAAGTTCAAGGGACTACCCAAAAAAACTTTAATATATATCGAGACTTTGAACAATTCATTGTGGGTTAAATGGACCAGTTCATGTTCATGGCTATATATAGTTGATGACATGATATTTCTACCTGAACAAACACAACAAATTCCAAAACACAAGTTTAAAGGAAAAGATGCATTTTTATCTTAAAACATTCTCATTCATAAAAAATAACTTAAAATAGAAATCAACGAGATATTGATAATGCGCGTTTACTTTTTCATTTGTGCCTCTATGTCACACAGTGTATGTATTTCACTGATTAATTTTGAATAAACGATGCGCAGCATTAAAGTGGTCTTCAAATGTTACAGTTATTATTGTAGGACTGATACATAAACGTTACAGGTACTAATGACTAACACTTGGACGACGTAGAATTAATTAAGGTCACCTACTAAGGATATAGGATGATATTCATCCATCAGAAAAAAACCAGAATGACTCAAAGCTACCTACGATAACAAAATAATATATTAACACTTTGGCTAAATAATTCTAAATCAAATCTGACGGCAAAGGACTGAAGTGGGGTGAAAATATTTTTGATATGAATTGAAAGTTTCAATTCCTTTGAATAAATCTTAATCAAATGTAGATATCACAAAAAAGACTTACCATGAACATGAAGATAGGCAGTTGATGTGATAGTGCCTTCTTTAGAGACCACCTCAACGGTGTATTCTCCCTCATCCTCGAGCATGACGTCGTGGAACAGGAGAACACTGTGGTGTTCTTTTGTCACAATTTCTATCTCCTTGCATGGCTCAATTTCCTCGCCATCCAGAAACCATGTGACCTTTTCAGGCTTGCCAGTGTAAGTCACATCAAATCGGATTGTTGTGTTTTCTGTCACATGCATGTCATTGAGCTTGGACACAAAAGTGGGAACATCCTCCTCCTTAATCACCGTGGAGATGACCTCTGTGACCTCACTTATTTCAGTAACCTCCTGTGTAGTTGTTTCAGAGACACCAGGAATGACTACTTCGATTTCAGCAGCCTCAGATGGTACCTCAGATGGCTTTGTTGTGTCCTCTGGAGTAACCTTGACCTCAACTGTCTCCTCAGGGCTGAGGACTTCCTCCTCAATGGATACCTCCTGTGTTGGGGACTCTTGTTTCTCAGCAGGCTTCACCACGACATCTGCACAGGGTGGCAAGAAGAATTTTCTAATTAATTTTACAAATCTTTAAACAGAATTAATTGCTATATCAATTTTTAGGAATATTGCTTGTCCATTAACCCTTACTGGAAAACACACTTATACACCTGTTTTAAATAAGATCTATACTTGAGTTTTGAAAAAACAAGATGGTGTTCAACTTTAATTGAACTTGTTTGAAAATCCAAAGGTATATAAGATACATGTTGAAAGTATGTTTTTCAGCAGGTATAAAGTCATGTCTATCTCTTAGTTGCCAAGTTTGAAAAAGTTTTATCCTTTATCTAATTTTCCATCAGGAAAGGATCTTAATCATTTAAGCCATGCCAATTTGAAAAGTAGTTCTTTGGGAATTACCACTCTTAAAATCTGGAGTTGAGAAAAAAAAAAAAAATTTTTAAATTACTGCTCCTCAAAAAAATATCACAGATTCTAATTTTTTTTTTTTTTTTTTTTGGTCAGATTTTAAGTTTATAGATCACTAATGTTAGTTGCACAGAAACCATGATTGCTAAGAAAGTTAACGCTAAGTCGTCCTGGTACTGAATAGGATTCATTCTTCCATGACACTATCATGTCGTATGTAAGAGAAAAGTAATTTGAATATTTTATTCACAAGAAGAAAATTTTTGAATTTTTTTTTAATCTTAGTAAATTCAAATAAATTCAAGTTTTAAATAAATGCCTGTGACATTCATCTTGAATAAAATTTCTCCCCCCCCAAAAAAAACTGGGAAAGAAATTTTGAAATGCATCAAAGAATCATTTCTGTTTCAAAAACCATAAAATGGACACAATGTTGACATATTCACTGACCAACACCTGATGATATTGGATAAGTTTTATAGAAACTCTATGAAATAAAACCAAACTACCTGTGATACTAAGATAGTATTACATATTACTGCTCCAGTTGGCTGAACAATTCTTGTTTAAATCAACCAGACTGGATATACTTGAGATAGAAATCTCTTAACCAGGCCAAAACAGTTGATAAATTTGAAGAAGAATCTTGGTCTTGACATGTCGACAACAAACTCCAAACAATTGACCAAACTCAGAATTAACAATCTATCACTCTGATTGGTTTTGTACTATTTGTGTCGACCAATCAAGTATAGCTGTGAGTTTGGATGGAGTTGAATCCGAGATCCCAGGACCAGGCACATGTAGTAAAAATTGTAGAACAAACTTGGTCATGATATGTCTACAGCAAACTCCGAAGTAAAACCAAACTCTTGATGAAAAACATTCACCACTCTAATTGGTTAAGCATAATTGTGTAGACCAATCAGAGGTAGCCTAGAGTTTGGTCGGAGTTGACTTCTGATATTCCAAGACCAGGTCAGTATAGTGGAGAAACATTGACCTGTTACTTGGAGGTATGCTGTGGTCGTTGCCTTGCCAACAGGATTGGTGACCTCAACAATATATTGACCCTCATCCTTTGGAAGGACCTCATGCAGTACAAGGACACTATGGTGTTCTTGGATTGTAATCTCAATATCTTGTGATGGCAGCAGCTCCTCCTTCTCCAAGATCCAGGCAACCTCTGGTGTCGGGGTGCCTGTGAAGCTAACCTCAAACCTCACAGAAGTGCCCTTGGCAACTTGCATGTCTGAGAGGGGTGTCACAAACACAGGTACTTCTTGTTTTGGTGCTGGGACTTCTGAAACCTCAGAAATCTCAATTTCCTTCTCAGTAGTTTCAGTCAAGATCTGAACTGAATCCATTTCTAAGTCTGATTCTGTTGTAATTTCAAGAGGAATTGTCTGCTCTGGTTGTGATTCCTGTGTAAAGGGAACTACATCCTCACCTGTTGGTTCCTCATCCTGTATGGTCGGTGCCACTTCTTCTGAAGAGGGTACCACTTCCTGTGTGGTCGGTGTCTCCACTGGTTCCACTGCTATTGGCTGGACAGCCTCTGCTGGCTTAGCTTCCTCAGGTTGTGGTTCCTGTGTGATTGGAGCCACTTCCTCTGAAGAGGGTGCCACTTCCTGTGTGGTCTCTATGACACTTTCTGTGACATCAGCAGGCTTAGTTTCCTCAACTTGTGGTTCCTGTGTGATTGGAGCCACTTCTTCTGAAGAGGGTGCCACTTCCTGTGTGGTCTCTATGACACTTTCTGTGACATCAGCAGGTTTAGCTTCTTCAGGTTGTGGTTCCTGTGTGATTGAAACAACCTCTTCTGATGCTGGTGCTACTTCTTGTGTTGTTTCTGTAACACTGGCCACTGGTGCCATAGCTGTTGGTTGGACAGCCTCGGTGGTGACGTCAAGAGGCTTAGCTTCCTCCGGTTGTGGTTCTTGTGTGATTGGTGCCACTTCCTCTGTCTCTTCTACTTCAGTTGTCTCTACTGTGCCTGCCTGAATTTCCACTTCCTGGGATTGAGCTGGTTCCTCTTTTGCTTCAAGTATCTCAATCTCCATTTTTTCTTTGACCTTCTGGATCTGCTCCTCAAATTCCTTAGCGACAGTTGATATTTCAGAGTCTGAGTCAATGTGAGGCTTTGGGGAGGCGGCTTCAATGGATGACAGGAAGGAGTCTGAAGCTTCCTCAGTGTCAGGTACATACTCATAGGCTGTAAAGGAGGAGAGCTTGGGAGTCAAAAGCGTGAATCAAATATGTATGATCAACAATGGGTTAGTCAGGTGGTGGGTGAATTTACAAACATTTGTGTTAGTAAACAAATCAAAAACCATGTTTCTTAAACGGGACAAAATTTTGCAAATCTACTCAAAACATTTTTTAATATCAATTTCACAAATCAACAAATCCTGATTAATCCTCTAAAAGAGAACAATGCATTTGGAAAAAGGACATACTTAACATTGTGAACACATGCATTTGAGGATTAATCAATTTGTCAACATGTAAATAGATATTACTAACACTTTAGCTAGAGTTGCAGAATGAATTACTTGTCACCAAACATTCAGTATCAAATATCATTAATCTACAAATTATTTCTACCAAATGTACTTCAAAAAAAGTTTAAATTGATATTCAGTCAAAACAGAAATGAATCCTAATATTTTGAAGACCTAGAAAGTTTTTCTCCCTTTTTCAGAAATCCACAAATGACAAGGTCAATAATTGTTTCAGAATACCAGAATACTTATACCATAGAGGTGAATTTAGGAAAATCTCATCCAGGGAATACCGTCGAATATAAAATCCAACAAGGAACATAAGGGAAATTTTCATCAAGGAATACTTAAGTATTTGATACAGACAGGGCTAAGTTTACAATTTTCATAACCTCAAAATCACACCCAAGTCAAAAACACACAAAGTATTCAACTATTGGAAATAGCTGCATTCTTAGTTTAAACGTTTACATTTGAAGTTCTTCATTTGTAATTGTGTAGTGATAAAGTCCTAGTCAAGAATGGCGAAGGTTTCAGCAACTAAGATCATTTATGTCAACATCAGTTTAAGAATATTTGTAGAAACTACTCACATTCAACCTCGAGATAGCCACGCGTTATAGCCTTTCCATATTTGTTCACGGCGATACAAGTGTACTCTCCTGCATCCTGTGGAAATACCTCGACGATAAGGAGAGTACAAGCACCGCTTCCTGTGTTATAGGTCAGTTTGAAGTCCTGGTTCTCTGTAATCGGTTTGTCATCATGGAACCAGGAAATCTCCGGCATAGGATGGCCTTCAACTTCACAACGAAATTTGGCCTCTTCTCCGTCCATAACCTTGAGAGAAGTCAAACCCCATGTAAAATCTGGGGCAAGGTCACCTTCCGGGATCTCTATATCGGCAAAGATTTCTCTAGTAGTAGTTGCCTCTGGAACCGTGATTTTCTCCTCTTCAGTTACAACAATCTTTGTTATCTCTTTGACATGTTCAGGCATCTCAAGGGTAAGTTCAATTTCTTCTTGAGGTTGTTCTGTCAGTTGAAAAGTAATTTCCTCAGTGGTGGTGTCTCCAAGTTCAAGGTCAGAAACCTGGAAGGTGATTTCCTCAGTGGTGTTAGTTGTTGTTTCCGACTCCTGTGATTCCTGTATTTGGGGCATCATCTGGTCATCACTGATCTGGAATGTGAGCTCCACTTCCTCACCTGGTGTTTCTTCAACTTGTAGCGGTGTTTCTTCAGATGTTGTCTCATCTATCTCTGCCAGTTGGAATGTAAAACTCTGTGGTTCTTCAATTACCTCTTCTGTTCTTGTGATTTCTTCAATGAGGTTTGTTTCCGTCTCACCTACTTGGACTATTATCTCATTTTCCTCCTCAGGTATGTCCTCAATCTGTAGAGTAATTTCTTCAGTGATTGTGTCATCAGCTGTGGAAACTTCCTCAGTGGTTATTTCTTCTGTTCTTGACATCTTTCTTTGAGTGACTTCCTCTACAACAAAAGGAGAGGTATCCTCTTTTAATTCTATGCTGAACTGAATCTCCTCACCAGGTGTCTCTTCCGTGTCCATGACAACCTCCTTATCCTCTTCCTGTTGCAGGACAGGAAGTTGGAACACCTCTTCAGTTTCCATTGAAACCTGTTCCACAGGGACTGCGGCATCAGATTCTGGCACTTCAATCTCCTGATCAGCTATCGTCATGGAAACAATTTCTTCAGATGGCTGGTCTTTCACCTCTAATATTACTTCCTCAGTCGATGAATCAGTGACTGCCGGAAGTTGAAACCTGAATTCTTCTTCAATATTTACTGACTTCTCTGTTATCCTTGTCTCTTCAATCTCAGAAATACCTGAGTCAGAAATGTGCAGAGTAAGTTCTACAGCCTCATCTGGCTGATCCTCAAATTGCAGAGCAACCTCCTCTTTCTGAGTATCTTCAAGTTCAGGAAGTTTAACAACCTCTGTGATTTCTTCTTTGACTACTTCTACATCCTGCAAGACTTCCTCTATTTGTGGGACAGACTCTTCTGTCTGTTCCACCTGTAGAGAGAAATGTACTTCCTCCATGGGTTCATTTTTAACATTAATGACCATTTCTTCCTGATAGCTTTCCTCACCCTGGGGGATTTCAAATGTCACTTCTTTGGTAATTCTTGATTCCTCTGTTTCAGTGGTGGTTGTAACTTCTGGCAGTTGTTCAGAAATATTAATATCAATCTGAATCACCTCCTCTGGAGCCTCTGGTTCACGAATTATCTCAATAGTTTCACGTTGAGAAATTTCTAAAATATCTTCAGGAGCCCCTGTTTCAGATTCTGGTTCTTTAATATGTTCAATGACAGCACGTTGTGTAACTTCTACTGGCTGTAGAGGAGCTGGTGTTTCAGCCTCTAGTTGCGTAACCTGAATGGTCTCGCGTTCTGTCATTATCACTGGTTGAGCAGGTGCATCAGTCTCCACTTCAGACACCTGTTCTTCAGGAGCAGACTCCTCGAGAGCCTCAACTTGCTTTGGAGTTGTCTCTTCAATATCTTGAGGTTGGTCAACAAGTTGGAAAGTAATTTCTTCATGGTGAGTTTCCTCTTTTACTTCTTTAACAGGTACATCCTCTACTGGTTTATCCCCCTGTATATCAATGGAAAATGTTACTTCCTCTTTAGGTCGACCTTTGAGGTCAAATGTGATTTCTTCTAGATGTGTTTCCTGTGAATCAATGATGTCAGTTTTCTGAACTTCAGTTTCTATGACAAAAGTTTGAACCTCTTGTTTAGTTTCCTCAGATATTGCTGTTGTTTCTAAAGTTGTTTCAACAGATATGTCCATAACAGGCATTTCCTCCACAGGGGTTTCCTCAACTGGAGTTTCCTCAACAGGGGTTTCCTCAACAGGGGTTTCCTCAACTGGAATTTCCTCAACTGGAGTTTCCTCAACAGGGGTTTCCTCAACTGGAGTTTCCTCAACAGGGGTTTCCTCAACTGGAGTTTCCTCAACAGGGGTTTCCTCAACTGGAGTTTCCTCAACAGGGGATTCTTCTACAGGAGTTTTCTGGACAGGTGATTCCTCCGTTGGTGTTTCCTCAACCGGAAATTCAACATGAACTTCCTGCTTAGTTTTCTCTTCCCTTGGAATTTCCTCCTCCACAATTGGCTCCGGTTTCTTTTCCACCTCCAATGTTGGTCTGATTACTTCAATCTTTTCTTCTGTAGGACAAGGTAGATCTTTTGGTTCGGCACCATCAACAATGTCAAACTCCACCTCACTCTTACCTTTGAAGGGGATGTGTATCTCATGTGGTTTTTGTACCATGAATTTCTCCTGGATCTCAACTTCATATTTCTGAACTGAAGTCCGTCTCTCCTGTTGAGTCTGAGTGGTCAGCTTTTTCTCTGTCTTTGTGATTGTTTGTTGGTCTGGTAGACTGATCTCAAATTGTACTTCCTGTGGTTTGTCATGCTGAATCTCTATAGTTTCGGAGTGTCTCTCCTCTGATTCAGACACCTCCGGTTCTTGAGTGATTGTACGCATCTCTTTGGTGATGATGCTTGTTGTCTCAGATAAAACATCTTCAGTCGGAAGTTTTTGAATCTCAATGAGTTTGAGAGGTTGGGGTTCTTCTTGGGAAGTCACCACCATTGAGGTCTTGTGGAATTCTCCGCCTTCCACAATATTTGGATAGCTCTCCACATCAACTACTTCCTGCGTTGTTGTGGTTGTTGTAAAAGTGGTTGTCTCCGTGGTAACCGTGGAGGTTGGCCTTGGCTGTTGTTGCTGTGGAAACCCTATCTGAATTTCAAATTGAGTTGTTGGTTCAGTCATTACCATGGTTCCTTTCTGCGTTACCATGGAAACTGGATGTGTGACTGTTGGTTGTGTAACCACAGTGACTGATTGAGGCTGTTGGACTCTGGGTCCCTGATGATCTAGTTCAATAGATTCCTTGAACCGTGTTTCCTCTGTCATATCAAAAGGTGTATCAACTTGTGGTTCCTTCTGTATATGCAGCTGTGTCGTGTGAATATCGCGTGTCACCTCTTCAGGTTTTGGGACCTGCTGGACCTCAATTGTCATGCGATGGGATTCAGTTTCGGGGATATCTTCTTCAGGGGCTGCAAGAACAAGACAGGTGTGATTGAGGATGGGAAGGCAGCAAGCAAGGACCACTCAGAGAACAGGACAAATTCACACATCAGTCATAATCACAAACTTACTGGAATTATAATCAATTTATAAATAAGATTGTATATCAATTAAAATTTACATGTATTTTGATTTTCATTGCATTAAATATTTGTTTTATATGAAACCTCACTAAGCATAATTTTTATTTCTCATAATCTTTAAAAATTTGATCACCAACAATTGATTCATTTCAAATATCAAAAATTTTTCTTTTATATTAAATGGAAAATTTTCTAAGAGATTTTGTACACAGAATATTTATCACATCAAAAAAATCCCTGGCACAACTAGGAAGGCGGAATAGGAGAACATCCGGAATTTGACAAATGACCTTGATATTGTGATCATGCACTATGGTTCTACAGCGGCTGAGACGTACCAACAACTGTGAGGCGACAGGTTGTTATCGTCTCCCCGTAACGGTTTCGAGCAGAACAAGTGTATTCGCCCTCATCCTCCGGGAAGACCTCCACAATGACTAGAGTACTCTCCCCTGTATTGAAATTCACAGTGATCTGAAAATCAGTGGATGGTTTAAGTTCATGTCCATCGTGGAACCACTTGACTTTTGGTTGTGGGATTCCACGAAAGTGAACGAGAAACTCAACACGCTCCCCATCCCGAACAATCTTGGGTTGTAAAAGTTGTGTGAAAACTGGTGGAACTCTCATTTCTTCAGGAAGCTCATCTTCACTCGCACTGGGACCTGTTTCGTCCTCAGACACCGGATACTTCACAGTCTCTGGTTTTGACTGCTTAGGACGTTCCTCTCTCGGCAGAGCAAACTCAACTTTTTTCTTTGCTGGAAAAAAGGTGAGGAAATATTGGGGATAAGACAGGGATAAGACTTGTGGAAAGACAAGGACAGATAGGAACGGACATTTGGACAGACAAGGACAGATAGGAACGGACATTTGGACAGACAAGGACAGTACAGGAATAATTCAATATTAGATGGCAAGGGAACGGAAAACAAGCAGTTGCATTGATTTAATTCACATAGGCCACCTGCGAAAAGATTGATTAAAGGTCAAAGGTGAAAGAGAAAATCATGCACAGCAAAACAGACGCCAACATTTAACAGTAAAACAAAACGCCATGGAAAGCATTATTGATACTTTATTGATTGCAAGATCTCAGTGAAGATTAAGTAAGAATGATTATACAATCATAATGCAGAAATTACATTAGACATGAAGCATGGAATATGAGCACATTTGTAGTAAGCAGCTTGTACATGTAAGCTCAGAGACATTATAACAGACCATTGATGTTGTGTACAAAGGGACGTACATGTTATCAGAGGCAATACGTGTACATACATGTTTACACAAACAAGTCAGTACAATGGAGGACGTTTGACATATACACATAACATGTACCTCCAACCCCTATACACAAACGTGGTTCAACCCAAAAATGAATACAGGATGATTCCACTTTGTGAATGGAGGTGGAGTCTGCAAATATGTAAAAATATCACAGTAAATTCAAGATTTTTATAAATTAAACTTGTTTTGTAATAAAAACCGAACAACACAGTATTTCTAAACCCTAATCCAATCATTTTTGTGTTTGTATTTTTAAAAATGATCATTTTCATACACTGAAACCTAGAAGAAAATTTTAAAATAATAAATTATTGTGTTCAAGTGAGTGAATTTACTTAAGAAAAAACAACAATATTTAAAGTAATTCTCATTTAAACACTAATAAACCAAACGATCCCTTCAAATCAAACGTTCAGATTACATTTCTATAATACATCTTTCACAGTCATTTTCTTTTCAATATTTGGTCCCTAAATGTTTACAACTAAGACGATCCACCAAAAATGTATGGATGTCCGGTGAGATACTTACGTGTGACATGTAATGTAGTCTTGCAAGTGACCACACCGCGGTCATTCTCGGCTACACAGATGTAGTCCTGGGAATCGGAGGGTACAACCTTCATGATGACTAACGTTGACGTAGTACGCTCATCAATAATCTGAATACGTGGTGTTGGCATCAAACGAACCTCGTTCACGTACCATGTGACTTTTGGTCTAGGTTCGCCCACCACTTCAACTTCCAGTCTGAAAGACATGAAATGAGAAATGTTACCCAAAAATGGCCTTTCATAACAAATTTCAAAGTAAACTGAGAATTGAAATAGGATAACTCACATATGTTTGTATCATTAATAAGCAAAAAAATTAAGTTTTGAAAAGAAATTGAGTTATCAAGATAACTTTTCTTATAGTGTACATAGCCTTGAGATAATATTTTATATAAGTTTAGTAGACATTTGTAAAACTCTAGTCAAATATTTTTTTTTTAAATCTTTTCTTTATGAATTGAAAGCAGTTTAGAAATAACAAGCAAAGCCTGCTACTGGATTTAATTACTGTGTCTTACCTTGCAGTTTGATCTTCCTCTACATCAAAGACAGGATTAAGAGGACGCACAAACTCCGGAGATTTTTCTATTTTGGTCACATATTTCTCCTCGATGACTTCAACATCTTCCTTCTCTGGTTCTTCTGGCATGGCTGAAATACGTAGATAAGTATTCATATCACAACTTTTTCAACAAAGATTTTCTTTCACAGAACGAACATAACTAAAACATGGCACTGTGATGAAGATTTAATAAACATTTAGCTTCAGAATTGAAATTCCGTTTACTAAGAACATTTGTAAACTGCAATATCAGATGTTGGAGACAAAGTCTTTTACCAATAATATGTACAAGACATTGTTTTGGAAAAGACAACATCAATATGTAGAATCGTGACCGAAGATTCTTTTTCACTTTTTTATGAATATGTGACAAGATGGTGAACTTACTGTGAACCAGAAGGGTTGCTGTGGTAACAGCCTCTCCGAAGGGGTTTACCGCTCTACATGCATATTCTCCTGCGTCCTCCGGGAACACCTCTGGTATGTACAGGGTACAGACTCCAGTGGTGTCATCTGTTGTGATCTTAAAGTCAGCGCTGGGAATAATCTCCTGACGTTCACGATACCACGTAACAGTAGGGAAGGGTGTACCTTCAACTCTACAAGTCATGGTAACCTCTTCTCCATCAGGAATCATCTGGGGCTCAAGGAGCTCGACAAACTCTGGAGGAATCTCTGTGACTTCCTGTGCCTCTTCCAGAGTGAACTGACTGACAACTTCCTCTTTCTGTGGGGGTTTCTCCTCGCCAATCAGGGAGTCCTCCTTACTAACCTCTTCATCTACTGGCTTTCCTGCCACATCTGGCAGCTCAAACTTCCTAGTAACAGCTTGAGGAAGCAAAGTCGCTTCACAGATCTCAGTACGTGTTTCTTCTGTTTTCGGAGCAGGTTTGTGTTCTACAGTAACCTTAACAACTCTTTCTGGAGATTCAGGAGCTCTCTCTGGTTCCAAGGGAACCTTTTTCTCCCGTTCAATGATTTGAGGTTTGGTCATTTGTTCCATAACCTCCTCTAGAACTTCCTCCATTGGTTCTTCTGATTTCCTCTCCTCAGTGACCTCCATCTTCACTGGTTTCTCTGGTGGTGGTGATGCAGGTGGTTCCTCCTTCACAAGAGGTTCAAGTTTGGGTCGCTCAATATACTGCAGTGAAAAATTTATGAAATTAACACCATATACACCTTCATAACTTATATAGGTATCCATTTCTCTTTAGATATTAGAGCAAGAAGTCTCAAAAATTGAAGGCACTGAATTGACAATGACCTGGGGTTTCTAACCATGAAATTTACCTGTCGTTAATTACCATGACATTGATCTGAGATAACTGACCTTGACATTGATCTGAGATTACTGACCTTGACATTGATCTGAGATTACATTGCCATTGATCTGAGATTACTTACCTTGACATTGATCTGAGATTACTGACCTTGACATTGATCTGAGATTACTGACCTTGACATTGATCTGAGATTGCTGACCTTGACATCGATCTGAGATTACTGACATTGACATTAAAACAGTACTAACCTGAGCTACAACTTCAGTTTCCATTGGTGCGGCATCGACCGAGTCTTCAGGAGAGAGAACGGTGAGGTATGCGCGTGTGCTTGCCTCGCCAGCAGGATTGGATGCTACACATACATACTCTCCCTCGTCCTCAGGGAACACCTCCACAATGAGGAGATGTATGTCCCCAGTATCTGGGTTGTAAGACACCACATACTCCTCGTCGTGGTCGATATTCTTTCCATTGTGGAAGAAAGATATCTGGGGTGGTGGCTTTCCTACCACCTTGCAGGGAATCTTCACTTCATCTCCATCGTATGTCTCCATAGAAGGCAGCACCTCAACAAATCGGGGAGGCATCAGTTCTTCTGATGGAGAGGGCTCCAAGGAGATCTTCTCTTCTGGTTTTTTAGGCAAAACTGGTAATTCTTTTGTCAGTGGCTCTGCAACGTTACCAAATTTCAACAGAAGGAGTCAATAATGCATTCATGTATAAAAAGAAAAATCATATTTTATACATTAAACATTAAAACTCCAGTCTGGTATGTAAAATAATTTTTTTTTTTTTCAAAACTGTATAATATGCTCATAGTATCCTTCTAATATACAGTATTATAATTATTGAATGCAATAGTGTTTTAATTGTGACCATTATCATGGTATGAAAGGAAGCGGCCATATTCTGATGTTGTGGTTTAAATCACACAATAGTGTTTTAATTGTGACCATTATCATGGTATGAAAGGAAGCGGCCATATTCTGATGTTGTGGTTTAAATCACACAGCTTACCTTCTACATAGAGGGTTGTGCTAGACATGACCTCTCCAAGTTCAGAGACAGCACGACAGGTATACTCGCCGGTGTCCTCTGGCCCGACTTCTATGATGAGGAGGACGCTGTTTCCCTCCTCTGTTGTCATCTCATAATGTGGTGATGGACGGATCTCCATTCCATTCACAAACCACGTGACGAGGGGTGGAGGGTAGCTGTCTACTTTACACTGCAGCCTAAATAATATAGGATTCAACATTCAGTTGTATACTATAAAAATCAACATTTTTAATGAAGTGATAATTTTAAATTCTAAACATGAATTGCAATCACTTTTCAAATGGAAGGTGACATCAAAGAAAAGTCTGTAAACAAAATATATTATTCTTTTGCTTTCGTTAACTTTGAAAACAGGGAAGAGATGTTTTATCTAACTACAAACTCTGTTTTAAGAATATTTAACATATAAACAATGATAGGATGTCCTTACTTTGCTATTCCTCGTTCTCGGACATAGATTTCTGGCTCGAGTGCTTCAATCATCTCTGGTTTGATCATCTCCGTAACATAACGCTCCTCACGAGTGACCATGGTAGTGGTCTCTTTGATGGTCAGTGTCTCGGTGTCCGCAGGTGGCATTGACACCTGATACTGTTGTTTACCTAGAAATTTGACCAACAACATCAATTAACAACGTACACATACATCGTGTCACAGATTTTTACTAATAGTTAGTATTATCAGAGGGAACATTTTTACAAAACAAGAGGGCCATGGCCCTAGACGGTCATCTGACAATCGATGAATGGATGGACAAACCACAGAATTTGCAGATGGTGGTCTGACAAATCTGATGAATTTCTGCAATTATGCTCTCACCTCTGACAGTCAATGTAGTCCTACAGGTAACTTCTCCCATTTCATTCTCGACCTTGAGAATGTAATCACCCGAGTCTTCCTCCTGTACGTTAATGATGATGAGGATTATCGTGTCATCCTCCTGTACCATCTGTCGTCGCTCGCTAGGCACAATCTGGACACCCTTGGTGAACCACTGATACTTAGGAGGCGGGTAAGCGTTGATAGATGCATACAATCTGAAGTATGAACAAAACTTTCTCTAATCCTTGGGTGAGCATAATTAAATTAACAAGTATTCATCTCAAGCTTTTAAAAATTAAAAATTTTTCAAACAAGTGTTCACTGTCTTTAAATGAAACCATACAAACCTCAATAATAAGCATGATAAGGAATAAATACAGTTTTGTTTTTTTTTTTGTTGCTTATTGTGTTGTCCCAGCATCTGACTGATGTGGTGTGTGTGTTGTCCCAGCATCTGACTGATGTGGTGTGTGTGTTGTCCCAGCATCTGACTGATGTGGCTGATGTGTGTGTGTGTTGTCCCAGCATCTGACTGATGTGATGTGGTGTGTGTGTGTGTGTTGTCCCAGCATCTGACTGTTGTGGTGTGTGTGTTGTCCCAGCATCTGACTGATGTGGTGTGTGTGTTGTCCCAGCATCTGACTGATGTGGTGTGTGTGTTGTCCCAGCATCTGACTGATGTGGTGTGTGTGTTGTCCCAGCATCTGACTGATGTGGTGTGTGTGTTGTCCCAGCATCTGATGTGGTGTGTGTGTTGACTGATGTGGTGTGTGTGTTGTCCCAGCATCTGACTGATGTGGTGTGTGTGTTGTCCCAGCATCTGACTGATGTGGTGTGTGTGTTGTCCCAGCATCTGACTGATGTGGTGTGTGTGTTGTCCCAGCATCTGACTGATGTGGTGTGTGTCTGACTGATATGGTGTGTGTGTGTTGTCCCAGCATCTGACTGATGTGGTGTGTGTGTTGTCCCAACATCTGACTGATGTGGTGTGTGTGTTGTCCCAGCATCTGACTGATGTGGTGTGTGTGTTGTCCCAGCATCTGACTGATGTGGTGTGTGTGTTGTCCCAGCATCTGACTGATGTGGTGTGTGTGTTGTCCCAGCATCTGACTGATGTGGTGTGTGTGTTGTCCCCATCATGTGTGTGTGTGTGTTGTCCAGCATCTGTCTGATGTGGTGTGTGTGTTGTCCCAGCATCTGACTGATGTGGTGTGTGTGTTGTCCCAGCATCTGACTGATGTGGTGTGTGTGTTGTCCCAGCATCTGACTGATGTGGTGTGTGTGTTGTCCCAACATCTGACTGATGTGGTGTGTGTGTTGTCCCAGCATCTGACTGATGTGGTGTGTGTGTTGTCCCAACATCTGACTGATGTGGTGTGTGTCTTGTCCCAACATCTGACTGATGTGGTGTGTGTGTTGTCCCAGCATCTGACTGATGTAATGTGTATGTTGTCCCAGCATCTGACTGATGTAATGTGTATGTTGTCCCAGCATCTGACTGATGTGTTGTGTGTGTTGTCCCAGCATCCGACTGATGTGGTGTGTGTGTTGTCCCAGCATCTGACTGATGTGGTGTGTGTGTTGTCCCAGCATCTGACTGATGTAATGTGTATGTTGTCCCAGCATCTGACTGATGTGGTGTGTGTGTTGTCCCAACATCTGACTGATGTGGTGTGTGTGTTGTCCCAACATCTGACTGATGTGGTGTGTGTGTTGTCCCAACATCTGACTGATGTGTTGTGTGTGTTGTCCCAACATCTGACTGATGTGGTGTGTGTGTTGTCCCAGCATCTGACTGATGTGGTGTGTGTGTTGTCCCAACATCTGACTGATGTGGTGTGTGTGTTGTCCCAACATCTGACTGATGTGGTGTGTGTGTTGTCCCAACATCTGACTGTTGTGGTGTGTGTGTTGTCCCAGCATCTGACTGATGTGGTGTGTGTGTTGTCCCAGCATCTGACTGATGTGGTGTGTGTGTTGTCCCAGCATCTGACTGATGTGGTGTGTGTGTTGTCCCAGCATCCGACTGATGTGGTGTGTGTGTTGTCCCAGCATCTGACTGATGTGGTGTGTGTGTTGTCCCAACATCTGACTGATGTGGTGTGTGTGTTGTCCCAGCATGTGGTGTGTGTGTTGTCCCAGCATCTGACTGATGTGGTGTGTGTGTTGTCCCAGCATCTGACTGATGTGGTGTGTGTGTTGTCCCAACATCTGACTGATATGGTGTGTGTGTGTTGTCCCAACATCTGACTGATGTGTTGTGTGTGTTGTCCCAACATCTGACTGATGTGGTGTGTGTGTTGTCCCAGCATCTGACTGATATGGTGTGTGTGTGTGTTGTCCCAGCATCCGACTGATGTGGTGTGTGTGTTGTCCCAGCATCTTACTGATGTGGTATCAACGTTGTGCACAGAATTGAAGAAAAGTGTTGCTGCCAATGTTATGTTTGAGACCAAAGTCATGAAATCTGAAATATTTGTGGTAACATACCTAGCAGTGCCTCCAGGCTGTATTTCCTGTACTGGAGACAAGGCTTTAACAAACTCTGGTGGAGTTGTCTTGATTGTGGTGATATACTTCTCCTCCAGTAGACGGGCTTCCTCTGTGTCTGTAAGTAAAATACAAATCACGTCAGACACAAAACCCAATATTTCTCATCCGCATCTGCACACAATTTTGATGTAGAAAATTTCAATTATTGTGAGAAATTTGTCAAGTCAGACACAAAACCCAATATTTCTCATCAGCATCTGCACACAATTATGATGTAGAAAATTTCAATTATCATGAGAAATTTGTAAAATAAAGTCAAATAGTCAAAAACTGATATTCTCTATTGATAGAAAATTCCTCTCTTTAAAATAATTTCTTCATCATGATACGTTTTGTTTGGTTTTTATTTTGTTATTCTTTGCTTGCCTGTCAGGTAGATCTGCAACATGCCGTGTCATCCATGCACAATTCGTTCTTCAATCAGTCATCAGAAATCATGCTCTTTTTTTTTGTTTTTGTTCCAAGGGACATAACTCCAAATTCACACCATGCATACTTTCAATCAGGGAAAGACAACTCCTGGTCAGAAACTTAGCTTAATTCAAAGCTCATTGTGTTAGTTTGCATACTTTATCAAAATTAAGACTAAAAACACAGAAACAGATGATCTTAACCTTGGCAACCTGAAATAAAAAACTAGCAGATCAAAACCTTATAATTTATATTTACATGTGACCTTGAATTCAAAGGATTAAATTCAAAATCACATGTTTTCTACATGGCTCAACCCTTTCTTCTCATGCATGTGTCAACCAGATTGGAATCCTTAATCACATTCATTGGAAAAGAGGGGTGTTCATGAAGTTATCTATTAAACAACATCTCCATATTTTAGTACAGTAAAGCACATTTGTGGTTGTGTTTTCAAGCCAAAGCACACATCCACAAAGTTACCGTAAATCTTTTACACAAGCTCAGACTTTCAAATTTCTTTGGATTTTTAATTATGAATATTCATTTCTTTAAAAAGATCTCATTTCTCAAAACATTTTCTTGCATAAGTCAAGATTTATGGTTTTAACTGGAAAAAAAAAAGAACAGACATCATTAGCACATCCTCAGGACAAATCTACACAAATGGTGGAGTTAGAAAATAAAACTAACTTTAAAATTCTTTTAATATTCTACCTAGAATACAGCCATGCATGTCTCAGAACTCTAACAAGCATTTAACAATAAACACACAAGTATAACAGGTCCGTAGTATCCGATCCATGCCGTCCATTCTTTGCATGCCTCCAGGTTTGTCATCGCTGAAAAACACTCTTTAAAAACATGGTCATGCAAACAACACACACTTTTCCTTATTGGAAATGTATCCAATATTTTTTTTCTTTTTTCTTTTTTATTTTTCTTCTCCAATTCAGATAATATTTTTAATTTTTTTTTATTTCTTAAAATTTCTAAATTAAAAACTTTGTTCAGATCACCAAAAGCCATTTGACCAGAGAAAGTCATCTTATCTACAAACATCTACACAAAACTCTTAAATGATCAAAACAGACAATGCAACTTTTGCCTACCTGTCATCCAGATATAGAAAAAGTCATTCATGCGGTTGTACATCATTTGTTGAACTTGTCATGCAGAACAGTTGTTAAATCTCAACTCATGCCTAGAGTTTGTCGCTTATGTCATCTGCCTAAAATAACTTGTCACTGAATATGTCATGCCATCTGATTGGTCAATGCTCTGTCAGCTGACTTACCTTGGACATAGAGTTCTGCAGAGCATTCAGTAGTGCCAGCGACATTCTTGATGCGACAGGTGATTAGACCGCTGTCCTCAGGGCGAGCCTCGCGGATCGTCAGAATTGTCTTGGTGCTTGTACGCTCAATCTGTAAAGTATTTTTTTAGTGAAATTCACTCAAATGAGTCAACTTATCAATACAACACAGAATCTCACTCTGCCTGATAATGTCTTAAGATGCTCTACACATCTAATGACTCAACAAGAGATATAAATGGCATTTATCAACCCTAACACATCACTAACCTTGTAGTTGGTGGAGTCACGACATTTATCAACCCTAACACATCAGTAACCTTGTAGTTGGTGGAGTCACGACATTTATCAACCCTAACACAACACTAACCTTGTAGTTGGTGGAGTCTTGTAGGACCTGAAGACTGTTCCTCAACCAGGTGATAGTCGGTTCTGGTGTGCCGCTGTATTCAGCTTCAAATGTGGCAGGGCTTCCCTCCACCACAAGTGTGTTGGAGATTGGTTTGGTGAAGCTTGGGGGCGTGTCCTTCTGGGCAGGGACTGGAGCCTCTGCTTCACTCTCTAAAGCATGTACCTTCAGAGTGGCAGAACATGTCACCTCTCCAGCCTTGTTACGTGCAACACAACGGTAGTTACCAGTGTCTTCTGGGAAGGCTTCCAGAATACTGAGGCTGTGAGTGCCATCTGGTGTTGATTCCATGCGGAAGTATTTGGACGGTTTGATAAGTACATTGTTTCTGTACCATGTCACGTTTGGTGCTGCAATGAATAAATGTCATTAAACAGATGAAACATTACATAAGGATACACTAATTGTTTACAATGTATCCTCGGACTTATACATACATACAAGACATGTATCAACCTGAATTGAGAAAAAATAAGGGTCGAAAATGTAACATCCAAATGTTTCAAACATCAAAATAAAAGGTTGAAAAAAAGTCTGGCGAGATTGAGACCAAATCCTAGTTTTCCGATAGGTACAGTTTCACTTTTGATAAGTACACACAATGCACAGCCACAAAGACTTACGTGGAGACCCTGTGATTCTTGAAGTGAAGGTGACTGGTTCACCCTCGTCAACCTCCAGGTTTTGTGGCGCCTCAGTTACCACTGGTGGCTCAACTGGAGCTTCCACTTGCTTCTGTTCCTCTGCCTCTGGTGCCTTGACAGGAACTGTGGGGAGATCAGTCATGACATTTATAAACGATGATACTTTAAGTCTGTAAGTTGCTAAGATTTTCTTAGATATGAAGATGCATGTATTTCAGACTTCTGTCCATAAATGGAAACAACAAGGAACTTTATCTTTGCACTTCTAATTCAGATAAATATTTCGTCTAATACTTAAAATTGTATCATAAAAATATCATGTAAATTTCAGAAGATTTATTCATCAAATTTTCCCGAAAATCCATAATGATAAAATAACAAGAGCCAAATGAGCTAATCTGGATAAATAGATCTCACTTTCTACGTTCAGCCTAGCAGTGCAAGTTGCTTTCCCAACAGTGTTGATGGCTACACAATCATACTGGCCAATATCTTCTGGAGTAACCTCGTAGATAACCATAGTGAAGTTGTTGTCCTCCTCTATGAACTTCCAGCGTGGACTCTCCGACAGAGTCTTTCCATCCTGTAGATCATAAAATACGAGACATTAGAGAAAGGATCTTCGATGTTCAGCCCCCTTTTTTCATTTGCATCTCTATCAATTCATTTCAAGATCTCTTTTCCACTTTTACAAAAATAAATCCTCCTGAGGTTTTTTACAATATATTATCCGTTTGAAACATTGTGATTATCCAATCAAATGTTGGCATCCGATATGAATTTTTTCAATCCAAAAAACAGATCATATATCAGATTTGTATCATTAGAGAAAGTTTTCATTCCAAATCAAAACTTGCTCTCTGATCATACTCTCTTAGATATAACACATTATGATAAATCCTACAACAACATACTACATTTCTACAAATTAGAAATACATATTTCCTAATAAGGAGTTGTGGTATATGTAAGAAATGTTTACCTTCTGCCAGTGGATTTTGGGTTTGGGGCGTCCGGAGACCTGGCAATCAAATGTTGCAGGTTCACCCTCAACAACGTTACTATCACGAATCAGACTGCGGAACTCTGGGGGTATGTCACGCTCTGGTGATTCCTCTTCTGTAATACAAATCATTGATAATGTCATCTTGAGATTTAAGAAATATAAAAATCAATATTTTCAACCATATATATCTTACATACATATTTTCATAGCAATTTATAGATCTATGAAAGAAACCAAATTCAAATTACGCAGTCTATACGCAGTAATTTTTCTCTCGAATATTTTATGAAAGGATCATACATTAAGAAAGAATCTAGGTCTCCTTCTTCAAGGGGATCACTGCATATTTTACCGGTTGATGGCCCTAATGACCTTTTATGTGTTGACGGGCTGTTAAGAATGCAATGATAATAACAATATTCTTCAAGGGATTATAAAAACAATATCTGCATTTACAAATTACAACGACAGACTTTTTTTTCAAATTATTGATTTTTACTCACCAATAACGGTCATCTTCGCCTTACACTGGACGGTGCCGTACATGTTGTAAGCCTTTACCATGTACATACCAGTGTCTTCTGGGAAGACTTCTGGGATAAACAATGTGCTCACTGTTTCCGTAACAGAAATCTGAAGCGAAAAATCAAAGGACATGGTTAGATATGAAATAGAAAATATGTGTTTGACATTTTCAAAATTTACAACTTGAAAAAAGTTGGCAAATCACAATTATTGCAAAGTTACCTGAAAGTCATGTGATGGTTTGATCTCGAAGCTGTCTCTGTACCAAGATATAATCGGTGGTGGGTAGCCCTTGAAGTGTACCTCAAGTCTGTAACGAAGTGAAATAACTACATTAAAATCAATTACTAAAGAAGAATCACGTGATCATCTCATACATTTCAAAGGGAGGTAAGCAGAGATTGATTTTTATTTTATAAACTTACGTTATTGGGTTGCCTTCAGTGACTCTGACAGGACGTAGAGGTTTCGTGAATACAGGTGGTTCACGACGCTCCAGGATAATCTGGGATTCAGATATTTTGCTCTCGTCAGGGGCACCCTGTTCGGGGATGACTGGCACCATGCGGGCCTTTTGGATGTCAACCTGAATTTCTGGACGGTCAGCTCTGACCACTCGGGCAGGCAATTCACGCATCGTGGGTTTGGACTGAACAGACAAATACAGCTGTTCTGCATTCATCACCTCTTTCTCTTGTCTCATCACTACACGTTTCTCAGCAGCTGTAATGTCAAAAGTTTATGTCAATAAAGCTCATTTCCAAACTACTCTTGCCAGGTCAAAGGTCCTTTGTCAGTAAAGGTCACATCTAATCTTCTATGGGTCAAGTTGAAAGAAATTTCAAGTCTACTACCACATAAATGATATAAGAAACAAAGGGAGATAAATCACAAACAAAAGAATAAATGTACAAAAAAGTGTTTCAAAAGACATGTATTCCATTCATGTGAAATATTGAGAGGGGCTAAACTTATTTAGAAATCAAAAACAATATTCACAGTAAAATATATTAAAACAAACATGATATCCAGCAGCAGGTTCGGAATCAGGTCATATATAACAGTACCAATATACCTGTCATTTTCTAGCATGATCATAATGAGGGGAAATGTAGATTCAAATTAGAGAACATCAGCTCGTTTTACTCATGGTGAATTTTAATTGGCTAAATGATATTGTGAAAAGCTACAGTTTGAGACATTAAAGTAAAACAAATGAAATAAAGCAAAAATTTTCTTTTCGCTTCAAAAGTGAATGATGGGGGAGGGAGGTTGTTTGTAAAGATGTAGACAAGTACTGATACAGAAGGAAATGTTTAAAGTCACCAATGTCATTTTCAGGAAGAATCAGCATGCACTCCGTGTTTTTCTTAATCTCACCTCTCTCGATCTGCTTGAGTTCGATAGTGGTAGCCTTAGGCCTTTCCATGGCTGAAACGAGCTCAACTGAGCGCATTTCAATTTTACGTCTGCGCTCAAGTTCAATTTCTAGTTCTCCTGTGAAATGGGGAAGAAATGGGATTTGCAAAGATTAGAAAAAAAGCGTGACAAGAGCCAAATTACCTCCCTTTCATGACATGTTAATTAGCCCATTACCATCAAACCACACATGTGAGCAATTGTAATCATACCATTAGCAGGACACACTGTGCATAAAAAATACTCTTCTTTTTCACATTCAAAATTTCCTCTTTTTTTTATCTCTCTTTTTCTTGACGAATACAACGTATTATAATACATCAAATTTTAATTAAATGAAAATAATTAAACTTTTTCATCTTTGCTTTTTCACTCCTTTATTTTTTGCCTTCATTTGACAATACTGATATATTTAATATTAAGCCATTCAGTTTTGAAAACAGAAGATTTTTTATCAATATATGTAAATTGGTAAGCATTTTGAAATTCTTTCCACACTGTGTCCTAGCATAACAGCTCTAAATTCTACTAAAAGATTTACTACAGATTCCAAATTAAATGTTAAAACTTCCACCCTGACAGAAATAAGACAATCACATCTAAATCAACAAACCATGATGAAAAATGATTTCTAATGATTGAAATGAATTCTATGAATATTCAAATTTAAGTAAATGAAATAATTAATTACAAAATTTTATAGTCAAGACTGAAAAAGATAAGAAATATTTAGTATGATACAAATACAAAGATTATGGATGAATGATGAAAATTGCCAGAAGTTAGTGCAGAATTCCATATCACCTAAGAATTTTCTGTTTAAATAAGTTATACGATAAATCAAAACATGTTTAATTTATCTTGAATCAAACACAGCAAAAATTGGGCAGGGACACGACTCATAAGTCTTGGGAACTCTGGAGTTAATGTGACCTTCAAAACGGATATTGCTGCAGGCAAGGTCACAGAGGTCTTTTTTTGAGAATGACCTTCAAAATGTCACATGTGCTTTACGTCTTAAAAGATATTGTTGTGATAAAAATGATGTATCATTTTTGAGTTTTATAAGGAAAGAAGATTGAAAAATAACACACCCCAAAGGTAAATCAAAGTAAACAAAGATCAGAATCCATTAATTCTGGCATCAGATGCCTAATACGTTCAGATAAGAATTATCCTATTTTAGTCTGTGACAGAAGTCAGTACACAAGATGGTTCAGAGTTCAGAATCCTAGACCAGAAAAGTGATCTTCAAGAGGGCTGGGAACAACACACTAGTTGAGGTAATTTATCCTTTTTTTTGAGGTAGGAAGAGAAACACGCCAATTAAGACCAACTGTCAATCTCTTACCTGTGTAAACCTCAACCACTTCCTCCTCATATTCTGTAAATTTCCAACAGTGATTTAATAGAGTTCAAAGGGCATTCACCAGAGGGGTCAAAGGGTCAAGAAGCATTCACAAGAGACATAAAAATACTACAACCTCATTTTATAGAAAATAGAAGAATTGCTTATTAATAAAATTAGGTTGCAGTTTTTTGTATAAAAATAATATTTGATGAATATCTCTTGAAAGCAACACATTCAATTACCGGGGATGGTGAATCAGCTCAAAGTCATACATAATCAGAAAATATATGGGTGTGTGTATGTAGGGCAACACTGCAAATGTACAGGAGAGAAAAGATCCTGTCACCGGGATAGTCAGAAACAGTTTGTATGACCTCTGCAATTAACATGAAGTCAGGGTCATAAGGATGCCTAAGGTAAATTGGATAGAAAATCTCACCACAGTGGTTGATAGAATTTAGTAGAATGAGAAGTGGCCTTTGAATTAATTCCAAAATAATTCCAGGGGGCTTAATTGACTTTAATTATGTTGTCAGTGCGAAGGGAATGGAATGATGGGTAAAATGAATTGGAATATTTCTGCCTAGTTAAATCGGATACCAGGAAAAAAGGTAGTTTTCAATTATGAAAAACAATTTTTGGTTATTAGGTAAAAACTACTTAAAAACAAGTATTTTTTTTTATTTTCTGAAACAGATCTTTTGATCAAAGCAATTCAGTTAGTAATTAATCAAGAAAATAATATTTTGTAACATAACGAATATTTCTATAATTTTTTAAAAGTAAAATCATGCATCAATAATTTATTGAGCAAGATTATGACAATCTTTTTAATGATATCTAACAAAACATCTGGTTATCTAATTTAGCAAAAGTTATATGTGTTAATTCTTCAATGATAAAAGTCTTTGTGAATTTTTTCCTTTTCTACATCAATCAATTTAGTAACCAAATGAGTAGAAATTAATCTATAAATTCAACCAAGTGTTAAAGCATCAACTGACCAATACTACAAAGCAGTAAAATCAATCAGATATTTGCTTCATTTTAATTTTGTAAATAGAAGTATTTAAACACATGATGAATTGTAGTAAAATTAAGAAATCTTGCAGAAATTTGATTAATGGATAATGGTGCGGGATGGACATGATGGTATCGTCGACATGTGCAGAGGTAGTAAGAGTTATTGGACTTGGTTCTAGGTAGCATGTCACCAACTAACTTACCAACACTCTCTCCCTCTAGCTCCATCTCTGTAAAGTTAAGTTTGTTTTAACGTCCACCCAGGCATTGAACTTTAACATTTGAGGAGGGAACAATCGGGGGTGAAATCAATGGATGGTTATATAAATATTTATTGTGTCTCACAATTATCTCAAGAACATTCATGTTTTTTAAGCAAGAGAGACCATCGCCTTTACATCACCTTTCTGGAAACTAACTCAGATTTCCAAGAAATATATTCAAACTTTTTGCAGAATGTAATTCAAATACTCTCTGAGAAAATTTGGTATGCATGTTCATGAAATACTGGAGATCTACAATATATATGTGCGGATACAAAATACAGTATATACAAGGAGTATAGAACATAGAAAGCTGTGCGTAATTTCTAAGCAGAAAAACAGACAAAAATTTTACATACATGTAAAGCATGTGTAATATAGAGGATACATGTAAATACAAAGCTTAGGAGTTAAGCTAAAGAGGAAGTCATTGTCGACCAAAAAATAAAACAAGGGAAGGAAGCCGAGCTTCAAATTTCTGCTGTATATTTCATCTTGTCGGGAAGAGGTAAGCTTTACTTCAGCCCGTACCTGTTGCAAAGAATACGACAAGCTTTAAAGATATTTACAATGTGATTAGAGTTATCTACCTTTGGGTGCTTGTCGTAGGTGTGACCTCCAGTCCTCTTTTGGCATCACATGTAATGTAGTACTGGCCTCGGCCTCACCCTCAGTGTTTTTGGCCACAACACGGATTTGTCCTGCATCATACTCTCGTACACGTGGAATTTCAAGGTGGTGAATCATGCCATCGTAACGCAGTTTGAAACGTGTGCTCTGGAAGCCAGATATATTTAGGACATGTTAACTAGAACTTTTAGAAAAATGCTATATAAATACTTCCATACATGAGAACATCATATGTCAATCTGCTTAAACAATAATGCATTATCTTCAATAAGCTTGATGAGTGGGTGAATAGGGGTGGGTGGAGGGTGGTTAAAGGGGTCAACATCAGTATGTTTATAATTTCTCGACTCAAAGAAGAGTTTGTTTCTATATATAAGACAACAAAAAATCACTTTTTAGTATTCTCTGCTAATCAAATGTCATTTTATGGACACATACTACTAGCATAGTATGATGTCTGAACTGCTTTGTTTTTTACATTTTAATGTATTGTTCTGAGAACCGAACCTGTGGCAAATTAATTGTCAGAAGCAAATGAAACAAGAGGCCCATGGGCCTTAATGATCATCTGACATAAAAGATTTCAAATTTTGAACTTGAGAAGTCGAAAATGTGTTTTCAATATGGTGGCCATGACAGCCATGTTAGATTTCGGACCAACCCGAAATTAACAAACTTTGGTCAGGATCATGTCACGGTCATTTCAGGTAAGTTTCAACTCAATGACACATGTAGAACTTGAGAATAAGTTGGAAATGTTTACAACGGACGTCGTACGATTTCATAATTTACATTTCGTTAAAGTCAGAAATTACAAAAACTGGATTACATATCCACTATTTTTCTTGTTTAAGGATTCAAAGTAATTATTGCCATTATTAGTCACAAGCAGAATGAGTAAAATTTAAGCTTCCTCCACATTCAGTTTCCATTCAAATTACCAAACTGACCTTGAATGACCCAGAGTGACATGCGATATACTTACACCCATGATAACGGTTCCGTTGACCCACCAGTTGACACGGGGTCGTGGGTAACCGCTGACTTTGATCATGAACTTGGCGACCTCTCCTTCACCAGTTTCAACAGGTTCTGGTTTGAGATCAATTGAAGGTGGGAATCGCTCCCTCGGTTCATCAATAATTCTCTCTTCTAGGTACATGTTACTATAAAAAATCACTTTTAATGAGGTCGGTAGAATGTTTTAACAAAGAAATTATTACATGTATCTTGGTATATTTTCCATACAAAAATTCAAAGTATTTTACTATGGAAAATAGGAACTGGAATTTTTTAAAACTTTAAAAACTTTAAATCAAATACAAAAAATAATCAGTCTGTTGCAGTCAATTAATGTAAAAAAAAAAGTGTTTTGTAAAATGAAAACAAATGAGACTTTTAAGAAATTTTTGAAATTATAATTAGCACAACTTTCAAAGAGGTAAATGTTAATGGCAGTGTTACCTTCTCCAGTATTCCTCCATCTCTTGAAGACGCATGGCACCTTCTCCTGGAAGCTGTGTTTCCATGATGATGGACCGGCGTCCTGATAATAAAAACAGCATCATAATAAGCCTTATTTACATTTTACGCATCACTTGATAATAACTAGACATTTTTCAGACGGAGTTTATGGTGGGGGTACATATTTTATTCAAAAATAAAATATTGATGTTTGAACATATTAAGTAAGACATTCTTACCTCTACATCGGAGAACAGCAGTTGTGGTTGCCTCCCCTTGAGAGTTGCGGGCAGTACAAGAGTATTCTCCAGAATCTTCGGGGTAGGTGTATAAAATATCAAGGCAGACAAAGCCAAAATCATGCATGGGCTTGTAGCGATGACCTGGTTTGGAATAAAACAAGATTTTACATAAACTTAATAAAAAGTTTAAAAATAAAGTATTTGTGATGATTAGCAGTCTGTCGTCATCACAGTTTTTTTTATATATTCTTCATACATGTATAGATATCCTGATGATTAGATAGATATTCTATATATCATATAAAAATTCACATTTCAAAACAAATGTATTTTACATACAGTTATACAATACATTACCAGCTATTACAACTATGAGTGCATGAACCTGTATTTCTAATTTTCATTTGTCAAGTCTTGTTTAACAAGTCAAGTACAGTGAAGAAAAAAGGAGTTAAGTACAGTAGACAGTAGACAAAAGAGGAGTTAAGTACAGTAGACAAAAGAGGAGTTAATGGACCAATAATTTTATCAATCATGAAAATGATAATAGAACTCACCATGATGAAGTGGTTGTCCATCCTTAAACCACTCGATCTCCATAGTAGGATCGCCAAGTGGAAGGAGCTTACACTCAAAGTGGGCGGAGTCATTCTCCTTCAGGCCCATCAGGTTCCTTATCTGTGTCTTGAACCAGGGTTTCTTGGGTTTATGTTTGTCATAGATGTCCTCTTGAGCAGGTGCTTCACCCTCGCGGCGGATGTACTCACGCACAGCGCTATCCTGATCTTCAATTCTGTATAAATGGAAGAACTTATTTAATGTAAGATCATTTTAATTATCAAAGCACCTCTGTGACCTGAAGGAATGTAGTCAGTGTTTAGATGTTAGAAAAAAAGTAAAAAATTAATAATACAAATCACAAATCAAATGAAAAATATCAAAATAAAACTTTATAGTGCAAAAAATCACACGAAAGTGCAATACAATATATTTACATGATATATAACATCTTACTTATTACTTTATCACAGGCATTTTCTGCTGTGTTTGAAATTTCAGTGCTTATAAACATTGTACAATGTAGAATCTATAGGAAACCTGGTTCAAAAGAGGTAAATATTAGGACTGTAACAAAACATTAAAATGCAAAAGAAAAAGAATCACTCATGCAATTATATCATTAACAGTTTTCAACACATAAATGAACAAAACAAAATTAAGGAATATTTGAAATATCCAGTGTGGAAAAGCTTTCAAGGGAAATAACTCTTGAAATAAATCAGAGTAAAGAATGACAATGTTTGTCAACTACAACCATTGCAGGGAGATAACTCTGAATAGAGTCAGAAGTAAGCATGGTTGCCCACAAAAAAAAAAAAATAACTGGGAGACCACTCTGGAAAGATTTACAGTCTGCAATCAATATGGCTGTCTAAAACAACCATAAAAGGGAGATAACTCTTATAAGAGGTTAGTCTGGGAGTCAAACTGGTTGACAACATCTACAAAAGTGATAAAACTCTGGAAAGAAATCAAGATATTGAGGTAATTAAGGAACTGAAAAATGTCAAATTGGAAATAATGAATTTGAGGAGAAAATAAGAAGGTAAACGGATAAATAAATAAAGGAAGGAAACGTGACAAAAAACGGATTTTATTTCTATGCTTACAAAAAAAAAAAATTGTTTTCCCAGAAAAAATAATACATATATGTATATTTGTATTTTCAGATTCATTTTGAGGCTTTGAGGTTAGGGATGCATATCAAGGCTGCTGGCTTATAAAGGGAGAAGTAGAAAGTAGAGTTGACAGTTTGGGAGCTTTACACACTCCATGCCTTAGAGCGAACCTGACAAGAGACAACAAATCAGGGGCTCCCCCGATTACACCCAAATAATCCCTGTAGCAGAAATTCTCCGCGGCAAACACTCTGTGGAGGAAATCATATAACATTGTGTCAGCCACATTCAAAATCACTGAAAGCAAAGACATAAATCATATTGACACTGGTTCTATACGACAAGAATATTGTACTAAGAACAGGTCAATTTGAAACATCTGTTATGTGTATACTGATAAAACAGAAATTTTTGATCGACCAGATCAAAGAAGAACAAATCTGTATTGATGTTGATATTTTTATCAGGTCATGAATTTTTTATACACAGCGTTTTATCATATATACAACTGCAAAAATAAAATCCTCTGTAAAGAAATCATCACGAAAAAGAAAACATACATGCTTATATATATATATATATGTACATCGTAGTTCATGCTGTAGACATGATGAAGCTATCACAGACAGTGTGTGTGAACATGGCGCAAGTCCACTGCAGGATATAAACTGATGAAACACAGAAAAGCAGTTAACTTTGTTGAGCATGACATTTGATGGGAAAAAAGGAATTTCAATCATTCAGGCACTTCTTCTATCAGATATAGTATCATTCCAAACTAAAGGTAATCGTGGGATCAGAGTGAAGACAGGTGTCGGAGTCTTATAGACATATCCTCTAGACAAAGGCAAGATTTCTGAAGCAATTTCAAACAACAGAGGTAGATACACAAAGTGACTATGATATACCTACAGGGGACATTCTGTGGTTAGGAAATTGATTGAAGTGAAAGTACAAGACTAGACAGGAATACTCATTAACCATCAACAAAGATTGAATATTTAGGATTGATATAAAACATTCAGGTGTATATGGACAAGGTTGGTGTTTTTTTTATAAAAACATCACCAAGACATCAAAAGCATTCTGATTCAAATCAGATCTGCCTATTTTCACAAGGTGAAGTGAAGATTTCGGAACAAAGAGTGAATCTACTATCATTCTCTATAGGTGAAGATAACTCTAATCTCAGTGACGAAGGGAGGTAATTCAAACCTCACATGCTATCTGGAGGTCTGCGCATAAAGCTAAGGACTCACAGAAGGAAATTTGATCACAAAGGGAGACAATTCAACATTCAGCAGCAACTGCAGTCAAGAGAGCTCTTCATACACAGAGGTAAGTATATCTAACCTATCCCATGTAGCTTCAATGGTTTCCTTGACTTTAATCACGTCCTTCCTCTCTGGTGACCAGTATTCCCTGTCCTGGGACTCTCTGACAGTTGTGGCTGCCTTAGGAACTGTTGGAGCACGAACAGGTTCCCGCTGCCTAACTGGAGCGGGATCATGCAGTTGTTGTTCTTTAACCTCAATAATAAGTTTGTCCTTCGGCGGCTCAGACGTCTTGCGGACAATTCTAGCTGCTGGTACTGGTGGCTGCCCTCTACGCAGGACTGCCTGTTTGATTGTAATGGTAGCTTCCGACTTTTCTTTCTCAGAATCGGAGGGAACCATCACCATTTTTGTAAGTTCTAATGATGAGGAAGCCTCCTGTCCTTTAGGGACATAGAACTCCACTGGTGCAGGGGTTCCAGACACCGGTATATCAATTTGTGTTGCAACAGGGGACACCATTGGTGGTGATCTCCCTTGGGGCTTAGGGGACACTTTAGGGGCCACTTTCTCCTTTCTGTCACAAACAAAATCAATAGACAACACTGAATTAGCTCTGCCAAATTAGTGACCTACTGTATTGTATTAAATATCACACTCCTACCTCCAAACCGTATCACCTAGTTCTACGATAATTGTTTATCAAGTGATCTATTTCTATATATATATTTTTTTTATCTCATTTTAATAAATTCATGTTTGCACCATATCTTTAACATTCATTTTTTTCCAGCAAAAGCTAACGAATCTATGTCAAAAATCTCAAAAGGTTTTGTTTTTTTTTTCCGTTCCTTTTGTAAGAAAAAAAAATGAATTTTGAAAGTGTGATATTTGAGAAAATCCTGAAATGAAGTGTCATTAATATTTGATCAGTGACCAACATATAGACTTCTATACTAGACTAACAACTTTCATGCAATACAATATTTATCATAAAACAAAGTCGTTAACAATGAAACTAAAGGGCAGTTAACTCAACACTTAAAGAAGCAGAAATGAAAAAATATAGAAATGAAAATAAAGCTCATTTGAATGCAATAAAAAAAGTAGATTTTCTTGAGGGTGGAAACAAGAGAGATTTCAAAGACAAGTGACAAACCTGTTAGATAGTATATAATAGTCCAACGATGGCTTAGAAAACCTATACATAAATTTTTTTGCACCTTGCAATTAAGTTAAGATTCCATTCTCAGTCACAACCTGCAGTTATTTTTCTAGATTTTAGATTTATCCATCAGCTATACAACATTTTTCTATTGCCCTATTCTATTGCTTTTTGTTTTCATATCACTTTCGTCCTCAATATTGTATAATATAAGGATATTGTCATTAATAATTCATAAAGAGGCTTCTGGGTTAAATAAAAGCAGTTTTAACAATGCACACAAGCAGGCAGAAACCTATTCCGCACCTTGGCTCAAACATGGCAACTTTTGGTAGCTTTTGGACCTCTTGTGGCACAAAAGGTGGAGGTGCCACTTGTGGTGGCGCAGGGGCCACTTGTGGTGGCTTAGGAGCCTGTTGTGGCACTACAGCAGGAGCTGGTGGTTGTTCCTTTGGTGGTGATGGTGTCTTAGACTTCTTTTTCTTGCGTTGCTGCGGTGGTTTAACAGGTCTGATAGCAAGAGGAGAGAAAAGTTGTAGAGAAACAGTTTACAGGAATACAGTAGAAACACAGTAAATACAGCAGAAGTACAGAGATTTACAGTTTAGAGTTTAGAAAGACAATAGAGAATTCACTAATATTTCATACAGAAAAATTATTGTATTCTATCAATATGAAATTACAATATCAAAAACAACATCATACAAAAACACATTTCTTAAACAAAAACAATACAATAAATCAGATAATATATTTAACAATTCTATAGATTGGAAAATAAATCTATTTGTAAATCATATCAAATCTGATAGCATGCTGTCTGTCATCTCATCATGCATGATGGGTATTTACACTTCAGAAATAGTAGGTGTTAGAAAATCTACTTAAATAAGAATCACAAAGAATTTTAATTTTAAAATATGGTGATTTTATAAACTGTAGACGGACCAAAATCAACCTTCTAAATTTCCAAATGAGAAATATCACAATGAAATGTTGAAAGAAATCCAGAATTTACAAACAGATGGAAAAATTAACAAGGAAAAGCTCTCAAAACATACTGATGTAATCATCTTTGATGAGAAGGGAATTTTATCAAAACATAAAGGGAAGGGAGACAACTCCACATCAAAGTTTATAACCACCTGAACTGTTTGTACTTGGTCTGCAGTGACGCGGGAAGCTGTGGTTCGTGTTTCGGTCTATCGTCATACCTAAGTATCAAAGTTAAAGACTAATGCACTGATCTTGCTACTCTAGGTTGAATCAACCATGAACACTTGCCCAAAAATCAGTTATTTTTCCAAGTAATTATAATAAAAAAACTACTGGAAATCATCTCAATTTCAGCAACATTGCTGAAGCATTTCATTTCATAATAAATTCTGCTTCCAAAATAATAACCTAACATTTTAATTCACACAGGAGACATCAACTGAATTTCTATTCCAATTCTGTTGTATATTAGAAATGAGCGCTGAGTGTAGATGTTTAAAGAAGAAAATATTTCAACAACAGATATTTCACAATATATAAGATGATTTTCAGTACACTCTACATGAGATGCAGATGTAAGTCTGTTACATAATCTATTTATAGAATATAAGAACAAATCACATGATATCAAAATAAATAAAAGAGAAGTAATAGGTAACAAAATAACAATTTAAAAATAAAAATTAACATTTATGAGTGAAATGGTTAAAAATTACCACAAAAGCTAAAATATGTTGGTAAAAAAAATCTTAAAAGCTTGAACATTTTTTCCGACTCTTTCAAACCAAGCATGATCAATTTAACCATTATGGAAACACGTATGAAATATATCTATTCTACCACACAAATTTAGATCAATTTTTTAAATGATTTTATAAAGATATATTATCAGTACAAGTGCTAGGTTTTTGAAGATCCAAAAGTTGTTAAGAGATTTAAGACATAACATATTGCTGATGTGGTAGGGCATCCAAAGCTATAAAAATATCAATCATTTCTCACATCTACACATATTAATTCTTAATTAATTTCTAAAATGAAATTCTAATTTAATCATACTTTAAAATAATATAGGTAACCACACTTCAAACATCACACAACCTAAAACTATTTCATAAAATTTAATTACTGAATATCATTCTGTATAACACATGTCTCCCATGTAGTAAAGCTAGTGTAATAACTACCGGTATGTATCTCGTTTAGTGACCAGTAAATCAATCAACAGTCAACATGCTTAGAGTATAATACACCCCTACCGGTCATATTCTTCCTCTGTGGATGACAGTACAGTCAGTGTCCTCGGTTTTGGCATTGGAAGGCGTGGTCTTTCCATAGACACAGATCTACAAGTGTCCAATCAGAATGTGCTTTACATATTTTATTAACCAAAGACACAGATCTTCAAGTGTCCAATTAGAATGTGCTTTACATATTGTATTAACCATAGACACAGATCTTCAAGTGTCCAATCAGAAGTGTCCAATCAGAAAGTGGTTTTAAGACTGAATTGACCAATTAAATCTCCTCTTGCAAATCATTACAGCGACTAAAAGATATCATCCAACATCTTTGCCTTCTTCCACTTTTCCATTTTTTTCAATTTTACAAAATTGACAAAAACAAAAAACTTAATTCCTCAAAACAAAACTGGGTCACGCTTTTATCATGGTGTCCTTCCAAACTTTGTTTTCAGCATCATATTTATTTGATGGCCCATGCAGATATTACTATACACACTCAGCCAAGATGGAATAGAGCATGCTTGGTAAATCTTTATTCTCCAAGGAAACGTCATATTTTTCGGAAGAAAAAACAGGGGTATTTTGATAAAATATATCACCTTTTGGCATGCTTGTTAACAATGACTCATTTTTTTTTTCTTCTAAAAACAAATTTGATCTACACTGATCAAGTTGATGCTTCAAACATGCACATTGTTGAAAGCACATGTACAAATAGACTTCTTTTTACAAATTCAAATTATCCTTCTTATTCCTTGCTGCAAAGCATGCTTGCTGTGACTGGCTATTTTTTCCGAATGTGAGCAACTAAATCATTCTGTCCACTAATTCAGGTAAAGCAGCCATCAGCTGTACGTACTGGCCATGTCTGACTAACTGCTGATACAACAGCCACAGTCTGTACTAACACAGGTTGCAAACTGACAGTATTTGTAACTTTATCAGTCAAGGAAAGACAAATCAAAGCCATGCAGATTTTGAAATCCTCAACAGCCAGTTCTTGAAATCCTCAACATGCAGATCTTCTTGAAATCCTCAACATGCAGATCTTCTTGAAATCCTCAACATGCAGATCTTCTTGAAATCCTACACAGGAAGATCTTCCTGAAATCCAAGCCATCAAATTTGGAATGGCTGCATGCAAGATCCACTAGAATAATGGCAGAGTTTTTCTTCCAGTAAATAATTTCTTTTCTCGATTTTATTCTCAACAACATGCTTTTTTTCATATTCTGTCAGATGTCACAATACACATACAACAAAGTTCAACATGCACATTCTGAGAATCAAAGATTGCCGCACCTTGATCGTGATGAATCAAGTTCATCCTCTGACACAAGACGGAGGTAGCCAGCCTCAGTGTCTGATACATAGGTGATCATCTGAACTGGGCCTTCTGATTGGATGTCATAGCTGTTGAATATTCAATCAATGTCTTAGACTTTAATCGCTATCATCAAATTATAATTTTGTTTGTAAGTCATCATAAACAAAAACAAAATTGTTTGATGAAAAGTAGATACCTTGGAATTTCTAGTAAACCAGAAATTATATACAAGATATTTTTCAATTGCAGCTTCATGTAATTTTTATTTTAATTTTGTCATTGGAAACCAAATGTTTCAAAATTCAAATTGAATAGTTCCATGCAGAATCAAAAATTGTATTTACGCTCCAGGTACGCCAGGTGGAATTGGGAGAACATCCATCGGTGATGGCTCCTTAGCCCTGGGGGCCTGGACATGTCTCACTGGTGATGGACTCGGTGGCTGGACATGTCTCACTGGTGATGGACTCGGTGGCTGGACATGTCTCACTGGTGATGGAGTCGGTGGCTGGACATGTCTCACTGGTGATTGAGTCGGTGGTACCTCGTCACGTTTTACTGTCTCTGGGCGGAACATTGGTTCCTGTGCCACAGGCTTAGGTGAAGGTTTGTGTGGTGCCACTGGTTTGGGTGATGCCACATGTTTAATTGGAGCCTTGGGTGGCTTACCAACAGGTGGCAATGATTTCTCTGGAGTTTCAAATCTCCTCTTAGCATCAGCCACATTCTGAGGCAGTACAGTTTCCTCCTCTTCCATTGGTTCCTCTGCGGTTGGTGGTGCTGCCTCAGGTGTTGCCATGGGAACCATGGGTGGATGTGCAGGTGTTATATGTGCCTTTGTTACAATCCTAACAGGAACAAGGCAAGTCGATATCAGATATAACGCCAGCAAAAGGATATACCAAAATATTTAATTCCTTTCATTATTTTAGTCATCAACGTGAAAAGTAATTACTTTAATCATACATTTGAAAAATCAATGAAAAGCTGCAATAAATAAAAAGAGAGAAAAAAATCACATTTGAATTCTCTGCGGAAAACCATTGACACACAAACACTGATTGAGAAGGAAAGATGGGTCACGCCACACCAGATAAACGGTTCACTCACATGCATTATCAAGAGATAACTGAAATAATCAAACATTGATTCCTCTATCACAGAAAACCACAGTTTTATGTAGAGCCTAAGCCCTATAGAATTCTGATCATATCAGTACTAACTTGCGACGTTTGATGACAGGAGAGGATTCTACTGATGTGGAGGCTGGTGTAGGGGGAGGAACCCGTGGAAATGGGCGGTTATACGTCTGCTCACTGGGTTTCTGAGTATGAGGCTTCGCCGCGGGGCTACACAGAGTCACAGTCACAAGAAGTCAGACAAGTGTCATGAAAACCTTCTGAATACTCTTTGGTAATCTTTATAAAATATTCTGGATTCTTTGTAATTTCTAAATTTACCTAAATTCGATGAATATCTTTCACCTACATCATGTTTTTCAGAATAACAGTTTCAATATTTAAGCATGAAATGATTACATAACAGAAGAAAATAAATGAAGATATGAAAGGACTAAAATCTATATTGTATAATTGACCTTGACTTAATGTTTTGCTGACCTTGACAAGGTCATCATTTTCTATACTAGTTTTTCGTATCTGTCGATAGCTTTAGAGTTCAGCAACTGTTGGTGGTTAATCAGATATATCTGCTTACATCTATTTACATTCAAAATTATTTGCATATTAAGTCTTCATGCTGCTGCAGTGCATTTTGGGATAAACTACCAGGCCATATGTGTTATAGTATCACTTAAGGCAATACATGTCGGATCCCTTGTTTCTAATCTGCTACTAATTCGGCAAAAAAGCCCATGCTTGGTGAACTAATGCTGATACATTGTCCTGTAATAAGCCCATAACAATCCTGGAGTAATGTGTTGACTTCAAGCTTTATTACTGGAGATAGATATTAGCCAAACCTTGATATCACAGTAGAAATCAAATGAAATTACTTTAAATTCAAAATCCCATCACTATTTTAAGTCTAAGCTGAGTTGCAGTAACTAATATAAATATGAACAAAATCAACATGTAGTTGGCTATTTTCATATTGGAAATTTCTCAAATCTCTTTGTAGCTAAGTACCTACAATATTTATAATTACTCGTCTTTAATGTTTGATGTAGTACTAAATTGGGGCAAAATAAAACCACTGCAAAACATAATGTATTAACATATTAAGCTATGAAAAATTGAAGTTGTCTTTAAATTTTAAATTGAAGTTGTCTTTAAATTTTGAATTGAAGTTGTCTTTAAATTTTAAATTGAAGTTGTCTTTAAATTTTTAGGAATCAAGGTTTTTCTGTAAATGTCTAAGAGTGGAAGAATGCTTTCATGCGATTAAAAGGATGACATAGCTTACGGACATATATTATGGTACAAACACGACGAGGAATTCTACAGTGATCATTCCTATTAACCCATTATGCACTGTTGCCATAGCTACATGTGCTACTTCTGTCTTAGTGTTATTAGACGATAAGATTTAAAACTACATTCATATTAGTCTGCATTACAGCAGCCATCTCATTCACAAATTCTATACTATCATACGAATTTATTTGACAAACATCAACAACAATTTTGTTAACTATACTACCAGGAAGTGGAAACTCTTAAATCGGAATATTTCAACTTCCATAACAAAATTAATTTACAATAGTAATCTAATTCATTTGCATGATCTTTTGAAAAATGAGTTGATAATTGAAATCCAGATTTAGGAGTTGTAACCACACAGTAGAGAAGCAACATCCAATCTAAGTACAAATTAAGTGTTAACAAACAACTAGAAAAAGACCACACACTGATTTGCTTTAAAATTTACTTATTCATGTGTTCTAGTGCGATATATATAGAGATCATACAACATGGTTATAACCATTTGTAAATTAAACCAACCTATCCTCTTTAGGTGGGGTGGGAGTACCCTTAAGGCGTAACGTCCCGCTTTCCAGTTCGGAAGCATACGATATCTGTTGTACGGGGCCCTCCTTATGTATATCATACCAACTAAAAGCAAAGCAGGTACAACATCAATGGAAAGGATTCATACAAACGTGGAAAACACATTTACAGTTAGGACTAGCTAACCTTAAAATGGCTTTTGCACTTCAAACTTAAAGAGGCAAATATTCAAATATATTCAATATGGAATGGAAAGAGGGTTAAAAAATATCACGCAAATTCTTCTTCACACCAACCTAGGGTCAAAAGATATGAGCCACTTTCTTTCCAAAGTCATCTACATGCAGGACTTAAATATTGAGATAAAAAAAAAGGACAATCCGTTCTTCCTCTTTAATAGGATTTTGATAAAGAAATGGAACTACGGTGGGAAATTTTATGTAGTGATTTTATGAAAAGATATTACTGAAAAACCTTCGTGTAAAATTTCCACACAACAACACATCTAAGAGTTAGCATGCCATGCTGATATGAACCTTGATGCATCCTCCTCCTTAATTAGACGCATAAGAGCACTTCCTGCCTCCGTGCTGTACGAGATCTGTTGTACCAAGCCTTCTGATTGGATGTCATAGTGACTGTGGGGAAATTGACATACTTGTTACATTATCTGATTCAAGCACTGTGACAGGCTTTCATAGTGTCTGCATAAAGCATTCTGACTAACTGTTTTAATCAAGGTATTTGTAATGGATGGTGAGGGGATCAGCAAGGTTATTCCCAAAAATATCAAAGCTGGAAAGCAAACAAGTTATATACATGATGAAATGAATGCACAATTGAGCATAAAGCAGTACATTACAAAGAAAGCTAAGGTATGATAGCGTAGAAGCTATACATCAAAGTGAGAAAGAGATGTGTAAGTTTGTAAGCAGACATATATATATATATATATATATAGCTGTATAGTATGTGACTATTATCTCTGACAATCATCCCTGTTGATGTTCCAGAACTTGTCCATGCTTTCCCTCGCCTTCATCTCTATTTTTAAACAGTACTTACGGTGGTGACTGCGATCCTGGCATCCTTGCAGGGGGAGCTTTGGCTTGTTCCTGTGGTGCTACTTTTGGCACCACCTGTGACGGTTTGGTAGCCACATGTGGTGGTGAAGAGACTTTGGGTATCGTGAACTTCTTCATAGGTTCCGGTTTTGGCATCTCAGCTGTTGACAAACGAAACGTTAACTCAACAATAATTAAACTGCATAAAATACAAAATGAAAACCAATATTCAATTGAAACAAGTCCAGATTGGAATTTGTTAGAATGTTATTTATAATAATAATGAGAACTCATTAAAATAAGTGTCGTAAATAATATCAATTGAACAGTTTGATAAAGATCACAATATACGCTGATATCTACTGGTAGAAAATAGAAAATGTTAACCTCATTATGATTAATTCCAAAGTTGGTGTAATAACACACAAATTTGCTTCAGTTTTTCCAAGGAATAACAAATAAAAAGTTTATAATAAATAAATAACATTTATCTAAATTTGGTTCAACCAGACACAATAATAATGCAAGATACTTATACTGAAAGAGTTCAATAAATCCATGAACAAGACAAAGCAATTTCTGAAGGGACGAAAAAGATAAAATGTTTATACAGATATTCAAAAGACAATTACCTGGTACGACAACCTTGGCCCGTGTTGTGGCACTTCCAGCCACATTGACGGCCGAGCACTGGAACCATGCTGAGTCTGCTGGCTCACAGCGTTCTATATACAATGTAGATCTGTTACCCTCTATGTCAATCCTGCAACATCACAAAAAAAAAATCAATTTTTTATCAAATAAGCTTAGATAATGCACTATAGTACAATACATCAGTATCTAAATGCAGCCACAAAATCCTGTAACCTTTGACCTTAAAGACATTAGTGTCTTTGACTGAAAATCACATAACTCAACCAACAATATCTCGTGACCTTTGACCTTATAAATTGTTCGGCGTCTTGGACTGAAATTTATATACCTATGTAATTCAACCGATCATATCTTGTGACCTTTGACCTGAATATTTACATCTTTTGCTAATGATGATACATTCTCTCGTTCGATTGCTACACACCTGTATGGGCTGCTAGGAATCAGCATTTTTCCATCTTTCTGCCAGCTGATCATAGGGGTAGGTGTACCTGTGACGTCACAAGTCAGTGTTATAGGCTCTCCAGCCTTGGCAGTAATATTCGGTATTCTGTTCTGGAATTTCGGTGGCTGAAGCATTTCTTTCTCTGTTAAAACATAATAAATGTATTACAACAGAGTAACACATTGTCATACATAGCACATTGTTTTTGTTACATCGCATTACATCAAGCCTTTTTACAACAAATAACAGTGACATAATGTCCTCCAATATACTGTGAATGTGGCTATTTTTAAAGAGCTCTTTCTATAGCTATTTTAGATAAAGAAATAAAATAGCGTTAATTAGATAGATTAAGATTATAAAGAAGAGATAAAACTATTGCTTATTTTAGGACTTCGGGGAAAAAAATCCTACTTGCTATGATCTTTTGATAAATCCTTGAAAATTTTGATCATCAGAAATGAAAAAACAGAAAAAAAAAAACTTTTTTTTTTATATGTCAACATTGTATTGTAATGACATACTAGAACACTGTGAGACTACTTACCTAGAATAGAGACGATAACATTGAAAGAATTTTCCCCAGCTTTGCTCTTAGCTACACACATATAAGTTCCAGCGTCGTAGCGGCTTGCAGACAGAATGATAAGTGAATTCACTCCATCTTCATTGACAACCGTCTGTAATTCAAACCAAAATCATTCCAGTTAATGTAACAGTATGATTTCAAACAATTACCAAACATTTCCTCAACTGACAGATTAGAATATATTAAACATGAATTACATTATAAATATGTAAAAATGACCTTCACCTTATGATTCATGTCGTTGCGGACAGGCTGTCCATCTCTGTACCAGGTGAGCTCAGGGGCTGGGCGGCCAGACACAACAGTGTCCAGTCTGACTGTTTGACCTTCCCTGGCCTGTAAACTCTCAGGAACCTTTTTGAAGGTTGGGCGTAACAGTGCCTCAAGGATTCCACTTTGGTCCTCAGGCTTCTGGGCTTTGGTCTTGTCCCTACAAAGGTTCAATGATATTCAATTACAATTACATAATCATGTTGAAAGTCTTCTTTTGATAACCATTTTAAAAATGTCATATGCACAAAAGCTCAAACCCTAACCTCACCTCTAAAGACCAGATAGAACACTTACTTGGTCATCTTTTCTAGTGTGGTTGGAGCCACAAAAGAGGTGGAGTCAATCTGACCAACACCGTCCACATACAGCATGCTAGAGCAGGTGGCCTTGCCTGCTGCATTGACAGCTAAGATGGTGAAGTGACCAGCGTCCTCTGGCAAGGCAATTCGGATACGGAGTGTGCAGTATCCGTCTTTGGTATATTTCATCTCATATCTGTTTGATCGTTTGATCCGGTGGCCATTTTTGTACCATGCAATCTGCAGTTGAAAGGAGCAGTTGGATAAGAAACAGGCAGGAATGATCAGTTATAAATTTTTTTCAGGAACACTTAATGATATTATTTCACTTTTCATTTTTTTCAAATGTGAGATTTTTCTACATTACATGGGTGGGTTTGTTACCAGACGTGGGATAAGTATGCCATCTATATAATAACCAATCAAATTATCGATAAAAAGAGATTACCATTATTTAGGTTTTTTAAAACCTAGAAACTGACCTTTGGCCTCGGACGACCTGTGACCCTACATACAAAGGTTGCATCTGAACCCTCAATGAGACGGAAGTCCTTAAGTTTCTGGATGATTGCTGGGCTAGCAGGTGGCGCCGGTGGTCCACGGTCATCCTGAAGTTCAGATTCATATTCTGAAGTTTCTGTCTCACTTGAAATCTTGATGTGTCCATCACGCATGTAATTCTCACTCATCAGTCGCTGCTCAAACCCAACAGACTGGAAGTCCTGCAAATATTAAACATATATTAGATATAAGATATCAATTTAACAGAATCTTTGCAAGTAAAACAGACAGACGACAAACAGATTTAACAGAATCATTTCAAATAATACAGACAGACAATTAACAAGGACTTTTCTACTTTACTCACTTGTACAGGCGGTTGTTTCTTTTTCTCTGGTTCCTTTGACTGTCTATACTGGAGGTTACTCTCAAGTATTTTCTCAGCACGAGTGACCACAAACTCCTGGGGCTGACGCTGTGGAGCCTCCATACGTGCCCTCAGCTCTGTCATGGGTGGTTCCCATGTCTTCTGAGGAGCAGGCTGTGGTTTCTGGACCTGAACAGGTTCCCATGGTTTCCTGGTTACTGGTTCCTGGACAGGAACATACTTCTCCTTTGGCTCAGCTGAGACCGGCTGCCAGCTCTTCAGCGGAGCCACAGGGATTGATGGTATCGGAGGAGGCGGTGGTGAGGGAGCCCTCACTGTAAAACACGATGCAAATATAGTTTAAGGCAATGAATTCAGAATCAAAAAGTCACAGAAATCTGTTTGGTTGACGAACAATTTTAAAAAATGAGGATAAAAACTTGCTGCTTATCTAGCAGTGAAATTCCTTGTTTGAATAAATAGTAAACAAAGACCCATCAATGGATTTAATAAATGTTTTCTGCATTCATCCAAGATTACATCCCACAAAGGAGACCAATAATCAAAAATGAGTTACTCTCAATAGTCTGAATCTGGTCTTCAGATAAATGTTTTCTTTGTTTGTATAAAAATATTGACATATATATATATTATCATTATCCTGTTGTTATTTGTACCAATAACAGTGAGCTGACCTTCAGCAGGCAACAGAGTGGCTGTAACAGTATCTTCTCCAGCCAAATTGACCGCAGTACATGTGTACTCTCCAGCATCATCAGGACGACAGTGAGAAATCGTCAATGAACAACGACCACTTAAGGTGTCAACAGTCATTCTGTGTCTGAAAAAGAAAAAACCTTACAATTAGAATCTATCTAAATCACAGCAACTTCTGTATCGATTCTGAATTATCAATTTGTACATTGTCTATATATCATTCATAGGAAGATATTCTATATGAATTTGACTTTTGTAAAGCATCCGTCATACAGCTTAATCATTTACAGTTTTAACAACTCATGGAACACTTACCACGATTTTTCCTAGATGGAAGTTTCTTTGCAGTAAATTAACAACACCAAAACTGACAGGAATGCAACATGTTACATATTGAAAACAATTGGCATCTCACCTGTTATCAGTTCTCATGGGGAATCCCCTCTTTTTCCAGGTGATTTCTGGGAAGGGCACTCCAGTCACATGACATTCAAAGATGGTGTTGGTAGCCTCAACAAGGCGTGAATTTCCAGGTTTGTCTGTGAATTGTGGACGGATAGGGGTCACCATTGGTGCCTTTTCTTCACGCTTCGGTGCCTTCATCTGCTGAACTGGTTCTTCCCTGATTGGAACGTCTTTCTCTGGCGTTGCCGCTAATGAGTTTTTTGATAAAAGAAAACATTTAGGACATTAAAATCACTGTCACAACACTTCCAAACAGGCTAAATACCTACAGAGTAAATTAGAATTTTATGAAACTTTTGAAGCCAATTCTTCTTCGGCATTTAAGATCTTAAATGTATTTCACCAACACAGAGAGCTTACATAATCATAACATTTTGCTGTTTGAGTAAGACTTACTTAAAACTGCAATTCATACGGGCAATTTTGTCTCAGTAAATCTTCAAAGGAAAACATTAGACAAAATTTTAATTTCTGTTATCTCCAATATTCCTTTGATTATTAATAGTTTTGATCCTTTATGAGATAAATTTTAACTTTTACTTCCTACATGACAACTTATTTCAAAATAATCATTCTTACGTTTGACTTCGAGTCTGGCTTCAGATATGGCACATCCCTCAGCGTTAGTAGCCACACATTTGAAGACTCCCGAATCTTCAGGGAATATCTCAGCGATGGTCAGTCTGGCAGTGTTGTTCTCCCATGTGATCTCATAATCAGGTGAACTTGAGATCACTATTGTTTCTCTGAACCATTTGATAATAGGTTCTGGATGAGCAGATATGCGACACTCAAACACGACCCGTTCTCCTTCACAAGCAGAAATATTCTTCAATGTCTGTAATACAAAATAACCAAGGTAACATAAAAACTACACATTATTTTTTTTCAAAATCACAGATTAGACCTACAATATTTGTTAATTCGATTCCTTTGTGCAGGTAAGAATTGATGTTAACAGTTATGTTGTTAATATTTCTCACTAATATTAATCCTTAAGATCCATCAGAGAGAGAATTTCTTTTTGTCCTATATCTATTTATTATTTATATTTTGTCTCACACATTGTATGATAACTATGAGTATTACCCCATAGATAAAAGTATTATCCTGTCGACATAAGTGATTACCCAGTAAGTATAAGTTTATACCAAGGATATACACCACAGAGTAAATGTGTAAGTAAAACACGTGCTATTCTATATTGTGTTTAACGGTATGGAATTGTTCAAGATAAACTGATCCAGCATACCTGCGTGAAGCTAGGTTTCTCCTTGGTTGTCACAAACACTGGAGGTTTAGATAATGGTAGTGGTGGAGGTACGTCCTCCTCTGGTGCAGGTTCTTTGAAAAGCGGAATGCGCTTCTCAAAGGGAGCAAACTGTGGCTTGCTCTCTACGGGTACCTCCACCTTTTCTGTGAACATTTTCGGTTTTGGTTCTGGCCTTTTAACAAACTGTGATGGGCGTTGCAGCTTTGGAACCTTTGCGCTTGGTTCCTCTGTGGGCTCGAAAGGCTTGGGGGCTTCTCTAGGTGGGGCCCTCATCTGGTCAAAAGTCTCCTTTACCCCTATTACAGGCTTGTGTACAGGGGCAGGGGTCTGATCCATTGGGGCTACAAGATACAGCACATCAAACTGACGTTAATCAAATATCTTCAAAAGGTTAGAAAATTTCTTGAACAATTAACTTCAAACTATTTACATTTTTGGTATTCGAACCAATATTTTCATACTTTAAATATACTTTATTTTGCTTTATTACACAGTACATTTTTGATTGGATATAAGTATGACATTTATAATTTAAGATTTCACAATTTAGTATTCTTCCTCAGAAATACTTCATTCAAGGTAGAAATTATCCTCGATACTCCATGGGTTACAATCATTTATGCTCTCTGTACCCCTGGAACATATCATGGCAAAATTGAAGATTCCTTGTGTAAAACTTTGTGGACAAGACAAAATGACCAGTTTGATCCTTTGAGGTATATAAATAAATCTTGAGGTCATATAATATTTATTGTAATGGAGTGTTGCAGATTTGTAATCTTCCAAAGGAGTATATCAGCCTGTGATAGGTCAGTTTCTTTTCTCTTGAAACCAATCAAATGGTTTCACTTATGCCTTCAATTTTAACATGACATGTTCCAACGATGCAGAGAGCAAAGGTGGTTGTAACTCCAGGAGTATCAATGACGGGCAAAAGTTGCCAACAACAGTATCTCTATATAAGGATGATACTGACCCAGAATCCTGAGTTCAGTTGTACACTGGGCGTGTCCAGCAGGATTTTCGGCAGTAACAGTAAAGTTTCCGCCATCCTCTTGAAACACCTCTGGAATGTACAGAGTGTGGAGGTCACCCTCCGTGATGATCTCAAAGTCTGGGGAGCTCACCACCTGGGCGCCTTCACGGTACCAGGTTACAGTTGGGGGTGGCTGACCTGACACGCGCACTCTGAAACGCACGGCCTGGCCTTCACGGCATTCTGTGATCTTTAGCTTCTCCGTGAACATTGGAGGAATCATTGTAGCTAGGACAGAAAACAATAATATAGTTATATCATCAGAGTCAAAGACTACTGATTCAAACCCATCTTTTTTCCTTTTTTCCTTCTCTCTCTCATTTATTTTTTTATTTTATTTTCTCATTTTAAAGTATAAAGCTTCAAAGTAAAGCCTCAGTTTTAAAAATGCAGAAATTTACAACATTATCAAAGTTTCATTCCCTCAAACTTTATAAAGATTTTGTATGAACAAAATTACATTTCATGCATTTGAATGATGGATAATTATTTCACAAACACATTTTCATCCTTGTTTATGATAATCTTTGTATTTAAAGTTTTAATGACGTTGGTCGACTTGTACCTCTCACTACGAGTTGTGAAGAGCTAGTAGCTTGACCTCCTTCATTGTCAGCCTGGCACTCAAAACGCCCGGCATCCTCCTCAAAAACTTCTGGAATGGTAAGTGAGACACGTCCGTCTCTGTAGCCAATCTCAAAGTCTGCTTTGTCCGTGAGTTGTTTCCCTTCACGGAACCACTTGATAGTTGGCTGGGGTTTGCCTGAAAATTTATCATTGAAAGTTTGAAATATACATAAAGAAGACTTCATGTCCAGTTTGTGGTGACATAGACATTCTAATTCAACGTTTATGATACACGACTCAGAACTTAGAAACATGATAATATTACACCACAACGAGGACTCACTGAGACACTGTCCATATTTTAAGGACAATTAAAAAAATTCATGAATCCACAAGATATTGTCATTACATCAAATCAAGAAAATGTTCTTATCATCAACAAACATGTCGAAAAAAAGAATCAGTACAGTTTGGTAAAATTTAATCAAAATTAAATTTCGAACAGTTTTAATGATTATGTCTCATTTAAAACTTAAACGGGTTAATTCCAAATCAAAGAGAATTTTTTGATAACAGATCGGAGTATGATTTGCTTACATGTTGATTTTACGTTATGAAATCGGGTAGTCTACAACAAAGATATTTGATTCCATTTAAATACATACCTGACACAACTCCCTCAAAAACGACCTTACTGCCCTCCGCAGCCGTGATGTTTTTCAGCGGCTGGAGGAACTTAGGAGGGATTGGCACAGCAATTGTCAGATCCACCGGCTTGAAGGTGGGCGGCACGTCTGTCTTGAGAGTGGTAGCGTAATGTTCCGTTGCTCCGATCATTGGTACAGGCTCTGCGTCGGACACATCTGTCAGGATGGTGGTCGAATGAGACTCGTATGATGGTATATATGTGTCTCTTTGTGTCGACTCAAATATGTGCTTGACATGTGTTTCGGTTGTTGTTGTTTCCGTACGAGACACACGTTTGGACCTGATAACAACAATGCCATTAGTTTATATCACAAACATAAAAATATAAAAATCAAAAGCATCAAACTTTAATTTTAAACAATGATTAAATTTTCAAAATAATCATATAAATACCTTCAAAATTAAACAGCTCCAAACAAAATTAAACTCTCTGTTAGTATTCTGAAATTTATGCACATCAATATTCAACCCTTTCTATGGTATTCTGTTATTTTAGTATAAAAATGCTTTTTAAATACTTACAACATCTCGGTGTTTCCAAATATTCTTGTTTTAGGTATAGTTGGTTCTTCGTCTACATTCAGACAAGCTGAGCAAGTTGCCTTGCCCGATGGGTTCTCGGCAGTAATGGAGAAGCGTCCCGCATCCTCATCGAACACCTCCGGGATGTGTAATCTGTACTTGCTTGACTCCATGGAGATTTGGTAATCACGGGAAACAACAGGTTCCCCATTGAAGTACCATGTGACCTGGAGACACATAAAAAGATTTGCTGTACAATTTCATATAGATTTATATCTGAATACCAACACTACATTTATAATATCACCCTTATCATGCCCTTTTAAGTCCAGGTTAATAATTGTGACATTGTTTAATGTAAACATGACTTTCAAGCGGTTTTATTTTTTCGGTGTTTTCAGGAATAGACAAAAAAAACCAACATAAAATTAATGAAGAAAACAGAGTTTCTTGACTGAGTGAAAAATATCAGTTTGAATCAGGCTTTTTTGCTAAATCTACACAAATTAAAACATCAATGACGACACAATTCAATTAAACCATGCTCACTTCTCTATTTCTTTGGTGTAGCCATGCCCCTTTCCCAGTCAATTGCCTTGATTTCACCCTGCCCTTCAACCATGTTTACCTTACTTCAGCTATGTCTCCTTACCCTAATTCCCTTAAATAAACCATGCCCCCTTGTATATTACCTCGATTTAGGCACACCCTCTTCCTGAGAAATTTCTTTGATTTAACCACGCCCCCGAGCTTTGGTGAAACTCCCTTTGTTTCTCATCTTTTACACTTACATTTGAAAACACACACCTGATGTGATTTCCTTACCTTTGGTTTAGGACTGCCAGTAATTACGCATTCAAATGTGACGTTGTCCCCGGCATTGACAGTCATGTCTTGGAAGAGTTTCTGGAACTCTGGCGGTGATTGTTCCAAACCATCCTCACGTTTGACGATCATGTTGGACTCCTTTGTTTCCACCACGCGTCGGATACGCATCACCTCAGCCTCCTGGATTGGCTGAGTTGGAGCCTTCACCGACAGCTTGGCGTAACATTTTGCCTCACCAGCAAGGTTCGTAGCACGAACCATGTAGTTTCCAGTATCTTCCTCAAATGTCTCGGGAATCGTCAGATTGTGAACGTCAGCAAAGGCAGTAACCTTAAAAACATTATAGTATTACATTATCAACACACTTTCACAAGACACAGAAATTCTATGAGTCACACAATCAGTGTTCATATCGTGAGTAGCTGATATCAGTAAACCAGAAACCTTATACCAGGATCTACCGGAAAGTCGCCCAGGGCGGTTAAATGAAAAATCATGAAAATTTTAACAAAAAAAAGGGACAAAATAAGCACTAAGGGCCGATATGGTTGGTTGAGTATTCTTTGATTTTGTGGACTGATCATAAACCTTTGGCGTGTCAACATGCAAAGTATACCACAGGATCAGATATTCAATGTGATTAGTTATAATCACCTGATAATCAGGACTGTTTTCAATGAGTTTGTTGTCCTTGTACCACTGGATGTCTGGGACGGGATGACCTGTCACCCGACATTGCAGACACACACGGTGACCAATTGGGATCGACAAGTCACGCAACAATTGCGTGAACTTCGGGGCAGCAACTTCTCCACATGAGGCGTCGCTCAACTCACTTAATGCTGAAACCAACAACATCAAATACTGTACAGCATATATGCACATCATGTTAATTTTCAAGGCTCGTCTTCATTTATTTAACACTGTAAATCATCATTCATGCTCAAATAGCAATTAATAATTCAGGATTCATGCATGAATGTTCAGGTTACTTTTGTGATAGTTTGGTAAAAACACCTTGCCATTTTGATTACTTTCCTACCTGCTAATATCTATCCAAAAAAAATTATAATAAATATGTAATTCGAAATAAAATGCACTTTCTCAGATTTTTAATATTCTTTTCCTTTTTTTCCCCTCAACGTAAATAGAATTATTTAACCCTGAAGTTTAACTTACGTTCTACATGGAGTTTACAGACGCTCTCAGCCTCGCCTTGCTGGTTACGTGCCAAACAGCGATATAGACCGCTGTCCTCTAGATAAGCCTCACGGATACTCAGTGTACATCGGTCACCCTCGAACAGCAGCTGGATATCCTTAGACTCTTTCACTGGTTTGTCTTTTCGAAACCAGATCACCTAGGCAACAAAACAGGGAGATAACTAACATCTGATTTCAAAACAAACACAAAAAAATCTAAGTGATTATCACCTGTAGCAGAAAACTTTATACATTTATTCAGAGAAATTATGTATATCAAAAGAACACTAAATCAATAGCATTTTGTTAAATTTTCATATAGATTTAACATACAAGTTGTATTCTAAGTATTCTATACTTGTTTCAGGTAACAGCATGTTTTCAAAGTAAGATTTAGATGCATACCTCTGGTTCCGGGTGACCGGTTATCACACAGTCTAATCGAACACGACTTCCTTCCATGACCTCACGTGCTGGGGCCAGGGGCTGCATGAAACTTGGTTTCTGGGGCTCTGCTTCCAATGATGCAATAGACATCTCCTCACTGAGACAATAAAGACAAAACATCACTCAATTTTAATTGGTCAAACATGTATATTGTGTTACAAGACTATCAAAAAAAGTATTTTATAAACTTAATAAATTCCTGCAAACTCGATCGATATGTTCCTTTATGTACATTTCTTTCTCCTTGTCCCAGGAAAAACGTTTTCTGTATTTTTACGATCTGTTATATTTTATTTTCTTGTCACATATTTTTTCAGACTTTTTAATCAACTGATCATTCCTCTTTAGCAGACAGCTCCATTCTCAAAGTGATTATGTTGCACAAGATGTCAGTACTTACGCTGCACTAGAGTAGAAGTTTTCTACGTTGACCTGACAAGTTCTGTGAGTCTCGCCAGCTGTGTTCTGAAGCGTGACCTTATAGGTCCCAGAATCCTCAGTATATGCTTCAGTGATTTCTAATACTGATCTGTTTAGCTCTATGGTGATCTGTGAAAAGCCAATACATCTTATTTCATATAAAACATTTTTGTACAAAAACAAAATGAGAATGAAAAGACTTCTTTGCATGAAATACGTTTGGAAAGTTATCAGATCAGCTAATTCAAAATTATCTACTCAAGTGCTTCATCGTAGAAACATACCGCCGAAATATCTTGCCTCTAGACCTTTTAGTTCATGGGAAGAAGCCGTTTAAAGGTTTTAACAAATCTGACCCCTGTGACCTTGAATATAGGTTAAGGTCATTTCTTTTCGCAAACTTTCATAGCATTTGGTCCATATATTATTGAGAAGAAGTTGTTTAAAGGATAAAGTTGACACTGGATGATGGGCACTGTGCAACAGCATAAAAAGATTAATACAAATCAAAACAAATCAAATAGTTTCTCTATATAACCGAGAAACTTCTCAAAATAATGAAAACAAAGAATGAAATCTCAAGCCAACCTTCTTCAACTTGCTAATTCACATTGAACTGTACAAACCTTATACACAGAGCTTGGTGAGATGCGATCATCATTTCGATACCATGTGACCTCTGGGGTCGGTGAGCCTGAGAAGATAATTTCCAGTTTGACGCTTTTGCCCTCAGGGATGTTGACGTCTTCCGACATACTGTGAATAACTGGTTTCTCAAGAGCTGTGAAAAGGTAATAAACATTTACTGACTATTTCTCTTTAACACTCGCTTTTACTTTCAGCATTTAATTTTGTATTGATTATTTGTTTTGTATTAAAACATGAAACCTTTAGATGTTGGGTTTTAATTCTGGAATTCATAAACCTCTATATTTTGAAGCCATTGCTTTCAAAAATTGTAAACTGAATTTTATAAGATTTCGAAAATAAATGATATACTTGAAAAAAAAATTCTCATCATGGGTTTTGGAAAAAAAACTGTGGAAAAATTTACATCCAGTATGATTTAATGTCACAATAAAAACTAAAAATAGAACATTCTGAATATTTCTGGAATCAACAGATTGTACATGCTAACAGGAACAGCAATTTGTGACCTGGTCACTGTTTAGGCTTAAACATAATAGACCAGCCTTGATAGAGCAGGGCATTCACAGGTCTGTTAGCTGATTACAGAGACACTGGGAGGTTATATAGTAAAGGCATTAGGTACAGAGAGGCAAGGGAGACAACTCAGACAGCAGGATAACAAACAGAAACAGAAAAGAAAATGGATTTTTTTTTTTGTTGATTTTAAAAAGAGTTGGAGACATGCCTATATTGAAAAAATAAACAAAATGGATTTTCAAAATGTCGATAGCGAATGAAAATAAGAGTAAACAATAATTAAGACTATAAAAAAAAATGGCATGCATGATTTTTATCAATTTGAAAACATAGACTGTAATAAAGTAGCATCTGTTGCTGTTGAAAAACTACAAGAAACAGATGAAACCATGCTTTTCCCAGTTCTGATTTATACAGGCTACATGGAAAGACAGCTGATCCAACCAGACTGACAAACCAAAATGGCAGCCTACAATGAATCATGCCGTAAATGTAAACTGCTGGTAACAAACATGCCAATTCAAACAACACGAGGGATGACAAGAAAAGGAAAAGATGAACAAAAAGGTTGCATATCAACCATGCCAGAATCAGAAAGAGGCTTACGGATGACAGTGAGGCGGGCTGATGAAGAAGCCTCGCCGCCTGGGTTGTTGGCCTGACATGTGTAACGGGCATTATGACTGCGAAGCACTTTACGCATCTTGAGACAACATGTGCCGTTGATTTTAGTAATGACATACTCAGGAGAGCTGTCAATGTTAATATCATCTTTGTACCACGAAATCGTGGGGGACGGGATTCCCGTCACATGACATTCGAAAGCAAAAGAACCGCTTTCTAACACATCCACTGACTTCAGGTTACGAGTGAAGTCAGGGGGGATTATCTGTTGGTGTGTTTCTGAAAGAGTATTACAACCGCTGCATCAGAAATAATGTTAAAAGAGGAAAAAATGACAGAACAACAGAAAGAACATATAAAGACTGACGTTCGAATTCCGAACAAAAAAGTATCCGAAAGTAAACTAAGGCTTAAAAAAATAGTTAAGTAGATATATGGATGAATATTCCCATTCAAATTTGTCATATTTTCAACAAAATAAATTAAATACTGAAATGATGGAGCATTAAAATGCATCTTTACTACCAAGAGGCCATATTTAAAATAATGCACAAATGTAAAAAAATTACGTAGTTCATAAAACCATACAACAAAAAAAGATAATGCCTAATTGTAAAATGGAATCAGTTCTGGACGGAATTTTTGTAAAAATTTTCTTCTTTCATCGTATTTTTTCATTTTTCAGTGTTTGTTTTTTGTAATTACATGGTAAGGAGGATCTGTAGGTTGGGCAATAGGAGGAATGGACAGAGCAGACTGTCAAAAAGGGAGCTAACTCTGTGATCAACCTTACCTCTAACATGTAAATATGATGAACTTTCGGCAACTCCGACTTCGTTAGTAAAACGACAGGTGTATCGGGCTGTGTCCTCAGAGAATGTTTCCTCAATGGTCAAGGTCGCACACCCAAGATTAAACTTGGTCTCATAGTCAGGGCTGTTAAGGGGCAGGTTGTCCTTGTACCATGTGACCTCTGGTGGGAGTTCACTTTGTACTTGACATTCCAATGTGACCCTACAAAAGAAGTGAAGATTAATTATTTTTTCTGGTTGCCATGGTATTATAAATTACACCTCAAAATGACATCATGCTGATTAAGATCGTGATTATTGTTACAATAGAAATGATATCTTACTTTTCACCCTCCATCACTTCTGCGTCCCTGAGATGCAGCGTGATTTTCGGTGGTTGCTTGGCAACAGCAGCAGATGCTGTCACGGTAACCTCCATGGGAACAACATCCTCTTGGACTGGTGGCGCCATCTGAATGTAATAATAATTGGTTAGCTATAACTCCCAACACTTCCATGGACAACTGCACCATTTATGAGATAACGGATATAGTTAGTAAATTATGTCGATTTTGAGAAAATCCATCAGACGATGACGTTTGGCTCAAGATTAAATCTTTTAACTATAATACTACAAGCCCTTCTAGTTACTAACCTGGTTGGTAAGGAAATGCATTAGCAATGTTAGTAGATATTACACCAAGCCAAGTGACTTTTAGCCAGGAAAAACTTATCAAATTCAAAAGAATAAAAGTTAGGAGAGTTAGAAAAGCTTAAAAATGGAAATCTCCTTGGAAAAGACATTGAGGTATTGTTGGAGGGTTTCTTATTTTCAATGGTTCAAATTTCTGCTGTTTTTATGAAAAGCTTAAAGCAAAATGACGCATTTTCCTAGACATCATGTTATTAACATAGTTTCTAAATGGCAAGTTATTCTCAAAAATGGCAAAACTCCTACGAACAATTCTAGATTGTGAACCATCTCAACCTGTCTATTTACATCTGTATGACACTTCCATGGCTGGAGTTCACAAACTGAACACACTTGCAAAAATTCCGCACATCTATGTATTACACGCCATACAAGGAACTGACCTGTGCCTGTACCAGAGTTTGGTGTATTTTGGCGATCTCGGCATCCATCTGTTGGGCAGACGTCATCAGATCCTGGTTACTGACAAAGAGGTGATGAACCTTGGTTGGTCCTTCATTACCGTACAGCTCTACAGCTAGCTCTGATATGTGTTTCAGCCGGTCTTCCTGTCGAGGTTTACCCGTCTCCATGAAAGAGTTGAGCGAGCGTGCGAGAGTTTCCGCATCCTCTGGATTACGGCACTCCGGCGTACGCCGACTGATGTTGATCAGAAGGGTGTTTCCCTCCCGAATCCATTGCTCTGACTGAAAACGTAAGATAAACTTATGGATAACTAGCATAATAATGTGTTCACAATTCTTACATATTTATCAAAACACCAAACATTTTATAGAAAATACTGTGACCTTCTTTAAAAATATCTATTTGGTAGTCCTTTAGCATATACATAAAAACTGACTTAGAGTTTGAAATATGCTGACATGTTGGTATCTTGTTGTTTCCGTCAACTTGGGTTTTTAGTATAGTATAACAGTAACAGAGCTAGCCATCATTTCTATCGCAGAAATCAAAGATATCGATAAATGTTATGTGATAATTTTAATGGATGTTATAAGGTAAGCAGGGCCGATACATTTGATCCTAAATGAGTTTACCTCTTCTATAAGGGTGAAGTATGTGATGGAAACATCGAGTAACATGCGGTAGTTGCCAACACTCGTATGGAATGTGCTCCATTTCGTCTTCAGAAGATCAATTTCGCGTCCTATATGGATCGCGTCATAATGTTGGTCCTGTACCATCACCTGTGCAGTGCTGGTGAACATATCGATCTTCTTCTCTATCAACTGATGGATCAAACAAACAACATATCAGTGAATCAAACAAAACATAAGCCAGTTTATACTGTGAGCAGTGATAGCACCAACAATCCAGTTAAGGCGACAATTTCGCTTAAAATAACATACTATCCTCTATTTTATTAAATATAAATATTGTTTTTATGGATTCCATACCTGAACAGTCATTTCAAACTGTTTGAAGGCCTGTGATGTCATACGGGCAGCTGGTAGTGAGTTACCATAGCTACCGCGCCGGGCCTGGAGATGATGGTGGAGGTCATCAATCTCGGAGTGGATCTGGAATACAAGATATTAGAAATGAGGAAATGACAAAAATGCAACCAAGGTAATTTATGCCTGAAATTGCCATAAACTTAAATAGAAATAATTCCCTATAGTAATGTTACTATCAATTTGGGCCAGGACTTGACGAGATAGGACCTTCTATGAAGAGGGCAAAAATAAAAAAAATGAAAATTTAAAAAAAAAGGTCTTGAAAATGTAATAAAGAAATTGCCTAAATTTCTGAATAAAGTATGCATCACCATATGGTCACCATTATAAGACAAATGTCAGAAATAAATGCAAAAACAGTCGAGAAGTGATCTAACCTGTCTGAGATCATAGTTAAATTGACAGATCTGGAGGTTCTGCTTGAGTCGTTTCTCTTGTTCCTCCCATGCTTGGTTCCACCTCTGCTTGTACTCGGCGGTCACCATGAGGACACGCTCCACATCCTCCTGTGCTGCTGCCTCAGCATCCTGCAAAAGGTCAACATTATAGGGTTAATGGTCATAAAATTACATGACAACAATATCTGACCATTAAATTTTCACTGTGATTTTTTTTAAGCCTTTCTGAAAATCAGCATTAAAATACACATCACTGAAACTTTTCATCCACTGTAAAAGGTATTAACATATTTACCGTTTGTCGTACACGGACGACAATTTTCTCTCCCTCGCCTGAGGTGAAGTTTATGAGTGAGGAGACTTCTTTCTGTTTACGTTTGTGCTCCTCCAACAAACTCTCGGCAAGCGAAAGGTCAGATGGCAGTTCTGACTGAGTGTATTCCTTCTCTGTCTTCTCAATTAACTTGTCCAACTGAAAACACAGTTAACTCCTCATCAAATTAAAATCAAACTCATAAATGCATATTGATTTCAAATAACACATTGCGAAGTACATCATCTTTCACAGCTTCCCTCACATTCTCACTTTTATTTAGCAAATTTCACATATGGAAGTTTCAGTTTGAGATATGTATCAATTTCTAATTATTCAAGCAAAGAGAGATTTGAAGTAATTATTTATGAAATATTATATTAATGTTTGATAATTTAAACACTGATCTATTTATCCTGACAACTGAATTTTAATGTTCAGGCCAGCTACTGTCAATCAATTCATTAACAAGAAATGAGCGAAGATCTTGCCCTTCATTACTGAGCCAGACAGAGAGAATATCATTTCAGTTCTAACTGACTATTATAAATCTGCAGTCCAACGTTAACTTCAGATATATGAAACCATTCTGCGTGACTATATCCGAATAATGATACATACCTGGTCCAAGTTACGGAAGAACTGAATGGTCATCTTAATGAGTATGCGATACTCATGTATGCGCGCCTGGAAGCGCTGCCGAACCTTGACAAGCTCGTTGACAATCATGTCTTTTTGTCCTTTGGTATCTCCCTTCATTTCCATAAGCTCAGCGGTACTAAGATGCTTGTCAAGTTCTTCAATAGCACTCTGTAATCATGTCAACATGAGGTCACAACTGGGGTCGCAATTGGGGGTCACAACAGGGGTAACAACTGATGTCTATATAAATTTCAGTCACATAAAAATAGAACAATGTTCCTTACCTGATTTTGCTTTCCAAAAATTGCCTCAAGATAAAAACCTTGAACTTTTTAATTGGATTTATATTTATTCCTTTGAAACGTTTTCATTAGCTTTGTAATATTTGATGTATCTACGACATAATTTCATCTCATTTTATTAAAGCTTTTAAACAATTTAGAACAAAAATCACCCAAACATTTAGCAGACATTAACAAATAAAACATCTGGCTGATGACGTTTTTCAAAATACCAAAACCTTTTTCTTAAGTTTTAGATTTTAAAAATAATATGAAAAGAACTTAAGGAAAAAACACTCGTAATTCAATGAACATACCTGTTGGTTTTGAATCAGAATAGAACTTTTCCGTGAAATAAATATTCACAAAGAAAGATCAAGTATATAATTAATAAGAATAGGAAACAGGTTTTAAGACGATCACTACAAAAAGTCTTGTCTAAGTTTACAGCCAGACAATTTTATTCAAACTGATATAAATATCTATACATTACACACAAAACATCCACAATTACATGTAAGATATATATATACATAGAAAAATTTAGAAAAGTTTATCAAAAGGAGATGAGGAGGGAATTCAAAAGGAAGATATGATTTTCCAATGGCAGAAATGCAGTTTGACAATTCAAAGGATAGAGGGTGAAAAACAACAAAGAAAAGTGTACTTCCATTCCAGATCAGAACCTGGGAGATGGGGTAGAAATGTGGGAAAGACTTGAAGATTACAACACCTACACACCACAACAACTTATCAAGAGGTACAGACTCAATAAAGAAATGTCAAATAGTACAGCGAGGTAAATGAGTACAAAAAGGTCATGCAGATTTTGGGGTATAATCCTCGTATCCTCACAATAATCAGTAGGGGAGTTTTTACTCACCAAAATGGATAGGAAAGGAAAAGTTTTGATTTTATCAAATAAATGCAGCTTTACACTGCAGATAATCTAATATTGATGTTTCCTCAAAATATCTGAGACACCAATTTCTAACCAAGTCATCTTTGGAAACTAAAATTGGGCATCTAGGGAAAATAGCAGGAAAACTCATAAACTAAAACACAAAAATAAAAACAAAGTAAATAAAAGAAAAAGTTTCAAAATTCAAGTCAGATATCAAAAACTGACCATTCAGGATCAGGTGAAAATGTTTTTTTTTTCATTTTCCATTTTTGAATTTTCAGAAAATGATGTTCTGTCATCCCAAAATTGCAGCAATTACCTTAAATGCTGGTGTAAAATCATCAATTTTTTTCTGCAAATCTTCAGCCGATGTTGTAGAGTTACCTAGGTAACCGGCTATATTTGGGAAGAAGAATTCGTTCTCGGTCGTCATGACCCGATCTATGGTCTACAATGTGAGGACAAGAGATAACAGGTGTTAAACTGACCAACCAATCAAACAACACTAACAATTTTCCTGCAATACCAGCTTTGGGGGCCACCAAGAGGCACAATAGATTTGTCTAGTGATTGAAGCATCCAATATATTTTTCACCCTTGTTACAGGACCTCAATTCACAGCTCTCAGAATATTGGGATGGGTTTTTTTTTTTTTCAAATGTGAAAAATTTTGAATATCAAATTTAACGGAAATTCTGGAAAATTGAAAAATTTAACGGAGAAAATAATTTTCTGTATAGATCTAAATCTTAATGAGTATACTAAAATCTGAATGTAGTTAAGGAGAGGACTATTTTCCAGGAAACATCTGTTGAAAGCGAAAGGCAAAATTAGTGAAGCCAATATTGTATACAAATCACAGACATTTCAGGCACACAAAAAGCAATACTGACGGAGACTTATTACAAAGTCCACAGTCAGCTCTGATACAACAGGAAAACCGTCACCCAACTATAGATATACACATTAGGTACCTCGAATGTAGGGGTAAACTCATCGAGTCTGTGCTGGAATTCATTGGCCGTCTCTATGGATGTACCCAAGTCCCCGCCAATTACGGGGAAAAAGTCGTTCTCAATTTTCAAAACCCAATCTATTGTCTGAAAAATATAACAATCTCCTATAAATTTCATTTTCACTGCCATATTTTTTCAGTCTTTGCACTGCTGGCAAAAAGCTGGCAGATTTCAACAAAGGAATCAAACAGAGTGACTTTATATAAATAATTGCATTTTAGTTTAAAGCAGCTATGTTAAAATCTATTATCTATTAATCCTAAAAGTCAAAATTTGCTATGAAATTTGTCACCAAACACAGGTATTAGTATAAAAGCAAGTTTTAAAGTCTCTACAACACCCATGTTATTTTTGTTAAGCAAAATGGAGAACAACTTTTTCGCCGTTATCATTTTCTTGTGAGAAAGCAAAGTTGGGAGTTCCTTCTTGACTGCAATTTACTAACAAAATCTAATTAAGTCATCCTTCTTATGTCAATATAATTCTGAAAAGTTGAAAAATCAGTTCAATATATCTTGCTAAAACCATCCATACATTAGACATGCAAAAAGGTGTTCTCTTATATCAAGTATATATATTGAACAACATACTGCAAATCTGTTATTTTAGTGAACATCTTATTTTCAACTGTTAATCTACTGTCTTACCATGGAAGTATGTTCATGACAGTAAAAACCATTAAAATTTTAGCTAAACTTATCAAATTGTAGCCTGTTGGTCAAATACTCAAAAGCTTAATAAGCTGTTGCAACACTTTTGAAAATTTACTAAAAATTATCCAAACATTTTGAAAATCAATTACAACATTAAGACATAAAAACTTTTCTTTTCAAACTTAAACTAAATGAAAATACTGAGACAGCTGGTTATTGAAGTTTGAAGATTTTGAATTTCCTTTCCAGTGAAACAAAATTAACCATATGTTGGTATAGTATGACATAGTCAACAGCTTATTCATGTATAGGATTTTAGAAACTAATTCTTGTTAATTATCTATGTTAAACTATTACAAAAGTTTTTTAATCATGATTTTTACATAAAAAAGCAATAAAAGAGAAGACTTTTCCACTGAAATAAAAACGATGTTACCATATTTATCCTACAATAGACCCAACAAGCCAACACATCACAGGCACCATTTTTTTAAAAGTTCAAACTTCAGCAGTTTTATTACATCAATATAAATGGTTGGCTGATTACCAGGCATGGGCTTATTACCGGGCATGGGCTTATTACCGGGCATGGGCTTATTGCCAGACAGATACAGTAAATTAAACAAAAGTTACTGTAACATAACTACAACCATTACCTACAGGTTAGACATGTACAATGTTAAACTTCAGCTATCATACGGCTGTTCATTATCTATGTAACAGTATATTCAATTTCAATTTTTTTACAAAGTGTCGTAAATTTGAAACCATACTGACAATGTATCCCATCATACCTTGCGGGCATCCTGGACGAACTGATGCCACTGTGATTTGAACTGACGACTGGTGGATACCTTCTGTTGCCATGACTCCCACACCGTCTTTATGTAGTTCATACGTTCACTGTATTCAGCGACTATCTTCTCCACAGTGAGGACAGACTCCTTTACGTTCAGCGTTGAGTCATCTGTAACCTGTAATTTTTTATAAGAAATTAGGTGACGAAGCATGCAGCTTTTAAACTTCAACTACAGGCAAAAGTTATTAGAAACCTATACTCCTTATATAAATAATGTTTATACATGTTTATGGAAATCAATCATTATCTTATTTATTTTTTTAACAGGTTGGATGTTTGCTATTACAGCCCTTCAGCATATATGTTGTTAGGAGATGTACAGAAGCCTGTACTTGAGAGACTGGGCTGCAGTATCTGTCAAAACACCCTTCACTGTGTGCTTGATAAGATTTATATAACAAGTATTCAATAAAATGTTCTATTTTTACCTTAATGTAATAATTTATAACAAGAGGCCCATGGGCCTTAACGGTCATCTGACATAAAATTTTGAACTTGAGAAGAAGTTAAAAATGTGTTTTCAAGATGGCAGCCATTTTGGATTTCGGACCAACCCGAAATTAACAAACTTTAGTCAGGATCATGTCACGATCATTTCAGGTAAGTTTCAGCTCAATGAGACATGTAGAACTTAAGAAATTGAAAATGTTTACGACTGACGACATACGACGTACGACGCCGGACAAAAGGCGATCACAATAGGTCATCAGACCCTTCGGTCAGATGACCTAAAAATGCTTTACTGTGAAGAATTCTGAAAATATCTTAATGTGGAATTATTCTAGAAATGTCTTAACATTTAAGAAGTCTGGAAAGTGTCCTAATTCTTGAACTATTTGATTTGTGTCTAATAATTCTGAAAATGTTGTAGAATTATGTCTTACTGTAGAAGAATTCTGGAAGAATAATTTTCCTTTGTCTTGCACTTCATTGTACAGTTGGCTGAGCTTTGTGTACATTTCCTCTGTATGGCGCATAGCTTGGTCGGTGAGATCGTGCAAATTCTCAGTCTCCGACGTCAGAATGTGTTCTAGCCCACTCATGCTAGTAGTTAGCTGTAACAAGTCAAACAAAGATGATATCATTATATGTCCTCATGTTTCTATAGATAATCTATATGTATAAGCTGAACAACATATTATCATGTAGTCTTTCAGTTAGCATTCAATAGCAATTATTTCATCACCGTAATTATTATGTTACCGACAAAAAAAAAACACATACTTATGTGTACAATTTCATTGATTAAATTTGTCGGTTCTAGTACCTATATTTAAGCCAAGATATTTTGGTTTTACAAACACGTGCAAGTGCAAACACAAACATGAATGGACCTTATGTATTTATATCAGAACTCCATGAAAGAAAAAACTTGAAAAAAAATTTTGAGTTTATTGTAAATAATGAAAGAATGAAAAATTGTCTTGTCAAGAGAAACATCTTGGATTTGAAATTTCTGGTTAAACAAAAGTTTCCTTGATAAGAAAAGCAGAGTTAAAAGTCCAGAATTCTGTTGCTGTTTAATCTAGTCATTACATAATTAATCTCTTCTATTAGTAAAACACTGGTTACTTTCAATACTTAAAATTTTCTTAATTACTAAAAATAAGAAGCAAAAAGGTTTTATTTTCCTGAAATCATGCAGCTGACTTGTATGTGTTCACTTTTTTTTCTCAAGTTTATTCAATCCTCAACAACGGTGAAAAAATGAACACCCAGAAAATAACAATCCAAAAAAGATGATTTGCTCACCTGTTGCACAAGCTTGTGGAATGACAGGTAGACAAGGGACAGCTGAATGCGGACCTCAACAATACGATGCAGCTTCTGCATCTGTTTGTGTAGCGTGTCAACCTTCCCTGCAGCGGTCTGAGCTTCCTGGTCCCCTGACTTGACCAAGTTTACTCCCGCCTCAAACAAGGCTTCCAACTCCGCATTCTTGTCCTGTAACCACAACAACAGCACATTTTCACTGTTGAGAAATTTTTACTGATCAAAAGAAATTAACCATATTTTACAACTTTTTATTACATATGTCTTGAAATTATATCAGTATGTAGACAAATTTTATTTCATTTTCCACCTAAAATGTCTATCTTCACAATATATATCTTTTCTTCGGTACATTGAAAACAAGATAGTATATCTACAAAAGAGGAACTATTTTTCTGACATTTTTTATACGTCATGAATTTGGTCCAATTAAAAATCACCAGAAATTTTCTTTTAAAGGTACCTTGATTTATAAGAAATCTTTGTTACTGGGACTTACCCTTAAGTCTTGTTCTAGTTGTTCATGAATTTCTAAGAAGTCCTCCGCTGTTTCAAGGCGAGTTCCCATGTCCGCATGCTGGCTAAGGGTGGCCTGGCCAATTGATGTCAGCCATGTTTGTAGCTGTTTCAACAAAAGAAATTCAATAAGCGAAACCCTTGTCTTGTCAATAATCAGTCAGAGCAACAAAGAAATTGAGGGTAAAAACAACTCTGCTTCAGTTTATCAGACATATGTTCTGAGCCATAGCAGCAGAAACTTGTGTATAAACATTCCATCTATTAATATCAGCAAAGTTTTAAGGCAGAGCAAAAACATTTCAATTTGCAAAAAAAATATATATATATCGCCATTAAATTCAGCAATCATGAATTCAATTTGTAAAAGTTTTAATTTCCCTACTTGTAAAAATAGTATATTCTCTCAAATAGATTTAATATAGACTAAAAAGTTGATCTCTATCTGTTGTGGAAATATCGGGTACAAGTTTCACTGTTGTTTCTTAATTCCAGAATTCTTTAAATTAATATTGCCATAGGAAAGAAAGCCTTAAAGATTTGAAGGAAAATTCAATTAACAATTTTTTTTTCTTTCACTCAAATAATCCAAAGCAATCTTTAAGGAACAATCAGAAAATGGCTACCAGATGGAAAGATAAACTAACCAGAAGATGCAGCAAGGAAGTGGAAAAAACAATTCAAACTAAATGAAGTTGATGAGTTTTATATCAAACTTACGCTGTTGAAGTGTTCCTGGAATTGCAGGTAGGCCTGGCTTCTCTCCCAAGCCTCTGCCCGTCGCGCCTTGCACAGGGACTCCAAACTAGCACAGCGATCTTGCAACAGAGTCATCTGTCAAAACAAAATGTTATCTTAGAAAGTTGTACCTCAATAAAAATTCAGTAAATGAAAAAAAATGTATATTCAGCAACAAGCCCAGGGGGCCTAGCTATCACCTCTGACACCCTGGGAGGCCCGCTTTCACCTCTGACACCCCAGGAGGCCTAGCTATCACCTCTGATACCCCATGAGGCCTAGCTATCACCTCTGACACCCTGGGAGGCCCGCTATCACCTCTGACACCCCAGGAGGCCTAGCTATCACCCCTGACACCCCAGGAGGCCTAGCTATCACCCCTGACACCCCAGGAGGCCTAGCTATCATCCCTGACACCCCAGGTGACCTAGCTATCACCCCTGACACAAAGAAGTTGGATAGCTGCAATCAAATAACCTTTGCAGGTAATTCAACTGAAGAGGAATCAATATCAACGGGCTAAATACTAGGTATTGTCTTAATACCAGAACAATACCATTTAATAATTATTATGACATGGAAGAATTTTTATCAACAAGCAAGAAACAGCCACATCAGAAATCTTTATCACTCCTAAACAGCTAGACAAGGATACTTACCCTGCGTCTGACGCCATCAGCTCCGGGGTCCTCCCTACTGACCCTCTCCAGTAGGATGCGCCCCTCTCGTAGAGCCTGGGTGGAAGCTTCCACGATGGCGTTAGACAACTGAGCATGCCTGTCTGCAAGCGCTGTACTATTCCTCGGTAAGTCCATGCTGTTTAATTGGACTTCAACCTGTTCCAATTTTGTTAGAGCCTGTGACAAAAGAGATGATCATTACTAGTAAAAGCCTCATGGTTAAGAATGCATTCTGTGTTAATGTTATCTTTTTAATGCTATTTCCTTTCCTGAAAACATACAGATCATTTATCACATTTTAACACCTCTATTTAACAGGTTTTACATCCACTATCACAGCCAGTCGGCCTTTTAGTAGACAGGACTTTGACACAAAGCAGTAAGGATACAAACTTTGTTATATGAAACCTGTTTTTCGACTGAAGTATTCAATAAGACATAAGTGTAATAATCATATAGGGTAGCTTTAAGCAGGTAGTTTTCATTATATTCTGAAGAATATGAGAAAAATATACTTTACACTCTCATGGATGGCTTTACTGAATTCTTCCGATTATTTGTTTGGGCCCAGACTTCAATACATCATTTAATCGACATTAATCAAGAAAACATTTCAAGAATTTCATTTACCGTTTCTGCCTGGTCAAAGAATGACGCAGCCATCATGATGTTTTTACGTCTGGTGTCCAGTTTATTTCTAAAGTCTTCACATTCACGGTCGACGGTCTGGAGGCGTCGCCTCACGCCCTCAGCGTCCATGTTGGCACGGCGCAAGAGCTGGTCGGCGTCACGCACCAGTCGCACAACCGTCTGTTGTATGTGCTGTAATGAGACACAGAGACATGATATTCTTGGTGAAATCAGTGCTTTGTTTTTCTATATCCTTTATATAAACCAGCTAATCATATTTATTATTCCGCAAACCCAGGAAACCATCGGACGTAACTTATCAGTCCAAGACAGGTGGTGAACTTATTTCAGAGCGATGAAAACCGTGTTACATTTTGGTAGGTTTATTATCAGACATGAGGTTATCGCTGAATAAATATTGTAAATAAAGACCGATTCATTAACAACATAAATCAAATATTGTGTCAGATAATTATTCTAATTTGCATGTCATGTTTTAATTCAGTCAAAGAGAGAAATGGTTCAGAATTATATACTTGTATTTGATGTTCTTTCGAACTTATCAGAAATATGAAAAGAATTTTGATTTTCCTCAGACGCTGGTAGATTAGAAAGTTTTGGTCTTTAGCATCACTGACAGTTCCTAGAAGAATGAAACAGCTGTTTGATGCAATTTCATTCATTGTTTGGCTCTCTTTCTAAATTTGTATTGAAACATGCTATTGACTGGTGTGTCATTTGTAGCATCTTTATAAAAACATCATGTGACTTACTTTTGCTTGAGTTTCAAATCTGTAATGGTCTTCTTGCAGAAGCTGGACTTGATGGAAAGAATCGCCCAGTTCACTCTTCTGCAGATACGTGGATCCAACGGTTCTGTACCAGTCCAGTACCTTTGGGTCAAGGTCAAAGAAAGGTTAAAGTATATACAGGTCAAGGTCATACAGAATTAACAGTCATTAAGGAACTTCTCTTTGGAACAAAAGTTAGGATTTAACTTTTCTACAGATATATGATATAAAACCATCTCATCTGTACGGGTACCATGAAGATTTATCTGTCTCTATGGTAACAGGATCATATCTTAAATTTTGATGCAACTAAAGTTAGATGTTCTTCTGACAGCATTATCTCCCCTTTCCGTACCTTATTGACTTCCATGTCCAGTTGACACAGCTGGAAGCACTGTTCCAGTCGGATCCGACGCTGTTCCCAGATGTCCTCAAGTCTTCGTCTTCGGTCTTGCAGTAGTTCTAGTAGATGTTCTATTCCATAGCACGCGGCGGTGGTAGCGTGTCTATTCTGTAAGTCCGCATGCATACCCATTTCTCGTATGCGTGTGAGTAGTATATGTCCTTGATTCAGTGTCGATTTTGATGCTTCCAATATTCCTGTATAAGGAAACCATTACCATATCACATACATTACTACAAAAAGTCAAATTAAACCAAATAGCAATGATCAATAAGTAATTTCTTCCAAACTGAAGGTTTTACAATATTTAATCAATTTTACAGAAAAGTTTTTTTCGATATCAAAGTCCTTACCGGTTTTGATTTCTTGGTGTTGTTGTAGCAGGTGGCGGGCGGTTTCAACGTCATGGGTTGGCACAGAGGTCGAAAATTTACCCTGTGCTTGCTCCATTTTTGACGAAAACTGAAAAACAGAAGAAAAATTGATAAAATATAAGATGAGGATATTTGCATGGAAAAAATGAGAAAACGGTAATAGTTGTAAAATATTTTTATACCATCTCAAGTAGAAATTCATAGAACCATACCTCGTGTGCACTTTTGTGGAATTCCACACTCTGCTCCAGAATGAGGCTACGAGCCTCGAGTTTTTTGTTGAGCTCTCTCCACGCCTCGCTGAGTGTGTCGGCCATGGCACTGTACACATCAGCCTGGGACGGGTTCTCAGTCACATATGAGTCAGCACTACACAGTATCTTCTTTACCTCGTCTTCCTTGGCCTTCAAAATCAACACAATAATTAAGAAACGTCTGAAAATGGTACATAGAGTCAAACCTGTCTATAAAAGTCATTTGGTGAACTTGAAGTCACACAATTCATTGTGACTAAACTATACAAAGACTTGTTTTATTTACTCCCTTTAGCAGCCTTCATAAAAGGTTTATAAATAGTGGGGAGATGGATGCATGGTTTCATCAATGGAAGAAAAATGAGAATACATAAAAATTTTTGATATTGTTACAAGTGAGAACAATGTGTAATGTTAAGTATATAAATATATTTGAACAGTAAGTTGCTGGTTTGAGATCAAGTGTACCATTCTAAAGGGAGACCACTCTGTTTTTACATATTAACATAAGTATACAATAAAGTAAACTTTAAGTATAAATAGTTTTTATTGTATAGTTGTGAGGAAGAAATGATAAATAATATATAATACATCTTGTTTCAAAGAGAAAATATTCACTTTATCTCGATAGAGGTATAAATAAAATATAATCTAAAGGAATTATCTCCCTTTCAAATACACTATACAAACAACTGTTATAGCAACTTAGTCTACATATATTCTTTCAGGTAAAATTATTTGAAATACAGTCCACCCTGTCATTTAGATCGCATATATATAAACTAGAATATGTCTGTTAGACATAAATGCACAAGCCACCAAGGCCATGACCTTCAACCCCAGAAACACAGCAATGTCCGAAGTATCCTTTGATACTTAATCCTTGATTAAATTCCATGAAATAATGAAGCTGCTAAGTGTTTAAATTCAAATCGGTCGATAATTTTCTATATATAGCAAGGGTAAGTATCCTTTGATACTTAATCCTTGATTAAATTCCATGAAATAATGAAGCTGCTAAGTGTTTAAATTCAAATCGGTCGATAATTTTCTATATATAGCAAGGGTGACGTTGGCTTTGACCTTTGGCCCTTGAAACAGAAAAATGTCTACTAACAATTAATCTTTTTATAAAATTTGACTAAAATCCATGAAAGAATAAAGTTTTTAAGTATTTAAATTGGGATAGAACACAACATGACAGGACATCATATATGGACAACATTTTACGCTCCCCACCCCCACCCCTTCCAATTTCATCGCAAGAGCATAAAAATTCTGTATAAAGGTCACTTATTTCAGTTCTCAATGTAATATAGATATATTTTGTACTCTGTATAATAATTCACAGATATCTAGTCCCTATATAAATTTCACCTGTTAATAAAAGCTGTTTTTTCTGCTAATGTGAGTGGCCTTTATAAACAGGTTTGACAATTTAATTATACAGATGTTGATGTAACACTGACCTTTAGGAACCGTACACAGTAGAGTTGATGATGATTGTCTAAACAGTATCACAGAATAAACTATTGGTTAATTATAAATTAATTTTATAACTTAAACAGTAACATAAACTGAAGTACAAAATGATTCATAGTACAGATTTCTCGATGGAATTTCATTTTTTTTTTTTTTATTTCTGTGATGTTATTGAGTAGATAAGACCATGCAGAATACATCACAAATACAGGGACTACTAGTCTCAATCCTTAACCTTCTCCTGTTTCAGTTGGCTGTCTTTAATCTCACTTCAAACTAGCTCTATCTCTATTCTATTTTTATTTCATCTCAGATTTTTGCGACTTTCTGAGATCATTTTTTTTTCAAACAAGCTGACTGGAGGCAGTTCCTTTGACAGAAATCTACAGCATTCCTGACTAAGGAAGTTTGCATCAGCAGAGTAGAATCAGATAAATATCCCATATCTGTGGACTGCGTCATGCTAAAAATAACCCTCCAGTATGCTATTTCTGATATATATAGAATCTCTGCCCTGGTGTTGTTGTATTGAATGGTTGCCAGGCAGCCAGGCCTGAAATCCAATCCTCTCTGTCTTATGACCTTATATAGAGAGTGAGGCATGCTGGGATTGGCTAAAGAGTTGTAGCAGTTACCATAGTGATGTGATACAACATCCTGTCTGTTATCTCACCACTGACTTATCTGTCAAGTAACTGCTAAGGAACATTAACTGTTTCTTCTGAGTTTAACACAAAAAACAAGCTATATTGAGGCCTATGTTACTGAAAATTCCTCTCTTTGTTTCAGAAACTCAAGATATCAGATGGTTAGGCATTTGATTTCTTCTTCTACATATGTACTAATTGATAAGAAATTCTTTTCCATTTTTCACTCAATCCTGATAAAAATTATAATATGATTATTATCTTCCAACAAGAAAATCAACTTTGTTGTAAATAGCACAATTTATAATCTATTAAAATTATGGAAGTCTTGTTTAGACAGGGATGAAATCAAAAGAGTCTTTAGGAAAAAAAAAGTATTTGACAACATAAAGTGTAAGTTTTTATCCTGCTCTAAGAAACAGTCCTATGTAAATGGGTTGATATATCGCTTGGTATAATTACTGGAGAGGTGCCTGTACAACTGCGTACTGTATAGAGCCTCGTCATGTGTGGGGGAGTATGGACACCTCAAGTTGGCTCACTCCCATCAAGTGATGTCTGCGTTATCAATACATGTGCATTGCGTGTACATTTTTGACACATGTTGTGAGTTTTGCGTAGCCTCTGTTATAACACAGAGTTGGTGTGTATTGCAGCTCAGAAATCCCCACATGTTGGTGTTACATAAAGAACACACTATGCACGACGTACAAAACTTCAGAGAGAACTAATTAAACACAAAGATTATAGATCATTATATTTAATGCCTAATTCTACAAGTCTGTATTCTATCATACAACAATAACATGATACATTTCAACAAATGCCTACCTCAGATTTTTTTTTCTCTACTAACAACTACAAAACAAATGTTTCTGTGTGATCTTCGTGTGATAAAAAACAATATTTTTAACTTGTGTTGCTTTCTGTCTTCCTTAACAATACATAAAAAAGAATCTGGTATGTTCTGTGCAGTTTTGGTAACTACATATCTCTCTAGTCTGAGCCTTAGGCAGTTTAATTACAGATTTCTACACTGCTCCCTCCTGTCTCACTATGGTAAGAGCAACAGCAACAGAGGCAGGTGGCAAGCTTGAGGAGAGGAAGAAATGGGGAGGAGGGGGCATTTAAAGATATCTACCAAGACTCTCATTAATGAATTACTTCTACATCAGCAGACGAGTGCATCAGGTTATCAACTAATGTCAATATAAACAACAGCTAATTTTTTCAGAAAAAATTCATTACATAATTATTGATACTAACAAGTGTCTCAGTACAAGTCTTTTCTCCACAACTTCCCGTTTCAAATTTTGTATACATAAGTGAATCAAATGAAAAGTATTTTTGTCAAGTACATAAAATTCTATTGACAACTTAACAAAAGCTCGGCCAGGAAAGGAATAAGATAAACCTAAATATTATTCTGAAACAGCTCAAAATTAAAAATTCTGTTATCAGACCCATGATAGCATAGACGCTAAATATTTGAGAACTCTAGCTAACAAGTATATGTACAGCCCTCTGTGAGCTATTCTAAACTTGAAACAACACCAGGAGCTTAATCAGTACATATTTATTAGCATCACAAAGATCTAACTTTATCGAAATAAACATCAAGATGCTAAAATATTTGAGAATTATTCAAAGTTTTAACATTCGTAATGTACCTTTGTATAGTTTTCAATGTAATCTACATCTATCTGAAATGAATTTGCCGTTAAGCTGTCGGCTGTAAATGTGTTTTTGTCAGCACTGATATCCAACTATAATTAAGTATATAGTGGTTACACCCATCACAGCTTTACAATAATAGGTTCTCTACAGATATTTTAATGATTCTTTCACTTGTATGAAATGAAAACCTTTTTTATACATTGTATCAAGAAAAGATAATTCTATGTAAAAAACAACATCCATCTATGATGTTGCTATTTATATGTAAACATATATATATAACAAGTAAATATTTCAAGGTTTTGAATGACTTTATGATACATTGAAAGGAAATTCAACAAAACATTGTTAATTTATCTATGGATATTGGTAAAATATCAAAATCAAGGATAATATATCTTCTTTTTTCTGGTATATGTAATATTCAACCTTGCCATGAATAAAGGGCAGACAACTCAATGCATTTCAGTAAAAATACAGGAAAAATTAGCAAGGAGATGTTGTTAATTGTTAAATACAACAATTTTATGTAACACAATTATATCAGAGCTGTATGTAGATAAAACACAAGCTTAAGATGGATACAATATTGACAGTAGAGAAAGGCGTTGAGTTATACAAGTCTATACTGCTACCTGTGTATGGTATTAATCACGAGCCTTTGGTAAGATGACTAGCCCATGATCTTTATTATTATATATAACAATATCCCTTATGTACACCAGGAGGAATTCAGTGGCTGGGGAAAAGATGGCAGACTGAAGGGAAGATATCCCCATCTGCTTGTAATTCTTCTGTAAGTATACAGCCAGTTAGCCACATACTTAGTGCTACCATCATTCCAATGTATACAAAGGACAGATAACTCTCAAACCTCCACTGATATCTAACTTAACCTTGTTCATCAGCACCTGATTGTGAAATCCTCTCATGTAATTGGTTTTAGTGGGATTTACTTTGATAGCCAGCAAAGTGATGTTTTAGAGATATATGTATAGATAGGAACATCTATATGTTGATGTCTATGTTAACTGATATCTACAGATAGGAACATCTATATGTTGATATCTGTGTTTACTGATATCTACAGATAGGAATGTTGATATCTGTGTTTACTGATATCTACAGATAGGAACATCTATATGTTGATATCTGTGTTTACTGATATCTACAGATAGGAACATCTATATGTTGATATCTGTGTTTACTGATATCAACAGATAGGAATGTTGATATCTGTGTTTACTGATATCTACAGATAGGGACATCTATATGTTGATATCTGTGTTTACTGATATCTACAGATAGGAACATCTATATGTTGATATCTGTGTTTACTGATATCTACAGATAGGAACAACTATATGTTGATATCTGTGTTTACTGATATCTACAGAGGATAAACAAACTTTTAAAATGATTTTCATATATAAACAAACTTTGACTAAAAGAACAATTGACATTCTTTTCACTGTAATTCTGTAAAATACATTTCCAGAAAATGTTATGGAGCTGTATATATTTCTAGAAAGTATCCTCACACTATCAAGCCACAGTAAAGATGAAATTTTTCTTAAGTCGCAAAAATGATCTTGTACATTGTAGACTTACCTGTGAGGACTAACTAGGAAGGCCTGGGTAGATATCAACAATATAGACCCACTAATCACAATCAAAGATCAGGAATAAATGTGATAATTTCCATGAGAATCCTCTGAATGCTTTTCCATATTCAAAATTTTTCCTAGGGAAATTTACCACTTAAACACAATATATTCACCTTTCAAAAGGACTCACTGATAGAAATTCCCATACTACCGGACAAGTTCTCCAACCTGACACCTTCGCTGGCCAAATTTGCTCTAATCAAGTCAAAACTTTTCCCAACCTGACCCAAGTTGGACCCCTACCCCTATTTTCATCCCCCACCCATGGGCTTGTAGATATCATGCATGTGTACTGAATATTTACAGATCCTAAACAAGATAAGGATGACACTCTCTGGAGGTTCCAGCCAAAACTTTGATGGAAGAGCTTTCTGTTATCTGACCTATCTAAACCCTATGGGATTTATCAGTGTCTAAAACCCATGGTGTATACTGTGTTCGTTTTAATTGTGATTGCTGTTCTGAGTAGAAACTACTTAACTGCTAAAGTTTAAAGAAATGTACCTAGCTAATTCACCAGGATGATTGAAATGATAGGGAAATTTATGTTTGTCTAAACAAATTTTACAGTAATGAAGCGTTATAATCTACATAATTCCTCTAATAAATTTATGTACTGTTAGAAAAGGTTTTTGAAGTAAAATTTAAAAAACATTCAAATACCAAACAGCAGGATATGTAATATTAGCAGAATCAATAAATCACATTACTTTGTATTTGGGCTTTGTTTGGTTTTTTTTTTTTTTTTCAATTTTTTATTTTTCTGTTGTAGATGACTATACTTGAGTATTTCATACACTAAAACAGTACATATTTGTTTACACTCTGACAGAGATAAGACCACGTCTGTGCCTATACTATCAGCAGGCCCGGTCTGAGAGAGAACAGCCCAGTGGCATATCTTTGATGCAGATAGTGATCTGATAACAGATAAAAACATATGTTATCCAACAATGTCATTTTGGATTCTTTTTAAAATTTTTATTAGATTTATAAAAATTCAAAAATAAGAATGACAAATTTTACATTTTTTTTTTAAATAATTGTTTCATGTTCTTCATATTAACATTAAAACACTGTTACTAGCATCAGGTTAAAAAAGTTATCCTGTCTTGTGTTTTGTATTTATCAAATTTCCCGGGAAATGATTTGTCCATGTTTATTCTGACTGACAATATCTTATCATTGTGTCAATCAAGATTAATGACAAGTCAAAAGTAAAAGTAATGTTTGAAATATGCTATCACTAAGTAAATCTTTTTTAAATCCGCATTTTCGGTTTAACATGCTCCCTCTAAAATCTCTCCTTACATTCTTTTAAAGACTTTGAGTTTGGTCTAATCATGACCCAGCCTCATCTTCAGTTTTGAGTTTGACCTAACCCTGTCGATCTGTCCTTAACCCAGCCTCACTTTGAGTTTGGAGTTTCATCTAACCTCACCCCAAGCCTCACCATGAGTTTGGAGATTGATCTAGCCCTAACTCAGCCTCATCTTGAGTTTGGAGTTTAATCACAGCCTCACAATGAATTTGGAGTTATGAATCTAACCGTAGCTAGCCTCACCTTGAGTTTGGCCAACATCTCGTTGTGTTCTCTCTGATACTGGAGTGCCTCCTCGAGTGTGGACCCTACGTCCATCAGGTCTGGTTCCATTTGGTGTACGCGCACTCTGATCCATTCTGCACCCTACAACATAAACGGTCATTCAAGGTCAACCTCTGTTACACACTTGAGTCAATTAAAACACGTCATGAGTTCAGTGCAATGTGGTCACAACTGCATACAAGTTCAAGACAACATAAATAGATACAATTTTAGATTAAAATAATAGATCAATCACAGTCACAGACGATGGAGCAAGCCAATTCAAGGTCACAAAATCGCACAACTTCAGAAAAGATCATTGAAACAGTAAACAGTTTTGTTAAGGATCATACTTGATCACTTCCAAACAAATTAAAAATCAAACAAACTTTCAGAGTTTTATTTTCTCTCTGAAATATGTTTATGATAAATCAAGAAAGGTCAAATAAAGGTCAAGGTCATACAATATAACTCATCTGAAATTTGACCCTTACAATACATAATGTTACATATGTTACATTATACATGCATATTTTACACTTAATGTTAGAACATTCATATAATCCCAAAATTCCGGGGTTTTTTTTATGAAGATTAGTCCAAGACGTACCAGATGTTATCCCCCCTCCCACCCCCCTCGAGCTTGGTATACCAGCAAGTTGTGCTGGGAAGTTGTAAACTGTCGAAGATGCTTACTTCTTCCTCTATCTATTTGTGGACTATCAGACTAGAAGCCAGAAGAGTTTATCTAGTAAATCACGGAAAGCGCTATTAACAGCTGGTATAAAGCCAGTCCACATGATTAAGGAGAGGGGAACATCATCTAAAGAGTGGAAGTACTTCAAAATGAGGAACCGGCACCAACTACTGAATTAAACGTCTGAATATAACTATATACAAAATAATACTGGGCAGCTGAAGAAAACTCTTTACTATAGATAGAGTATGAGGAAAAATAGTTCTGTAAAATGTATGGTACACTATGGCAGCATGTTCTGGTTTCTGTTGGAGGAGATTTCACAATGTTTAATCTTCAACTGGGCCTGGTTTCTTTCAGAATAAAGTTAGGTAACACAGAACCCAGCTTATAGCAGTACGCTGTGGTGTACTGGCATCTGTAAATAGAACAGGTAACAAATTTCCAGTACAGCTGTGAGGAGCTATTTTTTGTAGAACTGCAGGTAGGTGAATGCTCACTGGAAATTTCTTACCTTCATTTTACATGGGCATGAGATATACAACCGTATCACTATCTGCCCCTTACACCCCCCCCCCCCCCCCCCCACCCCCACCTCCCTCCTACTCTGGGCTATCCTTTCCTGGCATGTGAGGGCACAGATTAGTGGTACAGGATGACCAGAATAGTAGCAGGGAGGTGATTATATTGTCCTTATGATATATAGCAAGTATAAACCACATCAATTGTGCACTTTTGAAGGAAATCAGAGTATAACCCTGAGATAACTCACATGGTCGGGTCATAGAGTTTCATGTTATATCTGAGAATCAAACCAATAATTAACTATTTTGAGAGCAAGTGATTGACCACTGCATCACATACTTAGTAACACTTTTCACAAGGGCATAATGAGGCATTAGAACAAATCATAATGTTGTGGACAACATGACTTTCAATGGTCAATTCCAGTATCCCAGGGCATTAACATTACTGTTCAAGAAAAATGTTTGATATAGCCTCAGGACGGAGAATGGGTCCAGAATATACAGAACTGAGTGGATAGGAGCTATGGAGTGGTGCCAAAGGCGAGCTGGTACAGAATCACTACTGATAAAACTCAAAGTTTAGCTTATATTGTTGTGTTAAACCCTAACTCTGGAGATGATCAGTCAAACTAATAACATACCAATGAGTATATCAGAGGAAACCCAACACCACAGGGTAAAGAGTTGTTATGCAGGACTTTCTGTTAATATCACAGAAAAGCACTTGACTAGGAACTCTTTTATCTGGAAGTTTTTTAACAGATTGATTTTATTTGTGAACAACCTACTGAAAAACTATTAATTTTAAACTGCTGAATTAGGTACAAGTTGATTTACTGAGCTGTAATCATCCACAGAATCAAGTGTCCATGAAATAAATTTTATTTTTGAAAAAGCATGAAAATTGATCCGTTCAAAATGCTTTATATAATATACTGCTAATAAAGTAATACCAAGTCATCAGTGCTCGGTAGATTTACAGCTGATCAAGTAAAACCAAGTCAGCAGTGCTCGGTAGATTTACAGCTAATAAAGTAAAACCTAGTCATCAGTGCTTGGTAGGATAAAACCAGCAGCTGATCAAGTAAAACCAAGTCATCAGTGCTTGGTAGATTTACAGCTGATCAAGTAAAACCAAGTCAGCAGTGCTTGGTAGATTTACAGCTGATCAAGTAAAACCAAGTCATCAGTGCTTGGTAGATTTACAGCTAATAAAGTAAAACCAAGTCATCAGTGCTTGGTAGATTTACAGCTGATCAAGTAAAACCAAGTCATCAGTGCTTGGTAGATTTACAGCTGATAAAGTAAAACCAAGTCATCAGTGCTCGGTAGATTTACAGCTGATCAAGTAAAACCAAGTCATCAGTGCTTGGTAGATTTAAACAGTATGAAAATTCAATACAAAATTCTTATGCTTATGTACTAACATAAATTTTAGAAATGACCCTGTCATTTAAGGATAAAAATTAATTGAAAAGTCTGTAGACCACATGGTTTGTGATATTCTATATTTGGTCATCAGTGCGATTTTTGTATGCTTATGTACTAACATAAATTTTAGAAATGACCCTGTCATTTAAGGATAAAAATTAATTGAAAAGTCTGTAGACCACATGGTTTGTGATATTCTATATTTGGTTCGTTTTGTTGGAAAAGAATTTTCGTTACTGTAACCTAAGTTGGATATCTACGAATATTAGGTGATAAGTCTATTGAAACAGACAAGTGGTGTTCTATGGATGGTTTTGTGAAGTCAATTTTATTTCATAGGTAAAGAAAGAATTGGGAGTAAACAGGAGAGAATTTGTACTTGTACTAATAAGGCACAAGCTGTTGAAGATAAAAACATGAATCAGTGGAGAAAGTTTCTTTAACAAGTCTTTATCGTCAGTCTTACATCATCCTTGTGATAGGTTCAAAACAAGACCACCATGCTAACCTGACCATTAAGTACAGACATCTAAAGATGCAGAGAACCACTCGTGGTAAAACAGTCAAACTCAAAACTCACTGAACTGTTTTCACCTAGACAATTCAAGCACTCGATCTAAATAGAGTCTGCAAAAACCAGATACCAAGTCACTGTTGAGATCCTGATTACAAATCTGAAAATTTGGATTATTTTCAATATCTCACAACTAGTTTATCATACCATGTGATTTAAAGAACTTTTCTCAGTCCTGTTCTAAGATTATCTTGACTGTTGATAAATGACTGATGATACAACATATATCCCTGCTGTTACAGTGACATAAACCCTGCACCTGAAAAGTTTTTCTACTGAAAAAGCCCTAGAATGTTACGTCCTGTTAACTACATATTTCCTCTTTGCCAACCCCACTGCCTCCACAAGAAGAAACCAAGTGTCAATGATACAAGATGATAAGACCAAAGGCCTGAGATGCTGATAGCTCCACTCAACAATAAAACAGGGTTATGTAACCAAACACAGAGTTATGATATATCACCAGTTCCTTACTGTTACAAGTGATAAGATATAGCACAGTGGACATGGAAGATTATCATTGCCATCTGATCTGACTGGGCACATGTTGGTATGACTGCACAGCCTCCTACACCCTAGAGAGCTGTCAATACCCAGCCAAAGGATTCTGTATCCCTTATCTATCTGTCTGACTCACACTTTCATCTCTCCTATATCTCTAAACTCCAAGACACACACACTTCTGTTACTATACTGAGGTACTCCTTGTCTGTCCAAGTTTACGACTTGAGCAAGTCTAGGCCAGCCTAATCACAAAACACGCATATTGATATTAGTCTGTGTTATCACTTCATTCCGAACTGAACCATAATACCCTTACCTCCTCCTACAAATCTGACTCAAGTTGATACATCCCATCTGTAAAATATTGATATAATTTCTACTTCTGGATTCTAAGTTCCATCCTTAACAGTTATATAGTCATCACTAAAGTCAATGACACTTAACATAACAAACTCAATTGCAAAACGATCATCTTTAATGGAAATTCCAAAATCCATCCCCTCACTCCCGTCATCTTCCTCTCCCCTCCCCAAACATATCAAAATTAACTTTTCAGAGTGAGAAAACAATAAACAAGAATGAAAACGTGTCAGAACAAATAATATAAATTTAAACAGTCAGGCATTTAGGACTGGGCATTAGAATGTGTGGCGGATTGTAGGTCCCCCACAGTCTGTGTTATAACATAGATACAGTCTAGAATAAACATGACATAGTGATGAGGATCTTATATTACCCACTGAAGAGTCCGGTAATACTAATGCAGTGACTGTTTTCAATTCACATCAACAAGAAATCCTTTCACAGAAATCAGTAATGACCTTGACAGAACACCTTCTCTAGCTTTCCCCTACCCTCCCCCTCCCTCTTTGTAATAAGAGATAATTAGTATGTATTAACACAGCACAACCCTTGTCCAAGAAAGCTATATTTAACTAGGACTACAGTAGCCATCAGCACTCTGTACCTTCTTGGATTACAGTGAAGTAGCTGGCCTATGTTATGAAATAAATTCTATCTGGAGTAGGGCCCATATTTTTGCCCTATAGAACTACCAGAAAATGCCCTGACTACTCTCCCTGGTTTAGCCCTGTATCAAGTCTGGCAGTACTTTACCATAACCACTATATACACAACCCTTTGCAGATTGGACTGTAATAAAATCTGTACCAGGTATTATATAAATACCTACATCCAATACTTGGCAGTGCCAGTATCCTAAGGTACACAGATTTTACCTCAGGGACTGGTGCTGTACTGGAGGAGGCTACCAACGGGAGATATCAGACATGATGCCACTCACTGCAGGATATTTTTTTATCCTCACTATCTTTGAGATGGGATTCCTGCCAGAAACTGTCTACATTCCTGATATGTTTCTCATATGTTTGTGGTATGGGATGGTACAGGGTAGCAGTCACGGATTTATTGGCTAATTCTCTGTACCGACCATCACCAGTAACACAAGAATCTGATGATAAATATCAGACATTTTTTTTTGTAACCATCTCTCATCACTTCCATCTTTATTTTTGGCATAAGTTCATCTTTCAGAAACTGCGTCTTTAACTTGAAGACTAAGAACTATGATTACATAATGCCTATCTATTATTTAACAAACGTAGCACTGTTCATATGCATTTAATTTCTCCCTTTCTTCACAAAAGTAACATTTTGTAATCATTTAATGGGCAAGTGGCAACTCTTGGACATAACAGAACTCCTCAGTCAACTTATCAGTCAAAGACACTCTTTCAAAACAAGTTTTACTTCTGCCAAACTACAAGCAAATATGGTCTCATCAAACAAATGGTCTTTCAAGACAGGTTTTACTTCAGTCAACTTACAAGCAAATGATGGTCTTACAAGCAAAAGATGGTCTTTCAAGACAGGTTTTACTTCGGTCAACTTACAAGCAAAAGATGGTCTTTCAAGCAAAAGATGGTCTTTCAAGACAGGTTTTACTTCAGTCAACTTACAAGCAAAAGATGGTCTTTCAAGACAGGTTTTACTTCAGTCAACTTACAAGCAAATGATGGTCTTTCAAGACAGGTTTTACTTCAGTCAACTTACAAGCAAAAGATTGTCTTTCAAGACAGGTTTTACTTCAGTCAACTTACAAGCAAATGATGGTCTTTCAAGACAGGTTTTACTTCAGTCAACTTACAAGCAAAAGATGGTCTTTCAAGACAGAAGATGGTCTTTCAAGACAGGTTTTACTTCAGTAAACTTACAAGCAAAAGATGGTCTTTCAAGACAGGTTTTACTTCAGTAAACTTACAAGCAAAAGATGGTCTTTCAAGACAGGTTTTACTTCAGTAAACTTACAAGCAAAAGATGGTTTTTCAAAACAGGTTTTACTTCAGTAAACTTACAAGCAAAAGATGGTCTTTCAAGACAGGTTTTACTTCGGTCAACTTACAAGCAAAAGATTGTCTTTCAAGACAGGTTTTACTTCAGTCAACTTACAAGCAAAAGATGGTCTTTCAAGACAGGTTTTACTTCAGTCAACTTACAAGCAAAAAAAAATGTTTTTTCAAGACAGGTTTTAGACAGGTTTTACTTCAGTCAACTTACAAGCAAAAGATGGTCTTTCAAGACAGGTTTTACTTCAGTCAACTTACAAGCAAAAGATGGTCTTTCAAGACAGGTTTTACTTCAGTCAACTTACAAGCAAAAGATGGACTTTCAAGACAGGTTTTACTTTAGTCAACTTACAAGCAAAAAAAATGTTTTTTCAAGACAGGTTTTACTTCAGTCAACTTACAAGCAAAAGATGGTCTTTCAAGAAAGGTTTTACTTCAGTCAATTTGAAAACAAAAGATGGTCTTGTTACAAGCAAAAGGCAGTCTTTCAATGTATAATTCAATGTATGATGGACCTGTGTTAATATAGGTAGAATGTATATTCTACATGAATTTGTTTGGTTGAAAAGATTTAGATGGATTTCATTTCGTTTGGAAGGAGGAGGGTTATGTGTGGGTGTGTGGGTGTGCGGGGGAGTAAGTGGTGTAATTTTCATGCACTTTAAGATTTTATTCTCCACAAATGAGAAACAATTATATTCAGCATAATCTGGAAACCTTAAACATAAGACCATCACAAAAGGGCCTTTTTCTATAGTGATTTTAGATAGACTATGAAATCCTACATCCAGAAATATCTATATATAAACACAGGTAACCAGACCTACTGGTAGTTAGAACTTTGAAGAGACCTGGAAACACTGCGTTAAACACCCTCCTCATTACAGGTCTATATATAGTATCACAGGCAAAGGGTATAAAAATTCCTGACTAATTTGAAACAGGAAGTTGTTGTTTACATCAAAATACTGTGAAGATAGGAATAGAGGTAGATTGAGGAAACTTCCATAAGTAGATCTACACAGGCACTTTAGTATGAAGCATGACAAAAATTAACCCATTTATACATGTATCACTTCTAAACACTTTGTTCTATATTCAGAAATTGTATGTATTGATAAACTTTTATCAAAAGTTAAAATTATATTGAAAAAAATTCCTTATATATTTCAGGTATATCAATGTACAGTTATTGACCTCTAATGATATATGAAATTGAAAGGGTTCATAAAACACATTAACCACACATTCCATGCATGTTATTTGCTATAACTAATGCTAGCAATCCTTGTGTTACTTACTCGTAATATTGCGAGTACAACTTTTGAGCGACCAGATTGTACTGCCACTGTACTAATAGTCGTTGTGGAGGGCGAAAGCTCCGAAAGGTCCGTTATATCCGATAAACTGTCCGACATTTTGCTGGATGTCAGGACAGGGAAGCTATAGTTAATATCACACTTCGAAACATAAGTTCTTGAAAGTTCCAAAGTTCACAGATATTATCTTTTTTTTTAGATTTCACAATTTTCTCAATATCTTCAATGAATATGCATGCGATTTACACACACTTCTTCCTTGGCTCCTAACAAATCCTACGTTAGTTCTTCTCGACAGATCTAAGCTTGTACACTATACTATATACACTTCTCCATGGGCCAGTCCATGTTGTCTGGATAGGGAGGGGAGAGAGACAGATGCCCTCAGTTTCAGCAGCCGAAGCCACAAAAATTCTTTTCCTATTACCCGACTATCATATAACACAGCGCACTTCCTGTGAGGAAAGGGAAAATTACACAGACAGTTAAACAGATCAGACACCAATTTCAACCATTGTTAAAGTTAAATTTCACACTTATTTTACTCTCGGCCACTCTTGTCTCCCCATTGAGGGATGAATGGCCTAGCCCACTCCCCCTTATTTGGAGACTGCATATTGAGACTAAAGAGATAGTACAAACACACAAGGAATAGTCCTGAGGGGGGTCTACTGTACATGTACTGTAGGGAGTAGGGATTCAGGGACTCCCTGGGGTAGAGTAATGACAGACAGCATCCCTGGAAGCTTTGTTTACAGTTATTATCATAGCTATGTGACCTGATCATTGACATAAGCTAATGAAAAACATGTTAAAATGTTATCTACTGAGTTAACAAATAGGTGAGAAGTTCCTTACAATTTCAATTTGTAAAATATCATACAATGTTCCTTACAGTATCAATTTGTAAAATATCATACAATGTTCCTTACATTATCAATTAGTAAGATATCATACAATGTTCCTTACATTATCAATTAGTAAGATATCATACAATGTTCCTTACAGTATCAATTAGTAAGATATCATACAATGTTCCTTACATTATCAATTAGTAAGATATCATAAAATGTTCCTTACATTATCAATTAGTAAGATATCATACAATGTTCCTTACATTATCAATTAGTAAGATATCATACTATGTTCCTTACAGTATCAATTAGTAAAATATCATACAATGTTCCTTACAGTATCAATTGGTAAAATATCATACATCAAACCACTGTTTTATCCTTTCAGTACTTTTCACTAATATCACTATGTGGAAACCAAGAAGGAATAACAGAAAAAACCTAACTGGCTTTAATAATAATAATAATTATGTAAATTAGAGTACAAGAATGAAAGGGAAATGAAACCTTTATACAATATATAGATCTGTCTATACATTTTATCTCATTTTATTTCGCTAGAATTCACTCAACTCATTTGTATACCAAAAATCAGTAAAACAAGACATTTTAAACTTACTATGGTGATTTCGATTTTACCAAAAACTTTGATGCTGTTGTTTGAGACTATGCTTTCAATTCTTTATTTTTCAACATACTTAACAGAAACAATAAAAAACACATGTACTCTGTATATTGTTTAGAATTACATAACATTCATCAAGCAACAGAAATTTTTAACTCTTATTTCTTCAAATCACAATTTTTGTAAGTTTAGAAATATGTATTTCAATTTCAGAAACTTTAAAGATCAGTCAACTTTCTTCATAATTAGATAATCAGCTCCAATTAATGATGTATAAGTCTGCCCCCTTGTGAAAAGTGGCATGCTGTTTGTGAGTGTAGTTAGGTATTTGACACATGTACGTAGACGATGCGGATGTAATACTTCAGCTACTGAGGCAGGTCACAAGTAGTCAATGTGTTTTGTAGATCATGGTTGTATTAGTGACAAACTAATCTGATACCAAACTTGTCATCATGTTTTATCAAAAAACAGTTGAGTCCAATCTTTAACTGAAAGCCTATCAAAAGTCTAAAAAGATTTCAAAAAGTCCTGAGTATTGTGTATTCACATTCAAAAGTCCAAATAGGCCTGAGTCGCCCATCTGTTCTGCAGCTTACAAAACTGCTACAAACTTCAAATTTTCCCAAGCTACTACACATATATATATCATGGTCCAGTGGCTGGTTATTAATGAAGTTTATGAATACATTTGACCCATTTCTTGAATGTTGGTTACTGTATTTTCCAGGTTATAAGTTACAGGTCCAGTTTTTAGAGATTTTTCGATTTTATCCATATATAAGCCGCACCCTTTCTTACTAGATGGTGACCACTATTGTTGACGTTTGATATACTGGTAACAGATAACGGAAGGCAGATCGTACTAAGTGATCACTGTTACGTTGACCAAACATTGTTTATATAACAGAGGGTAATTTACCAAAATCGTCAGTGAAACATTTAATAAATAATAGGACTTTGCATGATCATATTCTTATAGTCCCATATTATTTCTTCTTGTAAGTTAAAGGATGTCATATCATAAACAAGGACGAGGGGAGGGGGGGGGGGGGAATTTGACCTATAACCCGATGACCTATTGATCCCAGGCTATTGTAAACATCCATTATAGTCTATGGCAAAAGTCAAGAAGATATTATTGTAATTTATGTTAAAAGGTACGATTACTTAAATCCACCAGAATATTACTTTTATTTAATCTTCAAATCATCCTGTATACAACTGCAAATGATGGATCAAGAAAATCTGTTTCAGTCAAAATACATGTGATGGGCAAGCACTTGTATAAAAACTTGTTATCGACTCGTACTGGTGTACTGATACACTTCCTAGTTTTTCTGGGTTTTTTTTTCCATCCTTCCGATTTTTTTTTGTCCACATATAAGCCGCATGGTATATAAGCAGTACACCCCGACTCATGAGGAAAAAAGGTGTGGCAGAGTGCTACAGACCCAATAGCAATATCTTGAGTCTTCTCGATATTTGAGAAGATTTGAACACATTTGACCCCTGACTTTTAAAAGTCAGTCAAGGTCATTAATTTGTACACACCTGGTCGCTCATCATTCTAGTATGCTACAGGCCAAATATTAGTACTCTGGCCCTTTTGGTTATTGAGAAGAAGTCCTTTGAAGACATCTGACCTATGTGACTTTAAAAGTTGGTCTTAATCATACGAACACACCTGGTCGCTCATCATTCCAGCATGCTACAGACCAAATATTAGCTCCCTGGGTCTTCCAATTATTGAGAAGAAGACGGATGACTGACGCAGGATGATGGACAATGTGCCACAGCAGAAGCTGCTTCTGGCAGGTGAGCTCATAAAGACACTAGGCCTTTGTTAACAGTTGTGCGATAAATCTTTTTCATCAAGATCTATCAAACTAAATGAAGGTGGTCTTTTAGCTATTCCGTTTTCCATCAGACTCAAAATTAAACATTTAAAATACCAACCAAGGGGAACCTACGCGTAAAATATGCGAAAGATCTTATCAAACATATGTAAATAAAAAGTTAAAGCATGAATTGTTTGCAGAACAATGACAAAATTGATAGACAGTGCAAGAAAACAGATTATAAATAACACACAGTTTCTACATAGCCTTCCACCTGCATAAGAAAGGTACAGTGTATATATTTATCTCAGTAGTAGATATTGCTACACCAAATCTGTTTGATATTTTAAGAAAATAACTGGCAGTGAGCCACAGCACGATTTGTCTGTATAAATGTTTTCTGTATCCACGGAAATGTTCCTTTCATTATATTGAGTCAGTAATTTTTTCTATCATTGTGCAGATTATGACTCGAATCCTTCCCTCAGGTGTACAGGAAATACCGAAAGATATCAGTAAGTCTGGGTAAAATTAGTTACCATGATGCACTGTCCATGTGGTACACATTTTATATAAACATTTATTTCGTTTATAAACCGAAGAAGCATTGCTCTACCTGTACCATACATGACTTTCCCAAATATCCATAATGTCCTGATATTCCTATTTCAATTTGTCTGCTGATTATCTCCTATGACTAGTGATTGTATCTTAAAGTATATGCCAGGTGATTCTACAACTTCCTATCCTTTTCCCCCTCCCTGTTGTCAGTTTTAGACTATCTGGCCACACACACCCTCCCTGTTGTCAGTTTTAGACTATCTGGCCACACACACCCTCCCTGTTGTCAGTGTTAGACTATCTGGCCACACACACCCTCCCTGTTGTCAGTTTTAGACTATCTGGCCACACACACCCTCCCTGTTGTCAGTGTTAGACTATCTGGCCACACACACCCTCCCTGTTGTCAGTGTTAGACTATCTGGCCACACACCCCCTCCCTGTTGTCAGTTTTAGACTATCTGGCCACACACACCCTCCCTGTTGTCAGTTTTAGACTATCTGGCCACACACACCCTCCCTGTTGTCAGTTTTAGACTATCTGGCCACACACACCCTCCCTGTTGTCAGTTTTAGACTATCTGGCCACACACACCCTCCCTGTTGTCAGTTTTAGACTACCTGGCCACACAGACTCTCCCTGTTGTCAGTTTTAGACTATCTGGCCACACACACCCTCCCTGTTGTCAGTTTTAGACTATCTGGCCATACACACCCTCCCTGTTGTCAGTTTTAGACTATTTGGCCACACACACCCTCCCTGTTGTCAGTTTTAGACTATCTGGCCACACACACCCTCCCTGTTGTCAGTTTTAGACTATCTATAATAGTTTGACTGTTGGTTTGGTGATGAAGCTGGCCACAGACCCTCCCTGTTGTCAGTTTTAGACTATCTGGCCACACAGACCCTCCCTGTTGTCAGTTTTAGACTATCTATCATAGTTTGACTGTTGGTTTGGTGATGAAGCTAGCCACACAGACCCTCCCTGTTGTCAGTTTTAGACCATCTGGCCACACAGACCCTCCCTGTTGTCAGTTTTAGACTATCTGACCACACAGACCCTCCCTGTTGTCAGTTTTAGACTATCTACGGTAGTTTGACTGTTTGTTTGGTGATGAAGCTGGCCACACAGACCCTCCCTGTTGTCAGTTTTAGACTATCTATGGTAGTTGGCCAGTTGGTTTGGTGATGAAGCTGGCCACACAGACCCTCCCTGTTGTCAGTTTTAGACTATCTGGCCACACAGACCCTCCCTGTTGTCAGTTTTAGACTATCTATCATAGTTTGACTGTTGGTTTGGTGATGAAGCTGGCCACACACACCCTCCCTGTTGTCAGTTTTAGACTATCTATCATAG